TTTTTTTTTCTAGGGATTCAGAGGCGGCGTTAGGCACCCAAAGTGCGACCATGGGAGGCTCGTTTTGGACTAGAATTAGATTGGGAAAAGCCGTGGCGGGACCAGGTGTTCGGGGCCAGGATGACCGAGACAAATGGAAACAAACTTGTCTTTTTCTAGGTCTAGGGATTCAGAGGCGGCGTTTGGCACCCAAAGTGCGACCATGGGAGGCTCGTTTTGGATGTTCGGGGCCACGATGACCGAGACAAATGGAAACAAACTTCTTTTTTTCTAGGGATTCAGAGGCGGCGTTAGGCACCCAAAGTGCGACCATGGGAGGCTCGTTTTGGACCAGAATTAGATTGGGAAAAGCCGTGGCGGGACATTCAGACGCGGCGTCTGGCACCCAAAGTGCGACCGTGGGAGGCTTGTTTTGGACCAGAATTAGATTGGGAAAAGCTGTGGCGGGACCAGGTGTTCGGGGCCAAGATGACCGAGACAAATGGACACAAACTTCTTTTTTTCTAGGGATTCAGAGGCGGCGTTAGGCAGCCAAAGTGCGACCATGGGAGGCTCGTTTTGGACCAGAATTAGATTGGGAAAAGCTGTGGCGGGACCAGGTGTTCGGGGCCAAGATGACCGAGACAAGTGGACACAAACTTCTTTTTTTCTAGGGATTCAGAGGCGGCGTTAGGCAGCCAAAGTGCGACCATGGCAGGCTCGTTTTGGACCAGAATTAGCTCCTGGGCTGTCCAACAAAGCCCCCGCAAACAGCTGCCAGTCTATTAGCACAGCCAGAACAGAGGCATTGCTACTTCTTTTCTTCTTCTTCTTCTTCTTCTTCTTATTCTTCTGCTTCTTCTTCTTCTGCTTGCCATTCTCCAGCCACGCAGATAGACCTGCGGCCGTCCACAGGAAGTGCTACGGTCAGCACCAGGGCTGCCGCAGCACAAGCCTTGCTGCCTCAGCACCTGGGCTGTCCAACAAGGCCCCCGCAAACAGCTGCCAGTCTATTAGCACAGCCAGAACAGAGGCATTGCTACTTCGCTTTCTTCTTTTTCTTCTTCTTCTTCTTCTTCTTCTTCTTCTTCTTCTTCTTCTTCTGCCTCTTCTTCTTCTTCTTCTTCTGCTTGCCATTCTCCAGCCACGCAGATAGACCTGCGGCCGTCCACAGGAAGTGCTACGGTCAGCACCAGGGCTGCCGCAGCACAAGCCTTGCTGGCTCAGCACCTGGGCTGTCCAACAAAGCCCCCGCAAACAGCCGCCAGTCTATTAGCACAGCCAGAACAGAGGCATTCCTACTATGCTTCTTGCTGCCTGTTGCTAGTGGTTTTTCTGATCTTGTGATGCTTCTGGGTCTTCTTCTTACTACTGCTGCTGTGATTGCTGTTGTTGGTGTATATCCCGGGGTCGGCGGCAGGGGCGGCAGCCCTTAAATATTGTCCTTGGTATTTTGTTATGTATTGAACTGTAATGTTGCACTTATCCAAGAAGGTGAACAACACCTCGTGTTTCTCACAATTATATAGATACACATTATCATCAATCATGGTTGTTTCGATGTTGTCTATTATGTTTTCATAAGTGCTATTGAGGATGTAGACTCAAATCACAGAGTATTGCTGGGCAAAGATTGTCCAAAGCAGGAACGGATGCAAATTAAACGCCACAATATTACTAATTAACCGCGTATGGGGGTTGAAATGCTACCTGTTCCAATCTTGCTGTACCCCAGCAAGAAAAATGTCCTTTCAAAACAGTATAATATATGTTCTACGTTCTGAATGATTTGTATTATGAAAGATTCTGACATCCCCATAGCCAAACCGGCAAACATGAAGGAGTATGAATTCAAGACCCTTCTCACAGATTGTAGTTGGGCCCTCACGCTCAGGAAAATACCAAAAATAACAAAAATGCCAAACATACCAATCCGGTAGAGAAATAGTTCCCCAAAAAATACCAAAGGTCTGGCGGAAATACTTGGGCATAAGGGGCCAACTATTCCCCTACAGGATTGGTATTTTTGCTATTTGGGGCAACTATTGCTCTACATGTTGTTTTTCATGCTTGATATTGTTTATATTTTTGGTCTACCCCAAACCTTTGCAGGAAGCACGCTTTGACTTGGCATAGTTAATGCAAAAGTCTATTTTAAAAAAGAGCAGTTGCAGGAAACAGTGGAAAACGCATACTTTCACAGCGCTGGTTTCTGTAATTCTATAGGCTCTCGCAGAACTGGTCCCTCACAAGCTGCTTCCTTTCCAGGTCACAAGGCGGGTTTGGATAGGATTCTTGGACCTGACAAGTGTTTTTTCTTATGCAATACTATGATATGTATATATATATATGATATGTATACATATTATATATATAGTTTCTTGTTGAAGGGCGGGCAAAAAAATCATCGGGTGCTCTTGGTGCAGTGCTTTTGATGTCTTTTGATGGACCACCTGTGGTGGTTCGCTTGGAGGCCTGCGTTTGAGCGCGGCTTCAAGGCCATCCATCGGCCAATGGGCTTCGAAGTGTTTAGATTGCTTAGAAAGAGGACTGAACAAGTGCCTCCACAGAAGGTACACGCCAAAACCCATTAATGTAGACCCTTGATTAATAAACCCCCCATATGAAGAGGATGTTCAATTCAAAGTGAGGGTGGGTGTTCATCTAAGAGTCTACATTAACAAACATCACCCAGAAGCTCCGGGTCCATGGGGCTTTGGTTTATATTAACTTTTTAAGCCACAACATCCAGTCAGTCAGGACCAAAACGTGCTGGTCACAGGGAGCCTCCGTGACGTTCCACTCCAAAGTCCCATTGAAGGTGCCGTTGCCGAAGACGAAGGGGGCCTGATGTTCGAAGACGAAGGGCGCAACTGAGGGACAGAGCCTGGTCAAAAGTTGGGGGCCATCAGCTCTTAGAACCTCCTTCTCAATCCCAGAGAGCTCAGATCGTCCGGAGTCCAGGACCCTTTCCAGCCAGGCTGTCATGTGGGTCGACTCAGAAAGGGTGAGAACATTCCAGGCCCTCCCTGAGTCTTCCCGTCTCGTCCAACCCTCGAACCCGAGTCCCGTGGTGCACGTGAGGTTTGTGAACGAAAAAAATCGCACCAACGTCCGCCGCACGAAGACCCCCGCGCCGAGCCCATGCTGAAAGGCACCAGGTTGAAAGGCGCCCGCGTCGACGCAGGTCCACCCGTCGCGCTGCCCGGTCGAAGGGTGTTCAAGACGCGGTGTCACACATCGACTTGGACGCCAATGATGCCAAAGGTCTGAAAGGCTACGTACACCATTCAAAGAGTGCACAGTGCACCAAATGCAATACATCAGCATTGAAAAAAAGAAATGGAGGTCTCCGAAATGGAGGCTTTTGATTTTAAAAGTCGGTGGTGACCCGTTGGAGTGTCCAGGTAGAAGTCTTAAAGGCTTGCAATTGTTCCGGACCTGGAATGGTGGACCGAACGAAGCCTCACAAGTGAGGTCAAAGCATGTCAGATCTCTACCATGCCACAAACTCGCATGGAAAATCAATAGAATCAAACACCCTAGACTTCCAAGACCATGATATAAACCAATATTGGTTGACTCTGGTTTCGTAAAGCCTCTTGAATTACTGCTCTTCCAGCCTTGGGAACATGTGGCCATCAAGTTGACTCATGTTCTCTTGACCAAAATGAGGAAAAAACCACTTGCACCCGAAAGGCATTCCGATGAGACCAGAGGGCAGCGTCCTTCGGTGTCCCTTCCCTGTCCGCCGCCGCTCCAAGGTCTGCGTCTGCGGCGGCGGTCGAACAAACTGGCGGCCCTCTGCGGGTCGGTTCGGTCCACCAAGTGGCCGTCGTGTCGGGTTTCCACACCAAATACCCGGCATCCCCCGGTTGGTACACCTCAGATGGGCAACGAGTAGAGGTAGGAGGAGTCGGAGGGGCCTTGGGCCCTTGGGAGGGAGGGCTGAGGCTTTTTTTTTGGCGAGTTCACTGGATTTAAACGTAATGTGTTTCGTTCACACCAGGCACGGGAACCCCACAAACGTGAGGACAATGCTTTCAAACATGTCGGTGACCATAGCTGCGGTTCAAAGATACGTTGAGGCATATTGCAACAGGTTGCCAACCTTCAGGTGTGGTCGATGGACCTCAAACTGCCCATGAGCCCCATGAGCCCCTGAAAACAAATAAGGGCCTCCAGGTCGGAGGCCTCTGATTTTGAGCGGCCTCAATGCCATCCTGTTTTTTGCGGGTGACACATCTGGGTCTTCGAAGACGGAGCTTCCTGAAAAGGATCTCTTGGATGGTGTCCAGCGCCGATCTTGCCTCTGTTTCAGCCCCTGTGGCCGTTGAAACCGGAATCTCACAGCTGCGTGGTGGCCTGGTGTCCCCACAGGTGGCCGCATGTTGATTTTGCACACTCCAAAAAATTGTTCAAACGCGCCGTGCGTGTCCAATTCATAGGCACAAAGAACTATGTCTCCACCTCAGCAGATGAAAACCCGTCCATGTGACTGGGTAGCAAAGAAAATAATGAAACATAATAAAGGTCAGGCATATTGTTTCAACCGTGGAAATCCAGGAGTGACTAAAAGCTGGGAGTCATCTTCCAGGAAACCAGAACTGGTTCCATTCCACTTCCACCTTCATTCACATCGTCAGCAGCTTGGCCTTTGCACCAAGATGCATCACCAGAAACGCCGTCAATGTCGATGCAAACGCGGTAGTTCTGATCCACCTGTCTCGAGCAAGGAAAGCGCCAGAGCTGTGGGCTTTCCCCCCGAAAAATGCGAACCCTAGGGGTCCAATGGGTCCCAAGGGACCTTCCAAACCCACCCCAGTGGAATATCAAAAGAGATTGATTTACATCAAGAACATATTTTTTTTGTTATACTATTATAATATACTATACTATTTTTTAAAAAAATATGTCTATCAAAGAATATCCCAGTTGGAGAGCACAAAGCACTGCGGCTACCACGAGATCTGAACATCAAGAAACGCATCGCGCAGCAGCCCTCCAAGCATCCCAAAGTGCTGCGTGGCTGCCACGAAATGGCATGAATGTCTCCGAAATAGCCACGCCAATAAGCCGCCCACGCTACTAGGGAGTGCCTTCCCAAAGGTCGGACTTGGAGCTTCAAGAAAAAGTGCTGCACTTGACTTGCCACGAGATCTGACTTGCCGCCACGTGGTCCACGGACATCGAATTCAAGTCCCAGAGAAAATGTCCGCTGCAGCTGCCACGAAAGTGGCCACCAAGTCCGAAGAGGAAAGCACTCCAGGCATAGTCGAGATGCATTCCACCATCATCGTCCTGCCATTCCTTCATAATCGTTCCTTTCTTGTTCTTGTTGCTTTCATTGCATGTCTTTTCATTGCTTCATTTCCCTTCACATGCCTCTATATCTGCCAAAACTGCCACAAAAGAGGTTTAGAAAATCACCCGAAGAACACGCATCCTCGATAGGCGTCCACAAACAGTGCTTCAGGAGAATAGACCTTCCTCATCTTACTTTCCTTGAAACCCAGAAAAGCGGCTGAGCTTGTTTTTAGGGACCAGGATTAGGGAGAGACGGAACCCAGGAGACCACACACCAAGGAACCAGCGGACTAGAGGACCAAGGAGCCAAAAGGGTCTAGGGATCTAGCGACCAGGAGAGATGTTTGGGACAAAGATGAGGGGACCAAGGGAGCAACAGAGCAAGGGAACAAGAGAGCACACAACAATATTTCAAGGCAACATGGGAACAAGGGAACCAATGAGCTGAGCCGACTGGCAAGGGACCAGGGACACCCACAACCAGGGAACGCCTGCGAAATGCCAACCCAGACCGTAATGCCCTACCAGACATGGAAAGCCCTAGCCCCTAGCCTATCAAGACATACCAAGACCAATTTGAGGAATGGCTGACCTGGTTTTGGAGTCTAAAACCCTGAATTATAAAATCATCCTTGTTCGGCATTCGAAACAGTAAATCAAACAAACGAACCGACCCGGCGGCCGTTTGGGAAGGCCTATTCATTGCCATCACAAGTTGGTGCCGTCACCCGCCGCCTCGAGGTCCCGCGTATCGACAACAAAGAAGTAGGCACCACGGCCTACCGACGTCAGGGACGTCGTACCCCATGCGGGACGAAGACGCGACGCGGAGGAGGAAGAGGTACTCAAAGGGTTGATGAAGTTGATATGGATTCATGTGGACAATGCAGACTGTTGATGCATAAAACCCCCATCATCCCCCATATCTGTCCATGCGAAGAGCTTTCACCATGGATGGCTTCAAAACCTCAGTTTGAGTGAACCCAGTCCTGAGGGGTCAGGGTCTGTTTTCACAGGTTGCGACGTGATCTGCACATCTTTGGGCTCTACTGACAGGTTCCGACCGCCTTGTTTGGGCACAAGACCAGCGTGGCCAGTGACGTGGCCAGTGGCGTGGCCAGTGGCATGGCAACGGAGTGTTTAACAAAAATAGAACATCGAGACTTAGAGAGGTTTTCGGGAGCCTTTCGATTGAAGTTAAACGCCAAAAAAGCCGTCTCTCGAGAAGCTCTCCCTCCATCGCCTCGTCCCGCCGAGAGCACCGCGGCATCCAAGCCGCCGCGGAGCCGGGAAGGGCGCAGGTCCTTTGTCGAAGCGAGGGCGTTCGGTCTGAACACTGGGCAATGGCCTCCAACCCAAGAGCGATGGCCTCCAGCCCAAGAGCGATGGCCTCCAACCCAAGAGCGATGGCCTCCAACCCAAGAGCGATGGCCTCCAACCCAAGAGCGATGGCCTCCAACCTAATAACGAGGAACCACCCCGGATCACCTCAAAGGAGAATCTTCTTGGGTGGGCAAGGTGTTTTTTCCTTCGCAAAAGGCTGCTTTCAAGGATGCCATGCTGAACCTCGGGTTCCCACCGTCCAAAAACATCGGGCTGATCATGGCTGATCCAACATGTCGACGGCCGTTCTTTTTGGTCGGGGCCATGAGCATCTTTGGATCGAAATCCCGACACTTGCCACTGCCTTGTGGTGTCCTTCCCGATGAGTCCCGAGGTGGTTAGGTGAATGGGAGCAAATGGACATCAGAACTCCTTATGATGTGATTCCTGGCGCACCATTGGCGCACCATTGGCTTCATGGGTTTTACCGGAGGCCTTTGGACTTTGAGACTACAGGTCACTCATTTGTTGAAGCGTCTTTGAAGGCTATATAGGGTATAGACTCGGCAGTTCCATGAGTTTGCAGGCTTGAAGTCCCCAAGAAACGAAAAAGAGAAATCCGATCTTGCAAGACACTCCGTGGGAACTGACATAGATGCCGATCAATTGACCGTATAGTATTAAGGCCAGGAGCCCCGAACGTAGCGTCCTTGCTCCGTTCGTAGCGATGCCCTTTGCTCCGTTCGTAGCGTCCTTTGATAGGTCAATATGCCAGTCCCACACAGGTCGTGTCCGGGAGTGTCCACTAGTGACTCTCCTATCGTCAGCGGCCTGTGGTGGGTGCTGCCAGGGCCCTCCACCCGTTGACCAAACCGCGGACGAAACGGCAGCTCGGGCTCGGTCCTTGGCCTCGGCAGCTCCTTCCACTTGGACCCAGGTCGTTTCCACCTGTGGCACGAGGAGCGTTTCTCATGCAGATTGGATTGGGCCAGGTTTGCTTCGATCGTCGACATGTGAAGCCTGATTCAAAGAGCAGTTGAGAAGAGTTATATACATGGGAACTGAGTCTACTGGGCTCAGTCGAATTGACTTCAATGGATGGATGGTCGCGAGGCTGCAATTCGTAGATCTGGAGTGCTTAGCGCCATGACTCCGTCGGAAGAAGATTCTGGTGAGGGCAAACGCCGTTGTTGAAAACAGAAGTCCGAGAAACGACAAGCAGAACAAAGCATGCGACATATCCATGTGGATGTCTGAATTCTTGACCTTGGAAAGCAAAACCTGTTGCGTTCCACGTATATATATAGATCATGTAGATGGTGTTTGGGCTGCAGTCTTCATCCAGATCTTGCATTTCCCATCATATCGCGGCTGCGCGATGTTGGTCGTCGCCCCAAGTTCGGAGAGGGTCGAGCTTCGGTTCGGATCTCAGATGTTACAGTCATCACGCGGAGAGATGGAAGCTGTGTCCCAAAGCCCGAAGCTGTTGGACGCGAATTTTCGGACCGAACTCCTTTCGCCCGGTGGTTGTTGGACACCCCGAAGTACCTCATTTAGGAGGTGATTGATAGACACCCAAACCGGAAAACGCCCAGAGACGGCCCAGGGACTGGCGGAAAGTCCGCACCGAAAGATCTACCAGCACCATCCAAAGGGTGGTGTTATTTGTTAACAGCTGCCCATGCAAGTGATAGGAGGCATATATATATATATATGGTCTTTTCCCAAAACCAGCTGGTCAAGACTATGAGTTTTTCAATCCTATTCGACTTCCAGAGGATCTGCAGAAGTACCAGTGTCGACCGCAACGCAATGGATGGCACGGACGCACCTCACCTGGACTGTCCGGGGTTTGTTTGGGTATCCTCACAAAGCAAATGAGCCAAACAACACCCCGAATCTGCAGAGATGAGCTTCTCAGTCCGTGCTTCTTTCTTTGTTTCACTGGAGACTGTTAATAATAGCACCAAGATAAAACCAAAAGAATTGGAGGAGGAAAGAACTAGATCTTGGGAGCATTATAAAGCATCTCTGAGATGACACGAAGCAACCAAGAAACCCGGACCTCAGATCCAAGCTGGTGGCAAAAGAGCATATTCTTAGACTTCCAAGACCATGAAAAAATTGGGAACGACCTGGTTTTGTTGTGTAAAACCCTTAGTTAAACAATGGTGGTTCGGCATATTCCAGGGGTCACATGTCGGGGTGGTGTTTAGTCCCTTCCAGTGAGTGGATGTGACAGGGGCACCCCTAACCTCCATGGATAGCACCCCGACATGAAACTCCTGGATACAACATGTAAAAACCGTGACCCTCCAGCTTCAAATCCGCTTGAAAGCACCATTTCACCATGGCATCCCATCTGTATGCGTCGCCCACAGTCGCCTCGTCCAAGAGGCCATCACCACAACTCTGGTGAAGTAATCCCAGCCGGATCTCCGTCGAGCGTGTGCAGATGGCCGAAGGGCATGCCACCTCGATCCTAGGTGTGTAGCTCGATCCGTAGACTCTTGCTTATAACAGTACCATGTTGTACCCTAGGGCTCCTGGCCCACCTCAGAAGCTAGTTAGCCCCCATAATCCACCCCTTCCACCTTCTCAGGAAGTACTTGGAGTTCAACCCCCAAGGACTGAAGAGGTTTTAGCAATCCCAAGTTCTGGGGACTTCTCAGGTTCCGCTTTCGCGCGCAGCCGACGCAGCAGCAACTGGAGCGCGGAGCTGCACAACGCCGGACCCGCTTGAGCGATATGTTTGTCGCATATCGTAACTCACACACCACATGCAAGGGAAGCCTCATTCCATCAACCAGGGCAGCCTCATGTTGAAACGAGGTGTTAGTCAACTTAGAAGACAGTCCACAAGATGTTCTCTTACTTTCTTTGCTTCAAAACCTACTTCTTGCTCCCTGGCCCTTCTGATCCATTTGGATTCTTACTGATAGACTTTGAACGAAATCTTTGAAGCCAACTCAACTCCAAAAAAGGAGACCAGTCGACCCAAACCTCATAGAAGCTGGTTCCAATTTTTTGTCCTAGTAGCTCCTGGCATTACTACTAGGAACAAGAAGCTACTAGGAGCAAAGGGCCTGGCTACTAGGAGCAAGGACGCTACTACTGGTTCTTACTACATCTTTCTACCAGATCCAACTGCCGATTTCTTTCACCCGGAAATTCTCGGGTCCGGCTCCCTCTCTCTCTCTCGCTTGATCCAAGATGCTGCTGAAACTGTTCGCTTCCCACTGATGGAGTCACCTGGCAGGGAGGAGGCCGGCACCCGTGCTGCAGACCGAGGGGTTGGACCTGAAAATCGGGAAGGAAAACCGGTGAATCAAGGCAACAAGGGAATTGTCCGGCCGTGAGAACCCATGGATCCTCATATGCTAGGGGTCGGACCCCCATATGGAGGGGTATGGGGTCTCAATATCTCTAAGGTTTTGAGGGACCGGTCGTGCTGTGAACTCACGGAGCGTCTAGGTAGTATCCGAAAGGTGGGCAGTGACACTGTAGTGGTCCAGTGGTACATATGGGATGTCAACCTCTCTTGGTTGGACAAAGACCACGGGTGTTGACCACCCGTGCATCGCACCGTGCGAGATCGACCGCCAACTCACCACCCTGCATGTTTCAGGTCGTCCTCAGTCCACGAACTGAGCGAAGGAACGCCCGTCGAACGGGGATTGTTCGCCGCGGTTTAGAGGCGGCTTCAGACATCAGATACACTCTGACTGACGAACACATCACATGGTGACGTGGAATCGCATGGCGCCGAAAGGAAGACTGCTTTCCTTCGCAAACAGAGGGTGTTCCACTTCCATGTGCGAAGAGGATGTCCAATTCAAAGGGGGGTTTTATTCATCAAGACTCTACATTGGTCAGTCAGAGTGTAATCAGACAGATAAGCCGGGCCTGAAGTCTTCGGTGTCTCGACTGGCAGAGTCAAAACCCTCCGAAAGACTGGCAGAAGATACTCCAATACGAAAACGGGCAGAAATCCCCTCTTTTTGGTCGTCTGTCTCAGGTCGACATGTTCTTTGGTCCAACCAGCAGATCGATCAGTCTTGTTTGTCGTCTGCAAGACATCTGAGAGACAAAGAAACGACCCGGTCACCGCCCCGTGTCACGTCGTGTCGGTCCACGACCCAAACCGCCCAGCGGCGTAGTAGAGGGGCGTGACGTAGATTCGGTAGCCCGTGTCACCTGGTCGCCCCGTGAGTTTCGACGAAGCTCTGGAAGTCGCGACTAAGGGGTAGCCGACGCGACCCGCGTGTCTGACCCTGAATGACCTCGATTTTGGACCACCAACCACGCCAAAGATGGTCTTTTCGTATCAAAACAGAGGTCAAATGGGTTCCAGGTCCATCTTTTTTTCTGTTCAAGAAAACTGCCGTCCAACTCGCAAAGGCAGCAAGGGTAACACAAAGGCAACCATCCAAAGAATCGCTGGGTTCACCTCTCGCTCGGTTCACATCGAAGGGCAATGCAGGGCATCTAGCGGCAGGTGAGAGGAAATCCAATATATGTCACTGTTGAAGGAAGAAATCGAGCACCACTTGGAGGATCTCCCGAATCCTGGGAGGGTCGCAGGTGGTGCCAAAATCTTCCTCCTGACAACAACTCCACCCACATCAGCTCGTGAGTTGAATCTGCTGTGCCAACAGCCTGAGCTCTGATTGCAGATGATGATACCTGACTTGGAGGCCATTGAGTTTTTTCACACTCCCCCACCACGCGGCCCCGATCTTTTCAGAATATCTGAGAATGGGAGTTGTGTATTCACCAGCGGCATTGCAACAGCGTGAGACACTCGATAGCGCTTGGCCTCCGCAAGGGTCTTGGCATCTACCTTCCAGACACGTCGATATGGGTCTGAGCCTGTAAATAGGGAGACCTCCCAAAGATTGGAAGGATGGTTGGGGGTCTCCCTATTGCACCCTATTGCAAATACACACCCATAATCTTCTTGGTTCTGTGTCAGATCTCTGTCGACTCCACTTCACACCGCCCTCTCCCGCTGCGTTTTGATCCAAATTGTTGAGCCCAGCATCCCATGGGCATCAGGTCATCCAGTTCCAAGCAAACCTCGACTCAGAAAGATTTTGGATAGTAACAAGAAACTAAAAACGGAGTGGCATCGCTACGAACGGAGCGATCGGACGCTCAACGACCGCCCGTTCCCGTGCCGACGAGGTTCCCGCTGCCCGGATCTTCTCCGGATCTCTACTCACTCTACTGGACCAGACCGTCTATGGGACTGGAATAGTTATACATATATATATAATATACAATATGTATACCAATAGTATATAGATATATATGCTTAATATATTATATATATATATAAAGACTCCCTTGGTTGCTCACCCTTTTTCACAGCAATGCAAGACCTAGTTGGTCAAAGAACAGAATACTGCGTTCATAAAAAATCACTTCAAAAGAGGCACCCATGCCTCAGACTCCCCCTGCTACGTTTCCCCGCCAGGCCGGGGTAGACGCAAGCCAAGAGCCTCGAGTGGTCCCGGGCCCCGCCAGACCGGGGAACATCCGGGCCACCACTCCTTTCCGTCTCCCTCCGAGACTCTTCCTTCATTTTTCCGCCGGCGGTATTGAATTCGAGAAAAAGATTGTCATTTCCTATGCTTCCGCTTCTTTCCCTTTCCACGTCCCCCTGGCCTACCCTTTGGGTGTGGCTCAAGATTCGGCAAAGGGGACTGCAGGGATTTCCTAAACTGACGTTGGTATGCTTGTGCCGTTCGATTAAAAGCAATTCGGAGTTCAGCTAGAACTGCTAGTCCTTCGTTGATATATATTCTGGCAGTTTTACTGGATGCCCATCTCCCCTGAACCAGGAGACGATCCAGCGAACCGTGTCTACCAAAATACATCGTGGCTCCGCCACGACGAAGACTGTAGGGGCGAAAATCAAGGTGACAAGACGAGAGGCAATCATTGAAAGCCTTTCGCCAGGAGTGTGCAGTACCACACAGCAAGGTCGGAGAGTCTGGTGTCATCAGCCATTGCCACAAACGACGAAGGGTTTCCTCCTCTCGTATGGTGACACTCTCGGAAGCTCCCGCTCTCTTGCCACTCTTCGTTAATCCAAGTGAGATGACAGCAGGTGACCGAGGGCCTGCTTGCACCACATGCTGCTTGCGAATCCCCAACAACTCCCCGGCGCGAAGGAGTCCATGGAACCCAAGTAGCAGAGACAACGCAAAGAGAGGCTGGTTAGCGAACAGTGCGTGACCTGACATTGCACGCAGGGCCTCAAGTGGCAAGGGCGGAGCCCGGTTTGGAAGTTCATTCGAGCTCCATGTCTTCAACAGTCTCCAAGCTCCAGGAAGGTGTCCGCGAAGGAAAGGGTAAAGGTCCTGGACAGCTGCGACCGTATCACACGCCAGGGCGCGTCCTTCGCCCATCTCCCATAGATGCTCTATATAGTGCGACAAGAAGTGATCCTGCCACCCTGACTCTTTGGGGAAGGGCCTATTCTATCGAAGGCTCGCCAACACAGCCCTCATCTCGAGCACATTGATGTGCTCAGGAGAGCCGCTCCAGCGCCACCCCATCACTGTGCGCCATTTCCACAGCTTTGCTGGAACACTTGCACGAAGTCGATGATAGCGCATAGTCAACCCATGATGACCTCTCGTTCCTGCACGCTTGGAAGACGATATAGGCCCTTGCTATCTCTTACCATGAGCTTTCTCTGATATTGATATGGTGGGAAACGATGTTCATCGTCCTGCCATGCCTGCCGTTCCTCCTGGTCTAATTTGTCGAGGCCCGCTGGTCGCCTCCCACGATACTCTCTTGGCCGTGCTGTGGTAGAAGTTGGGAATGGCTCGGACGAGACTTTGGAGCATCCACTCTCCAAGTATAGGCCTTTTCATCCACCTCTGCGCTGAGCTCCACCTTGCGAAGACTAGAGTCACGAACTCCTTCCCATGCTCCCAAGGCGACCCGTTTGGACCTCCCCGAAGTTCCCAATCGCACCAATAGAGTCTAGGCCTCCTAGCAAGGGACACGCCACCAGCATCAATGCTATTAGGCCAATCCCCAACGATTCAGACATGACCTTCCTATCTTGACTATCCATGCTTGCCACGCTCTCGGCCAGGTAGCGGACTTGAGCCCAGGGGAATTTCTCCTTGACTAAAGCCCGAATTCGGTCCACGCGAACGAACAAAGAGCTGCGATGATCCTTGAGTGCTCCTCGGCGATCTGCATTCAAGCCACTGACCCCCTGGCACGGGGGGCCTGCTCTGATCAACACAAGTGCGGCCTGGGAGTACTTGCAAGCCCATCGATGCACCTCTTCCTCGTCGACCGCGTCAACACCTCCCTCGACGAACCACGTGGACGGAAAGCGACTCTCCAAGACCCGGCTGGCTTCTTTACGCACTTCTACGCTGATGTGGCCAATGACTGCCAACCCACAGGCATCTGCCGCAACCCGGAGCGCCCCAATCGAAGAGTCCTATGGTCAGGACCCCATGAAGATCATCTGGCTCTGCCACATCCCCCCTGATCGAACCCCCCAGCGCTGCCTGGCCAAACCCAGTCAACCCAGTGCTCACCGTAAGGCCACCCCCTGTGGTCGACGCATCACTTGCCGTAACCTCTGACGCTACCTGCAACCCAAAATCAAGTTTGGCCAATGGAACCAGGCATAGGAACCTGGCCACCTCCAACTTAACACCCTCAGGGATCTTGAGCTTGACCTGCGGACCTTCTGCTGCTCCTCGAAGACCTCCACTGATTTGGACGTGGAGGAGCTGCGGCTGCTCGTAGTCCCCCCCCGACGACAAGTCCTTGCGCTTCTTCTTGGTCTTCTTCTGAGCCTTGGATGCAAACCTGCGACGATACTTGGGGTCTGGATCGAGGCCTGTTGCTCCAAAGGCCGCACTCAACTCTTTTCGTGCTCCAGCCTTCAGGTCGATCCTCTCCTTTCCCTTTGTGGGACTCTTTGCCTTCTCTTCGCTCCTCTTCCTATTCTTCTTCTTCTCCTTTTCTGTTGATCTTCCTCTCTTTTCGGCCTCTCTCGACCGCTTTCTGTCTCTTCGGACTTCTTCCTCTTTCTCCCCGCTTAGGAGATCTCCTGACGCTGCTCCTCCTGTCTTCGGTCCTTCGTCGATGAGGTTGGACATCCATGGCGGATCCTCGCCTGACCTCTTCTGAATCAAGGTTCCATGTACGAAGTCTTCCGCCTCCAGCTTCTCTGGACACTCGTCTCCGCACATGTGAACCCTGAGCTTCTGACCCCGATGTCCTGAGGCCCACTTCAGCAACGACTCCTCGCTGGTCCCTTGAGGTGTCACCTCCAGTTCCACGTCCTTGACTGAACGGGTGTGGACGTTCTTGATGAGGCCAGCTAGCGAGGTTCGGGCGCCCCAGTATACCCCTTCGATGGACACTGGCAGCCTCCTCCGCAGCACTTCCAAGGGTACTTCGTGGCATTTTACTTTCTCACCGTCTTCAAACTTCGCGCCAACTTCTGCAAGTCGCACTCCTTCCCTCTCTTCTCTCCTCTCTTCCTCACCAGCTTCTCCTTCTCCACGAAGAGCTGGACGACGACGTACTGGTCCTCCCCGTGCAGGAGGCCTCCTCAAATCCGCTGCAGGCCTGGGGTGGCATTCCTTCTTTGACTCTCACTGATCGCCTTGCGACCTGTAGATGTGCCTTTCATGCTTCTTTGCTCCTTTGTTTTCACCGAAGTATCGTGGATTAGTCTTCCACGCTTCGATCGGACCTTGCCAAGCTCGCCCTGAGGGTCTGGCAAGTGGTCGCCTCACTCTCTCCTCTGCGCCTCTTCTGCTTCTCTACTGGATGGGCTTTTGATGAACTAGAATTCTTCCTTCGTCCTCTCCAAAGCCTCTCTCCCCGTGCTTGGGAGATTGATGGATGTCTTCTTCCTTCTTGGCGGCTATCCAACTCTTGTCAACCTTCTCTTCGGGCAAATCTTTTTTCTCCTCTTCACTCCCCGTCTTAGGAGTCTCCTCGGGCAAAGTCTTCGTCTCCTCCTTCTTCACGGGCTGGCTCCCCGCAACAGGAGCTGTCTCCGGCACTCCAGGGCTCCCGGACTTTGGTCGAACAGTCTTCTGGGCGTCTGCCTGAGTCTGTTGACTCTCCTGGTGCTTGTCGATCTCTTCCTGCAAAATACCTGTCCAGATCCTGAGAGTGGTCACACCCCACGACCTGAGCTCTGCCGGAAGATCGTCTGCAACAGCCCAGAAGCGGTTCCTCACTCGGCAGTAGGTGCAAAGCTGGTTGGCCTCCCCGGTTAGGAGACCGCACGCTCTGCAAGGGACCATCCAATCCCACGTTTGAGCCGAGATCTTCGAGGAAAAACTGTCACGCACCCTGGTCGTCTTATTTTCCGGGGGCGTTCGTAATTATACATTTATAATCATATACCCCATGAAAATGACCCCGACCCGATGTAGGTAAGTAGTCCATTCCCATGGATGGTCTGGGTACACTGGAGCTTGCGAGAAGTCCTCCAAGATTCCGCATCGGCTCGCGGATGCTCGCTGACCCTGGGTGAACCATGGTGAACCCGACCGTGTGCACCGTGTGCCATATGAGGCCATCAGGATCCAGGCGTAATTAGATTGCATGAGCCATGGAAACACACAGCAGGTCTTCCTGCCATTATATAGTTCTTGCAGATTTTGGCAAGTTATGATCAACGGTCCGCACGAGAGCGCTGCTGCATCCGCCCCGGAACGTCCGTTTTGGCTCATTTTACCGACTCCTACTCCACTATCAGGCCGGGCTCCCGAAGTGGCTGTGAGTGGTACCTTGTACCCAAGCACGAAACGAACGACGGGGCTGAGCTCCCTTACGCTACCCGTGTGGTCGACCGTCGGTCTTTTGATTGAAGGCCGTTCATTAAGGCGAGACACTCGATAGTGCTTGCCCTCCGCAAGGGTCTTGGCATCTACCTTCCAGACGCGTCGATATGGGTCTGAGTCTGTATTTTAAAAAAATTGGGAGACATGAGACCTCCCAAAGATTCGAAGGAGGGAAATAGACCAAAACTCATTGGTTTGGGGGTCTCCTATTGCAAATACACACCCATATATGTGAGTCATTGCGCTAAAAAGGGGTGCGGCAACAAGACTGTGCGAGACACGCTGGGAGAACCAAATCCTACGCCCAAGCATGTGGTGCGGTCTATATAATTGGAAAGCAAGAACAGCAGAAAAAATATCACCTTTCTTGGGAATAAAGAACGATTGGAGGCCATTGAAGCATCTAGGACCCTGTTGATACAGTGGATATCAGTGGATGATCATTGGATGATGGGCCACTTCCCCCAACGAAGGGATGTGGTTTTCAGCCCTACGGTCTTGGCACATCGGGCTGACAAACCGTCGTCGATGATGAAAAACCATTGGGGCCGGCCTTTTTCAGACAATCTTCCACACAGATCCGAATCACCATCGGACTATATAGTGAGTCTTTAGGAAGGGAGAAGGGCTGTTTGGCCGAAGAACTGTTTTCCTCAACAAATCAGCAAATTGGCCCAATCGAGTTTCTTCACTCTGAGCGATGTCCTCAGGTTCGAACTGCCTTCCAGAATCAGGTTGTTCAATCCAAGTGGAGTGTCATTCGCTGGTTGGTGGTGAAAACCATGTCGCACCGAAAGATAGAACCTCTGTTTCGAAGAAAGCCTCTCACAACTCAGCTCAGGAACGATAGCTGTCCACATCCCCTCATCTCCATTGGAGTCGAGAGTCCTTAGGAAGGCAAAAGGGCCTTACAGAGCACCTGGATCTTTTGGTTTCAATTCCCAGGACTCCAAATTCCAACCAGCCGCCAGTCATGTTAGATATGTTTTACATGGTTACCAAACAACCAACGCTCTACTCAGGATTGTACACATCTATAAAGGGACATAAAAGCCAGGTCATGTTTTAAAAAGGGTCGAACGGAAGGCCAGGAGCTCCCTAGCACTCTAACTACCTCTGTGATATCTGTGACGTTCGGTGGTTGGGCTGGCGGGAGATTCAACTGGCTTCGGATGTTCCACCAACGACTTGTTGTATCTGTGAAACAGAACATGTTAACATGGATGTCTTCTTTACTCGAACAATTCAGTATGAAACAGCTAGGTGAATCCTCGACGGGGCGAGTCCTCGCAGACGTTTCTTCGGGTCTTGTTTCAACATATATCCGTGTTACACTCAGTAGTCATTCATATGGAAGTGGACATATGGAAGTGGACAACTGACCACCGACCGGTTTATTTTCGCAAAATGGTCATCCAGGGGGCCATCTTCCACCTCCACCGCCATGCCGGAAGTTCCAAAAAGACTGTAACCTGACAGTCCACCTGGCCAAAGCCTCACGCGCGCTCAGCAAGCCCTGGGGCTCAGACGTCACCAAGGTCTGCTCTCCGGGGATTTCGCCCACCACCATGGTCCCGTCGCACTTCACGGATAACCTCGGACAGGCCCCCGGCACATCGGATCATCCGCTCCCCTTTCCGGGCAAGGGGGGCGTGGAGCCTCAACCTCACGGAGGTCAAGCACTTGTATACTTCTGCGGGTCCCGAAAGGTTGACAGAAGTGAGGTCTCAGTCACTTTCAGAAGATTTCAAGGTAGGAAAGGGACTGAAAGTGCCTGAGACCTCACTGAAAGTGACGATCAGGAAAGTTACAGCCATGAGATTTCATCAGGAATCCCTCCGAATCGAAGCGTCCCTCACGTCTCCCCCCGGGCCACGACGCGGTCGCGGGTCCGGTCCAGCGTTCCGGTCGTTGCACGTCGCTCGTTGGGCGGAAAGCTCCGCCTGAGAATCGACAACACCTCCGTAACGCATCCCAACCTCCTCCCCCCCCAAAAGGGCGACCATTGGGGCTAAACGTCATATTTATACAGACCTCTTTGGAGTCTCTAAGTGACCTTGTACAGACCCCAAGTGACCTCATCCTGGGATATCAAAGGGTCACTTTGAAGGTCCTGGTATACAGCATGTTTAAATCGGGGGCACGTCTGCCCATTCCAACTACAGCTCCTCTCAGTCCGGAGGAAAAGAACACCCTTCGTCATGGTCCGGAACAAGGGATCTCAAGTTCCTTTCCCCCTTTGGAAATTCCCGAAAGGATGATGTGATGATGTGAAGGAGGCGGAGGTCGCCCTACCGGGGCCCAGTTACTGCTGCGCGCTGGCGTTGACTCTTGGTGGGGGAACCCCGAAGGCACATGAGGAGCCATCACCTCTGGTAGGGGCCCAGGGGACCACACGTAAGGGCAAAGAAAAGCATCGTATACATCTTACATCATCCTTACGGCAAAATAATGTAATATTATATGTCTTTTCTTTTACAGGGGGGGAACTTAACCATATCTACCTCGTGTCTCTTGTCACCCCCTCCTTCCAGCCAGTCTGGTGTGATGTCCTTGCGGTCAAACGAGCAGCGTCAGCTTGGTGGAGCTCGTGCAGTTGGAGCATTCCAGTGAAATGTTTTGATTCAAGGCCTGCCTTAGCAAATCGTTCGATGAGCGGATTCCCCGGGAGAAACTGGTCGTTGGAGAAACTGGTCGTTCCTGCAAAGCAGGTGGGTCGTTTGGGCGACGGATGGGGGCCTTCAAGTTTGGACGAAGGTTGACTCTTGATTCATCCAACTTCCCCACTTGGATTGCAACACCTGGACACATATGGAGGGCTTGATATGGCTTTGTTCATGAACCGTTTACATTGTATACATGATATCCGCAGGTGTTTTGCACCTAAGGTGCCGTTCCTCAAAGAAAGTGGAGGAAACACGAAGAAAAAATCCGGCCGATCTGAGCTCCAGATCTATCAAGTCCCATTGGACAAAACCTGGACCTACTTCACAGAACAGATTTGGAGGACATTCATAGGCTCTTGTTTCAAAAGGGACCCTGTGGAGTTGGGTCCAGCACCAGTGGATGGCCAGGACGGATCAGGACAGTGTGTTCATGGTGTTTTCGATGTGTTACAGTAAGCATCTCTACTCGACGTGTCTGCATACCATGTGACGGCTACGTTGGATACAACTTGGGTCCTTGCACCGTCACGCTGAAAAACAATGTGATATGTATTTATATTTCATATATAAAATATATATAATATATTTGTAGAGAGAAAGAGGTCTATCACGGTCTCTGTATAATGTATGTATGTAAAAGCCGAACCTTCGCACCTCACACACATCATCTGCTTGTTCCGATAAGCAAAAAGTTCCTCCAAGTCGACCTGAAGGAGTCCGGTGGTTGTCCCGATCTGACCCAGATTCCAATCCCAACGAACGAGTGAAAGCCGGGACCGTCCCAATGTGACTCAGCTTCTTGGAACGACCAACGCTTTTCAACAGAAAGGACATCAGGACAATGATCTTCCCAGGACAGTCGAGCTTCATGACAGACGGAACACAGTCTTCGCAGTGTTTTGGTTGGACCTCCAGCTTACTTCGCGGGTCGCTTTCCCAAAAGGAACAAGGCCTTCTGAAGGGTCGCATCCCGCATGCAGCTTTTGCTTGGGCGCCATCCAGCCTTTTGCATGGCGCACGTGGGTGTGTGCCATTTTTCGGCCCAACAACCCCCGCTCCCACTCATCAAACATGCCAGGTACCATACAGTGGTGGTGCTCACAGCTTGCACGGGAGAGACGTAAACGCTGAGTAGGGTGGTGGCCACGCTGGAGATGGTCTGATAGCCATCCAGGTCAATGCACAAGGTGTAGTACTGACCTACGTTCTCCCCCGCTCCGCTCGTCGTGGTCCGCACCGTTGGGAAGGCTCAAGGATTGGAGAGATCGGTGGGGGTCCTTTGTCTTTCTGCTGCTGGGTAGTACCCAATCAGAAGGTAGCGGCTAGAGTATATTAGACTCATTCTGCTGCTGTGTCGCTTGTTTCACGTTGCTTGGTTGGCTTGGTGTATTGATTGGGCTTTCCATGGGTTTCGTCCACACGCTCTCCATGGTCACGTCCTCCACCCATGAAGTGGTCCAACTCTGCTCTCCGGACACCAAAAAAGAAATGAACAGTGAACATGCCCTTCGAAGACTTCGTTCTTGTAGGTGCCGAAATGCCCCACTTCACCTATAGACTTCATCCCCGTCTGCCGCCCAAAACGCGGCAGACGGACGTAGTTCTCGTCTCGACCGAACCTTGACCCAGGTTGCATTGGCTTCAGGGCCGGAAGTTCTGTTTCTTTTGCTTTCCGTGCTTTTTTCAACTTGACTGGGATAGATATGGAGTCTAGAAGGAAAGCAACCTGTTTGGTTCCAATCAGCGATCTCAAGTTGGGCAATCTTTGTGTCGACAGGGCCATGTGTTTCGTGACATGACGGGAGAATCAACGACCAACACGGTCGCACCAGGCTGGCCTGAGCCTCGTTCGCATGTTCCACCCATCTATATATCCGAGCCCCCAGGCCTGTCAACAAACTAGCCTCAAACAGAAGTGATTCGGGGTGTCTTACAAGGGCTCTAGTAGACTCTAGGCATTTCATCTGTGTTCAGCATTTGTTCACTTCCGGCCTTGTAGCAAAGGCCGGGTATCTAAGCGCAAGAGCCACAGCTGGACACCCACCATTCCCGAAGTGTATCCCTCACTGAAGCTGGCATAGGCAGGAGCTGACTCCGTCAAGAACCAGCCTCAACGTCGTCAGGTCCACCGGCCATGGTTGAATAGCCTGAATCCCGAACAATCATAGTGTTACTTGAGGATAATCTACACTAAAACATACTAAAACCAGGTCAAGTTTTTTTAAGACTGCCTTTGAAGGGTAGGATGTAGATGTTCATGGCCGCAACACAACACATTTGCGGTCTCCTGGAGGTGAACAAGTTGGACATGAACTTGAGGAGCATCGCCCCGCAAGCTGATCATGAACGGCGCAAAGATGACGCAAACAGTTCGACTGGAAGTGGTGACAGGTCGACTGGAAGTGGAACTTTATTTTTTGTGAACTATGTGCAATGAAGTGGGACTTTGGATGAACTTTAGAAACTGTTTATACATATTTAACTTAAATACAATATATTATGTTGTATATGACTGCTTGTCACAAGGTTTGCAGTGAAAGTACAGGAGCTTTACTGCTTCTTGCTGCAACAAAATCACTGACTGGCCATGGCCTCCTCCTTGGCCAGGTGGTTTCCTCTCTCTAAGATCTGCCCATCTAATTCCTGCCTCACTCTTGAAGATTGGAAGCCTCCCAGGACTCCTAGGACTCCCAAAAGCGCCGACGAAATGGCCGGCCCACCTCCCACGCCTCCCCCACGTCCCAGCGGTGGCCCGACTCCGAACTCACCGCTCTGAAGTCGAGCTCATGAGCCGAAAACAAGAGACAAGTGTTGTCGGAAGCTCTTCGCGTCCAGTACCTCAGCCCGAACCGCCGTGGCCCGAACCGCCAACACCGGGACCAGGTCGTTTTGGTGTAGCTCAGCTCTCGAGCTGTTCCGGGGGGTTGGAGGGTCGGGCAGATGTCTTGACACCCCGAAAATCAGACAACCCTGAAGAGGGGGCCCTGGTATATGTGTCCAAAGGGCTCACCATGCTGGAGGCATACCCAGAGGATGCGAGTATGGTCCAACTCCTCAGATGGTCCAACTTAGCACGCGAAAGTCTAGTCATCTGGAGCAGATAGAAAGTCTAAAACCTCCAAAAACGATAAGAACCTGGTCATGTGTCTGATTGGTTCAACTTCTCTCTACTCCAGAATGGTTGTACTTCCAGAAAATGGTGGAAAATTGATACAGGCTCTACCCGCCCCTTCGTTGACAAGGGGGGTAGGAAAATGTCCAACATCGAACTGGAGATGAGCCTCCATGTAGAGGATATACAGTATAGGCCTACATTGACATTGACACCTTCTCAACCACCCCCGAAAGACCATGGACCCAGTGATGTTCATGTGCAGGAGAGCAAGCCAATCTGCCAGTCCCATGTCCTTGCGAATTCGGGCTTCCTTGGTCCCCCAAATCCCTGCATTCCAGGCCACGCATAGCCACGCTCCGTCGCCGCATGCGCGCAGGCCGCATCGTTGCGGTAACCAACCTGGTGTTCTCCGCATCGGATGGGGTGGTCAAAAACAGATCATGTTCGAACGTGGCGGATTTTCTTCACCGTTCTCCACCAATCTGTACATGCATAGGGGGGGTTCACAAGCAGTTTCGATGTTTGTGGTGTCAGGGTCCCACATGTTCCCACTCATGACGGGGATCCAAGATTGTAAACTCAGATCAAGAATCCACAGAAAGCCTATAGGCCGGCCCCTAGTAGGCCAGAGAAACAGCAACCAAAGATCAGCCAAGGACTAACCTCCCTCTTTGCGCATCTGGCCTCGCTGGACTCCGTCTCGTTGCGCTCCTCGTCCACGAAGCTCACGTCCGGCCACACGACCAGGTGGTCCGTCCCCGAGAACCTCCCATGATCCGCTCCGCCACGTCCGGTGCGGCGGATCACGCCCGGGGCGCCAGCTGTGGGGGAGGGGTGGTTTTGGGGGACGGAACAGAATGGGGTCGGATCCAGGAAACTAGGTTCGCAAGGTACCAAGAACCTCGCAAACCACCAACTTGAAACCTCCAACATCTTCCAAAATGGTGAAACCTCGTTTTTGGAGACCGGAAGTGGAGCAATCGCCAAGGGGCCTGGACCGGATCTCAAATACTCCATGGATCTGCAGATGGGACCAATGTATGCAAAGATGCCTATACATGGACCAATTACAGCAACTCCTGGCAGTCCTATCCCAGTCCCAGACAAGTCGGTGTCCGGGTGTGAACGCCACGGTCTCGCACGAAGACTCTCGCCCACTCGACCGAGTGGCGACTGGGACTGGGTGCGTTCCGACCACAGGGCGTTGCTGTAGCCGTCGGCCACGGCGGTGTCGCAGCTGGTGGCCAGGTAGGCCGTGGTGAGCTCGTTACACCAGTGCAGCTGATTCACGTAGTTCCTTGGAATGCTTGGAAATCGAAGTTGGGGCTGCTCACTGCGCTCTCCCAGTGATTTTGAGGGAAAAAACACACACACCTCTTCCCCATGCGAGGGGATTCATCCAGTTCGGGCACATGGATGATGTAAAACCATCACCGCTATAGACGAATTGACTTCGTTCGATGTCCAGATGCGATGTCGCAGGCTCGCGAGGTCAGCTCTGGACGAACGATCCTTCGCTTAGTAAAGACACGCAAAACCAGTGTGGAGCATGGAACCGGGCTGGAAAAAGGGACTGCTAGACAGTGGGACTCCGATGTGTTTCAAAAGACAACGACGACAACGACAAGCACAACAAACACAAACGCATTCCACGTCGTATGTTCTTCTGTCTTTGAAACGGCCGACGATAGATAGGTTCTTGCAAGCCCCTTTGGGGCGAGCCAGTCCGCTGAAAAGAGAGATCTGTCACTTCCCTATGTGGCTAATCGTCATGGTCATGGCACCACAACCAGTTGACCTACCTGAGAAGTCTACCCATGGTGGACGACTTAGGGCTCAGGTTTTGACCCATCCAGGCAGAGACTCCACTCATTTGGATTGAGACAGGCTGGAAGAAGGGATGACTGAGGAAACGGCTGAGCGTCCCTGGAGCGTCTATCCGTTCTGAGGTCCTGAGGTCCAGGGACTGTCCAGTGAGTTCTCTCCTCTAGTCACTATAGTCCTCTCTTTGCGGACGTGTACGTTCAGAATTCTTACACCCAGCAGCCGTGGTTGAGAACTTTGGAACCAGCTAAGGGGGGGAAAACTCATGCGATGCTTTCTGAACGGCGGAGTCCGCCCAGTTCTGCCGATCGAACGCACCCAGTTTGGAAGCAGGCCACTCGACCGGCGCAAGAGTGGTGAACCACTCGACCGGCGGAGCCCACAAAATCCCTCAGCTCCGTGGCCAAGGCTCTTGGTAAAGTTTTGCACTCCCACCATCAATTCTTCCTGTCAAGGCAGTTTCAGCGACCCGCAAAGCACAGCATCTCAACCCCATTGAGAGCCCCTCCATCTAGAAAGAAATGGATGTTTCCCCAGTCCCAGCCATTTCCTATGTAAAGGATCTCAAGTGCCATATTGGAACAACAACCATTTGTTAGATGGCAGGATTCGATCAAAAGCTTCAATTCTCCCCGAAAGATGTCTTCAACTGCTGGGCTAGACACATGTCAGGCCCTCTTAAAAGTGCAACTGTCACACCCAAGAAGAGCAAACACTCACTTTTGGGTTGCTTGCCCACACTTCCCCATCCAATAACAGCTATGTCACGTGTGCATCGGTTGATTCAACCATGTCTCGAACACCCCTCTGGCAGCCAACCTTTTTCCCCGCAACAAGGACTGTTTTCTTCACCGAATCTGCGTTTGTTTCTCCAAGATCTTAGACTCGTATGGACAAATTTGAACGATATCCCGATACCCCAAGGATCCGGTTCCCACACCAATACTAAGGACCTAAGCTCAGATATCGGATCAAAGATTTCAGATTTGTTGGTAGGGATCGCACTTGAGAGGATGCCCATGAGTCACAAAGGCTATATATATATATATATATAGATGATCCCTTGAGAACCATCTCAGACCATCTCATTGGAGGATTTCTTGAGTGCCGCCAATTCTCAAATCTCCCCTTCTTGTTCCCAGACGCATCCCTAAACCCGAATCTATGGAGGGATTGGACCCAAACCTATGCTTTGGATTTGATTTACCCACATGGTAAATATAGAGATCCGAAAGGCTGGGGAAAACAGCACCGTTTGGAACCCTGACCCAAAGAAGCTGCACAGATGACCCTACAAGTCAAGTCAGACCATTTTGGTGACCACCCCAGTAATTCCAGACTTCAGGTCTATTAGTCACACTGGATTCCCAGGCTGAGTTTCTCTCCACCGTCCGACTGTAACCCCCAACAGTCCACCCGGCCCGGCTGAGAAACTCCACCGTGTCATTCTGTAACCCTAAAGGAAGAACACGATCACCCCCCTTGGCGCCTCCGTGTCATTCTCCGGCCACCATCCCATGGCCTCCTGGAAATCCACAGAAATCCGCGGCACATCGATGCTGTTCATGTTCGACCGGCGGGAGAGTGGCGGGTGAAAAAAGAACCCTGAAGAGGTATGCTTGCTTCCCCTGAGTGCAAAACGACGCACCCTCCAATGACCCCCCGACCCCCCGTTCACTTGGCAACTTGGCAACTTGGCAGAGGAATGCATCATTCGCACCAGAGCCCAGAAGCGCATGAATGCATCAGGCTCGCCAGGAATCGAAAAACGCTTCGCCAACGGCCCACCCAAGACCTTAGATTTCAAAAGGGGAGACAATTGAGACAGACACCCAAACGACCAAACTCTTGGTTCTTTGTTTTTTTATGTTCTCTGTTTCAGTCTGAGCTCGCTCGCCCCCCCCGGTCTAGGCTCGCTCGCCCCCCCCATTCGCTCGCCCACCTGGGGCCGCGCAAAGCAGGCCACGCTCAGCGGCGCTGTCAGCGACCAGCGGATCCGAGGACTTCGAAGCCCTGCCACCTCAGCGGAGCGGCGGAGCGGTCGAACGATGCGTGGAGCCTAATTCATTGGGGTGTTGGGGGGCATCCAGGGCTTGGTCCAGGTCTTCCCACACGACCTCATGAGTTGGAAGTCGAAGTCGACAAGATTTGCCTCATGTGCAAAGAAACTTCCCCAAATCAGTCCTGATGACTCTGAGTTGACTGAGCCCATTCTTTCTTTGACTCTCAAAAGCGGTCCCGGACCGGACCGGTCACGTTCACCGCTGGAGACGGCCAATCAGACGAGTCGAGATCACGGACCCAAACGCAATAAGGCCAATCGATTTCATCGACCCTATATATAGAAGCATCTAGCACCTGCGCTGGAAGTCCAGGAACTGGACCAGACTTCGGGGCCGAAGGTGTCAGGAAAGCACCCTGAACATCCGGGTCAATCGTCAGGCCCATTCTCTTTTTATAGTCTTTAACTCGCAGGGTAGATGTTTCGTGGGGGGAACTCTTCACTCCTGGCTTACTATAGGCAATGGAAAGACACCTGCTGCGAGACAAAATGACTTAGAGAATCTTAGAAATAAAATGAAATAATATGTATGCATTGCCCAGGCCCACTGCACAATAGTGTCGCCAAAAGACTGTATCCCAGGTATGCTGTTGAAAGAAAAGTCTCCAATAAATATCCCTGAACACGCATCACTCAAGTCACATTCTATTCTTAGCTTTCGTTTCCTAGGCCGAATTCTGCGGGAAAAATATACTCTTCATCCGCACGCACGCACCGCGCCGAATCCCCCGATTTGCGCTGCGAGACGGCAGAGATGTAGACGGTGTGGCGCGAGTCTCCGTAATAACGAGTCTGGCTCGAGCCATCCTGAGATCCCAAGGGCACCGTTTTTCTTCATGGAAGAGGGGCATGTGGGGGCTCCACTCTTTTTAGTGGATAGGGCGACCTCTTCTGTGCGACCTCATGTGACGACCCAGCATTTGAGGAAAATCAGGGGAGTAGGGTTCCACCGGGTCGATTGTGGTCGATGCTGTCCAACTCGGAGGTCTCCTGATTCATCCTATGGATGCGAAGGCTCATCGCCCGGTGTCCTTTCATGGACGGATGCGTCATGGGAGGCGGAAGGCGCAGGATTCGATGCGGACCCCCCATGGTGGTGAGCAACTTCCACACCTCTGGCTCGGATCGACCGAACCGCCGACCCGTTGGAAGGTTCGGAATCGACTCGACGCCAGGGGCGAGAGTTTCGGGGACACCTCCCTACCTGAATACGGAGGAACCAAAACGGTGCTCAGTCAGGTAGAAAACGAGTTGTTGTTCGCTCTCCAGCGAGCGAAACAAACCTGAACCGTTCGGGTCAGGTTTGACCTCGTGAACCGGTGTTCCAAAGATCGGTGCCGGTCGAATGTCTTGCCCCTGAGAGTCGAACCACCAAAAAGAATGGTCTGACAAAGGGGTAGATGAGATCTGATTTCACTGAAGCTGAAGATCGTCGAATTCGACTTCGTTTCCCAAAGCCTGCTCTTAGAACTATAGCACTTCGATGTGTGTTCAGAGACCGTGTGGCCACGTCGAGACAAAGATGGTAGTAGACGCCAGCAGTCAGGTTTGCAGCATCAAAAGTCAAGGAAAACTCTCCTGACACGACTCAGGCTCTGCAGGTGTGTGTTGACAGTTCGTCCTAGACAGTGGTGAAAGGAACAATCAAGGCCTTACACCTCACAGATTTGCAGGTCTTAGATGTAGTCAGGTGTCCCATGGAACTTGATTCACGTGCCCTTTGACCCAAAGACCACTGGTTGGGGTTCCCCCTAAAGCAAAGGCAAAGGCTTCCCCCAAGGCCAAGCGTGGTCGAATTGACCAACTCACCATCATCTTTTGGCCGGAAAAAAAACATAGAAACTGTTGGAATCTGCAGTTCTATTGTTTCTCTAAATAGCATGGGAGATCCGACAAGCAGTACATGAGAACGACGAACAGGCATGAACAGCCTCTCGTCACTCGTCACCGTGGCGGCCGCCTGAGGTCCCCGTGGAGCGCAGCGGTGCCGAGCGGGTGCGGAAGGGCGGCGTCTCCGGGACAACGCCCGGGGACGAGATCTCTTCACCTGCGGACCGCGCCGCACCGTGGCCGTGGCGCTGAGATCGACCGAGACGGGGAAGGCGAGGGGGATCGGTGCACCGGATGAAACATGACCTGAGCGTTTGGATAGTTGGGACCCGATCTGGGGTGGTTGGTGATCCAAAATAGAGGTCATCCAGGTTCAAGAAAACCAGTCCCGTCTGACCCAGCAGCTAGTCTCTGGTCCTGGAAACGTCCGTGGGGGTTCTATGACCAAAGACCCGGTCAAACCTGGGTGCTTTGGTATGACCAGCTCCACCAAAATGACTCAAACTAACCTGTTGGGTATGGTAATGTGGGACAAATGAGTCAAAAGGACCCTGGCTGACCACTGAACATGACGAGAGGAGACTAAGGAACCGATCCTGAGGTGAAAATCCAAACAAGAAATGGAACACCAGCAGTTCCTACCGCCCCGCTCACTGCAAAAGGGGCGAAACGAAACCGCTCCCAAATTAGGAACGGCGGTGGATCAAAACCGGGCGACCAACGGGACGGGACTCTCCGCTGACTTCGTCCACAAGTGGACCACCTTTGGCCCCACTGAAGTAAAGGAAGTTCCTGAAAAAAATGTAGGGGCACCCAGCCAAACGTTCTAAAATTGGCTGGACCGCTGGGGGCTCCCGGAGCCTCTCTTTCAGAGCTGAGTTGAGTCGGCCACGAAACCAACGCTCCGACCGATGCCGAGCTGCAGTCAATACCCAAATACCTCACATTCGGTGGGCTCGGACGCCACGCCGACCAAGCAAGCGGTGGGAGAACCGACGACGTGTTCGGCTCCTCGCACCAGTTGTATGATGTGTTTGGGAACGGATCATGTTCCGCTCGGGTACCAACGAAGTCGGGTTCAGGCAGAAACCAAATGGTGGTTCCAACAGAAGTTGAAGCAACTAAGCGGTTGAAAATCTCTCAAAAGCTCATAGAAGCTCCAAGTATTGAGCTCGGTCTTGGAGCTGAGATGATGTGAAGTCGAGGCCCTCAAGGGGCGAATCGGTACATTCTCAGACAGTCCGTGGACCCTACAACCATCCAGCCCAATCCCACAAAAACTTCCAGGAAAAGACTCCAGCAAACATCTTTCACCGGATGTCTTTTTTGGGCCATCACCCCTTCCAAGAGCTCAATCCTCGAGTCGCCAAACGGATAACAAGCGCCTCTCAGGTGCCAAGGCACATATAGGTGCTGGTGGAGCAGACAGTGGGGCAGGTCACAATCACAGTCCTACGGAACCAGGTGAAGAGATCACAGTCCTACGGAACAAGTGAGCGCTTCTGGCTCTTCAACGCAGTTTGGATGCTTCGAAGTCTCCGGAAATGTCTGGTGCGTCGTGCGATCGCTTCTCCGGGAGTTCTATGTCGACTGGGCGTTGATGTCGACTGACGTTGACTGGGCGAAGTCGTGGCATCGAGCGGCATCGAGGTTTCTCCTGGTTTCTACTGGTGTCTCACATGGAACCTCTCCTGCCCAGGTCTTGCGTCACAGTCGTGGGCGCCACTGCAGTCACAGGACCTGCGTGGGTCAAACCGAAGAAAAGGCCCTGCAGTTATCCCTTGGACCTGTCTGGGTATCAAATATCTGTCTTTTTGAAGACATACACACAATATGGGGCCACCTAATCAGCAAGCACCCACAAATAGATCATATATCCCTGGACCATCCTGTCTGGGTGTCCTGGCTGGCGATCCCCAAGTAGTGTAGTGCCTATAGTAGGGTAGTCTAGCCAGGACACCAAGACAGCATGGTGCTTGGTCTGTTTCCGGGTTCACTGACAAAGCACTGATTGTGAATTTGCACCGCCCTCTGCACCTAGTGATGTTATCGGTCCATCATTCTCTTGCCAACCCATGGATTAAGAACCAGCAGCCAACCTTTACAGAGGGTTTGGGTGAACGAGAAGTTATAGGTGACGTGCAACCTACCGGTCACTCGCATCGAGTAGGAACGCAGAGGAACACCGGTGCAAAGGGTGAGGAACACCGGTCGAAAAGCTTTCAGGTCCTCACTTACGGGACGAGCGTGTGCTTGGTTCTGTTCGGGAACAGCTCAATCAAAATACCCGACGACCCCAAAACTGAGGCATGCAACAGGCATGTTAGCGGCTCCCACAAGGTGTAGAGCTGGCATCAGCAGAACAACAAGCACAAACGAACAGGCAGAAGCCACCTCGTCGACCTGAAAGAACCACACCATGCCATTAGGGCCATAACTGGCCATAACCATCTGCAATAGTGAAACCATGTGAAACCTTCAATTGCACTGCGGCCTTTTTGGGAGGCCAATCTCTGTTATTTGATCCCACAAAAAGAAAATCAAAATAATAACGCATGGCATCGTGCGCGTCACTAGGAAAAGCCACAGAACCAAATGAGTCACCCAAAACGGCCAAATGCTGTGGCAAAGCCTCCTGCTTTTCCGCACTCTTTTCAGAGCTGCATGAAGCAGACAACATGTTCATGCCTAATTTACGTTCAAAATGTAAAGGTCGTTTTAAAAAGTAATGTACATGCAGAAAAAGGTCAAACCCAAAAAGTTGCTTTTTGAGGCTGCCATCGATGCAATCCCTAAGAATTGGAAGACAGATGCTTCCGCTCAGTGCATCTACTTGTTATATCTTGTTATATAAGACACCAAGAGAGCTGCCGACTTGGAGGTGCCGACTTGGAGGGTCCTGACAGCTCTCTCTGACCAGGACTCGGGTTGACCGCCCACGGGTTGCCTGGAACTCACACTCCGAATACATCGACGTGGATTTCTGAAAATGCCCACTTCCCCTTGAAACCGGCTTTGCCGGTCCCTGTTCTGCTTCATTGGGCGGGTGGCTGACGAAGAGTTGAAGTCCCGTGGGACCTGGTCGATGAAGAGGTCCAGGACCATCCACGTCAAGGCAGACCTCAGTCGAGCGTGGACATGTCCACCTGTCCCGTTGCCAGGGTCCAGGACCGGACCCAGGACCGGACTCTCCTGGTCCTGAAAACCTCGTGGTTCGCAGTGGTATTTTCTGGTGTGACCTCGTTTGATCAACTCCTGTGTTTTGGGTCGGACCCCATTTCTGGTCCCATCACCCACAGGCTAGCTGGTCCAAACCTGAAAACCTGATCGTGGGGGTTTTGTATGACCAGGTCCAAATGAGGTCGTTCACTGACTCTGACCTGCCAAAGACCGGGTCAAACCTGATCCTGATAAATCTGAAAAAACACACTCATGTTTGTAGTGTGTTTGTATGACCAACTGCCAGCTTATTTCATAAGCTAGGTCGTTCACTGACCTGCAGGGTGTGATCTCTTGGGTAGCGAAGCATCGGGACCCACCGGAGCATCGGAGCCTTTGCTTTTTGGGCCAAGACCCAAGTATGATTGGAGCCTTTAAAGAGGAGGGGGGGCCAGTCCACTCACACCCATCCTGGAGTAGATCGAATATGAACCAATCCAAAAAGCATGACCAGTTTCCTAGATGTTGTCTTTGTTTTCCCATATTGTATCCACTCCAGGATTACTATGTTTGTTTTGGGTCCGGTGCCTGCCATAGACCCTCGCGCCTCATAGTGGACGCCCGCCGCGAGATCTGCTGTGTTGAAGTTCGCCAAGAAGGAGTAACTGCAGGAGGCAACTTGATGTAGATGGGATTCTCTGCTTCCAGTTCCCTCTGCTTGGAGAAGCTGAGAAGCTGTCTTTCTTCAGGTGGCTTGATGTAGATGGGATTCTCCACTCCCTATGCTTGGAGAAGTCTTTCTTTTTTCAGGCGGTGCTGTAGAGACCACTTCCGTGAGATCATGCGGTGCCGTGAGTGGAGATCATGCGGTGCTTGCTTGCTGCTTGCTCCTCTCCACCGTTTGGAAGTATCTGTTCCCATGAAAATAGGTGCATGCGTTCTGGCAAATGAGTTGAAGGGCTGTTGTTTTTTCCCGAAATAGGACATAGATTAATTGGGTCTATCCCATCTGAGATTGAGACCAGTGGATGATGTTCTGAGGTTGGCCATGTTCCCAAGTGCGTGATGTTCTTCTTTACGATGGCTCTACAGGTAAACCGGGAACAAACTGGAGACACCGTTTGGGACCAAATGAAGAAAGAGAGAGAGAGAGAGACAACGTAAGCGACCTGATTCGGAGACCGGCCTCCTGACGTGACGGGCCAATTGCTTTCGATCCGGACCACGCTACAGGGTGGGAGATGAAAATTTCAAAATATCGGTCACTCGTGCTGGAACACAAATCTCCAGACAAAGGTCGAAGGTTCAAAAAATAAGGTTGATCATCTTTTCAAACCTATTGTGCAACCAGAAAGAATCATACACACTTGTCTCCTACCGGGCTCCTCTGCAGCCGTCCAAATCTAGAGGTCTTCCCCCTCAGGATTCTGAGAACGAGTGAAAATAGACTAGATCCTGGCATTAATATCCACACAAAGGGACATGGCTTCTGCAAGGACATCTTGAAGAGATAACATCCACAAACCCCAAGCCTCGCCTTCCGCTGTTGCTCTGCAGCGTCACCACGGGAGATGATACCCCAGGGCTATAACCCCAGAAGTATGTCTCTGTCTCGGTGCTGTTGCAATGGCTGGCCAGAAACAGCTGAGTGCCCGAGGTCACCTGATCCGGGCGAAGCAAAGAATCCCCCCAAACACCTGGATCCTCCAAACGGGTGCTTGCTTAAGCTGGTCCCATCCATCCGAAGCCGTGGGCCGTGGAGCGGCAGGTTTTCCGGAACTCGGGGTGTTCGGAACTCGGCACCGTGTTTGCAATGGAACTGCTGGTACCTGGATGCCTGGATGTTCCATTTGTGCAAGTTGCTTCTGCTGGTTCTCGCTCTCCATGGCGGTCCCAAAACCCCTTGTGAACCCTGCAGGGAGAAGCGAGAAGGTCAACCGGCTGACCTAACCCGCCATTCGCGGGCGCGAGAAAAATAAACAAACACGTTTTACAAAAAGATAGACCCTTGGTCTTGTACTGGGCGGTGTGAAGAGAGGTAAAGAGCACAATAAGCTAAAGTTGACCATACCACCATGGTTTGGTGGGGGAGGTTGGTTCCTCAAAAAGAATCCCATGGGAGGCCTCTGGGAGGAGCTGCAGTATTTGTGAAGGACCTCCCCAACCGAGCCTCTTTGGGTGCATCAATCTGCAGGGAATGGTGAGAGCATCCCTGGCCATAGCCTTCTTAGACCATGAAAAAGAATGGTTGACCTTGTTTTGTAGTCTAAAACCCTTGGTAAGACCATGATTCTTTGGTAAAGACCATTAAAACAATGGTGGTTGGAATCCCAGGGCTGAGAGCCAAAGACTCTAACAAGAATGGTCTGACTAGGTATCTGATTTGGGGACTTCCTTTGCTTTACTGGGGGCAGAATAGTCGATCGAACTGGACTTCCAGGTGGCATAGCCTTAAAAAAAGAAGCGTGGGCTTAGCCGACCAACTCAACGGCACGCTTGGGCGCTTGGGGAGGTGAAATCTCATCAGGAGTCGAGAGTCAAAGTGAGGACTTCTAGGGTAGAATCTTTGAAGTTACGATCCTCGGCTCCAAAGTGACTTGCTTGGTCAACAGTGACCACTCGACCAGACAGCATCACATGCACTATCGATCTCCGTCTCCGAAGCAGCTCGGACGACCAGCAGCTCTATCAACGGCTCAGACGACCGGCGGCTCAGCTCTTTATCGTCCGCTGAGAGCTGAGGGAACACACCGACGAATTGGCCGACCATGATGGGAACTTGCATCGTCTCCAGAAAGGCCCCTGAAAAACCAACCCCAAAATACTCCAAACTGCAACTGCAAAGATGCTAGTCCTAGACAGGTCATGTCAGGGTTCGGTCGTGAACCGATGATGTCCGGGTGGTGCATCAACCGCTGCGTTACCCGCTGCGTTACCCGTGTGCCCTCGCCCTCGCCGCCCCCGCCGCCAAAAACGGTCGGCCTTTGGGACATGCTTTTTGTGATTCCAACTTATATAAGTCAAGTAAGTAAGTGTACCAAAAAACATCACCTGACCTACCTTTTTTGAGCCCTTGGCACCTCCCTGATCTTTCCAAGTAAGTAAGTGTATAGACTCTCTTCACACACTTTTGTTTTGTTGGATGATCACAAGTTCAAATCTATATATATATATAGAACTGATTCCTTCCATAGATCTGATTCAATTCCAAAACCATTTTCCCATCCACCAGGCCGCCCTAGATGTCCAACAAGCCACAGGGAGGACTTCCTGTCCATAGGGCATCCCCACATCGAATGTGATCTCATAGATGCTGCTGGGCCCCGTGAGGCCAGTCGGGTTGGCGGTATCGGTGACATAATCCACGGGCACACGAAGCTGAAAGCGCCGAGGGGAGACCGGAGGCAGCTCGTAGCGGAATTCCAGCAATCCAAAGTCCTCCCAGCTTAGACCACAGGCAGCTTCGACCGGTCTGACCGGAGTGGTGTTTTTCTCTGCGCGGTGCAAGACGTCGCGGTTCCATGGAAAACCACCACACCACTACCTGTTGTGGGAGGTGAGAGAACATGGTCAATCCCAAGGGGGCATGTTCCAACCATGATGTCACGGAGTGTGCATGAAGTCCGCAGGAGTGACATGCACACGCTGAACAAGGCATTTCAAGTGGGTGGCTCAAAGACTGGGGTGCCGTGATCGAACGTACGACTGACATACCTGGCAACCCCACGAGATCGAACATGACGTTGACATGTGATCACCCGCCCCAAAGTAATGGTTCCCAAAGCTGGTCTCAACGTGCAGGTCTCTTCCACTCGGTACCACACTGAAATGGTGCCCCAATGGATCGGTCCAGGAAGGCTCAGTGAGGATTGTACTTCAGCTCCATCCATGGCGCAGGTTTTGGGCCGGAGTTTCAGGGACTCCCTGCATGGAGAAAAAATGTTGGGGGAGAAAGTTCTTTCTGCGCGGTAGTTGATGTCCTTTTCATATCATAATCACCCGTATATATAGTATATAATATGCATCATAGAATATCATGTATATAACTGTAACTGGATAACTAATTTCCTGAACGTCGTCTTGAACGCAACATGCCTGAAAAACCTGCTCCACTGGGAAAACACCGGGCCATCGCGGAGGGCAGGTTGAGATGACGTTCATCTGCTTGGACCGGTGAGTCATCTCGATGACCCCTGCGCTGCCCCGCGCCCACTCTCCGAACAGGCAAAAAGGCATTCCAAAAGGGCGCCCAAAGTGAAGCCCACCCACCCGTCGTGTCTGACTCTTCCACTAGCACGAACCACCCCCCTTCCGCCCAACACCGTCGCATTAAGGGGGACGAACTCCATCGAACTCGCCGCAGTCTCCTGCTTCTGCGCTCGAATGGTTGCCAAATCCGTGACGCCGTCCACAAAAGGAGTCAAGGTCGTGGTCTTGCTGCCGCCCGTCAAGATGCTGGTGCTGGAGCAATCGAAGTCCTTGGACCAGTGGAATGGTCGACTGAGCCTCCTCGTTCCGTCCACGGTTTGTGCGGAGAAGGCGGGTCTTGAAGGTGCTTCACGACTTTCAGAGGATGGTCTAAGGCAACCGCAAACCTTTTGCGCAGAAAAAAGAATTGGACACATGTTTAGAAACGACACAGGGAACGAGGCAGCCAAAAACATGTAGAAGAGAAAGGCATGCTTAGTTTATATCATCCATCTCTCTGCAATAACCTCATGGGCACGGCACAACAACCAAAATTGATAATCAGCAGGCAATCTTAAGTTTTCTTGCAGATTGCAATCACACACTGAAGTTGGTGCATGTCACAGGAGCTGTACTCAGGACCCTCACGGTTTTGTACAGGCTCTGCCTGCCCGTCAAGTGACAAGGGGACTTGGAGTCGCAGGGACCTCGCAAGCCGTCCGTGTCGGAGAAAGTGTACAGGTTTGGGTGAGCTGCCGACTCGTTCGTGGCGAACAGGGCCACTTAGTTCTGTTGTTTAGTAGTGTCCCCAGGAGTCCAGTCGACCATTCTCAAGACCAGCTCTTTGGGGTGACCCAAGGTGAGGTTCCGGAGCACTTCGCCGTGAAAAGCCGAGGGAGGGTTTCCCCCTCATCAGACCGATCTGGAGGAGGCTTCACCCTCCGAGACCGGCGAATTGATTGGATTCCATTCCCCAAACCCTTGAGGTGGCCTACATGGGCCACTAATTAGGCCTAAAACCCTTTGGCCCAACCGACCTTACTGACCTTACCCCCCCCAGCTTACCCCTGATCCCCCAACTCGCTGACCCTGCTGGCCTTGCGACACCTCCCTGACGCTGCTCGTTCGTCCGGGCGTCTGTACCACAATCGAGCAACTCCAGATCCGTTGCTCCACTAAAGGACACATCCTGCGACCAGAACACTGGACACCCGAAGCCTTCGGCGAAGCGAGGGTCTGGAGGAGCAGGTTTTAACCAATACGGAGACATACGTCGATACGTCCTCCGGTTGGGTGGATGGTGGACTGCCCGGTGGCACCTAGCTGGTTTAGCACGGAGCACCTATCCACCTTTTTGCCTTTGATAATGTTTAGAAATGTAATTGATGATCTCTTCTGAAGAATGGGATGTCCAGCAATTTGCAGGGAGTTTCGATTTGCCTCTGGGTCTTTACCACCAACGACACGCAGCTCACCAGCGAGAAGCAGCCGCAGTTGCACACGCATGTGTCCCCAATGGCACGGACTCTCCAAATCGCATGGCATAGCGGCAAAGGGACAACTTATCGAAAAATATTGAAATCAATTGAAATCTTGCTTTGTTAGTCTGAAGGAAACTCTACGAGCGAACTACATCCAAGCATCAATCTGTTGATACAGCTCCGCAGCTCTGAAAAAAAAAAGAGATATATCCCCCTTCGATCTTGAAGGATGTTTTGCATTGCGGATACAAGATATACAAGTTTAATTCGTGACTTCGTAGGTGGCTTGATCACCTCTCCGGCTGGACTCGACCGTTCGGCTCCAAAGCTCGCTCTTCCCATCTTTCAACCAACTCGGGGACCAACTCGACCGGTTCAGCTCTGTGAGCTCTGGGGTGCAATGTTTGCGCGCCATTTTTTGTTCAAGAAACCGCTGGAAGGGGTGACTCGGGGATGACAGAACATGGTGTTAGGATGTGCTATCAAATGCCTCCGCCGCGCACGAAAACATGGGGTTGATCTCTACATGAGGATTGACGGGGATCTTGCGCTACTTGGATTTGCTTGCGGAACCTGGAAAATGCAAAAAAAAATCTCCAGAATGGGGATTTTACCATGATCTACCAAGTTCGGGAAAACAACAAATCACTATATTAAACAAAAAAAGACAGGTCGAAACGATTCTGTAACCATGTAGACCTGACAGTCCCTAGGACTGGCCCACATCAGAAGGTTGAGACCTGACATCCCCCAAACCCCAAAACCCCAAAACCATCCACAACCACCGAACCGAGTGGATCAGACTCCAAACCAACCCACCTTTGGTTGATCAGGGCCCCGGGCGTGTTCGAGACCCGAAAAAATCGGGTCGTTCGCACGTGCGAAGAAGTGCGAACGGCGCTCAACCTATCTTGTCCTCCTGAGTTTTCGCCCGGATATAAAAGAATTGGCTGCTCTCAGCTTGGCCGCTGGAAGTTTAGGGTCCAAAATGCACCAAAAAACAATTTTTACCTTTTTAAGCATCTAGAACATCCACCGCTTCCCTCAAGTGCACAAAAAAGGCCTCGGTGAAGATCACAAAGCCATGTGCAAAGCTGTCGATCACCTGTCGCTCACAGTGACGTGCACGGCTGGCGACGTGCACCCACTCCGCCATCGGTGCAGCGAATTTTTGTGGGTCAGTGGATGTTGATCGAATGGCCTGAAAGGAGTTACCCTGTTGCTTCGCAGATCCACCCAAAAAGACCAAACCGTTCAGGACGAAGGAGTTGGATTCCCGCAGACCACAGAGAAATTCCTCTCGTGTGGGACAAGAAGATTCGATCACTTTTGCCCAACAAAAACCTGGAGGAATGTTTCTTTTTCGAAGACATAGAGAACTATCAAGGAGGGGTGGGTGGGATAGGCCGCGGCCCCAGGCCAAGGCGATCATGTCAAGAACGAATCTTGCACACCAACATCCAAAACCGACCCAAGCAATACCCCACACAACACCTTGCTGATGTCATCATCACCGGTGACGAAATCTGTGGGGCCCTCGACTCATTGGAATACACAGCTGTAAGCCCTTTCCCTTCATACTAATATAGTGACTTAGAGTAACTATAGCACCCTCCCAATAACCAAATCTTTGAGCGCTCCAAGTGAACTTAAGGGCAAAACAGCGCAGCAGCCTGCGCCTTTAGATCCCTTAGTTTTCTCCCCATCAACCCCCTTTCCGGCACCTCCACGTGAGAGCTCATCGCGACCTCCGGCGGATCGGCGTCCGTGAAGACGTTGACCGTCGTCCACTGCCTCACGGAAGCGGGTTTCCCATGCGCCTCGTCGTTAGCTTTTCTTCACTTCGCCAGGCAAAAGTGTGGACAAGAAGATCGGGTGCCAAGCGCCAAGGTGTGGAAGATTGGGTGCCAAACATGGACCCATCATGAACCCAGTCATGCACCCTGAAACTCGCGGGTCCCTGCAGCTGACAGCAAGCAAGAACACCTCCACATCTGCGCGATTTGCAAGCTCTTCCACTCCAAGCTCTATACCTGCAAAAACCACTACCTTGCCATATATTGCATACCCCACCCCCCAGCTGCACTCAGCTCGAATCTTCACACCCAGAGAGCTGGGAGTCCCTGCCAAGTCCCTGCTGTATTCAGGGCCGGCAGGACGTTCCCCGCCAGGTCATAGACGGTGCCCTCTGGAGCCACCACCTCTGAAGGGGAGCGGGGTATTCCCGTCTGGCTTCCGGTCGCCCATTCATAGGCGGGTCATCCCGAAGCAGGATTGTACACAAAACCAGGTCAACCATGTTCTCTAATGGTCGGAAGTCTAGGGAGATGGGACGTAACTTCGTCGTGGATGCGTCAATTGATGTAAATGGTGAGTCCTCTCATGTGGGCAGAAACTCGAAATTGGAGTCGTTCCTTTCAGAGGGTCGCGGATCGTGCTAGAATGCCAGGTGACCGGAGCTTCCAGGACTGCCATCTGAGCTGTGAAACACCCTACCACGTGGCCGGGGAAAAGGTGGACCACGCGAAAAAGCGACCATCCCGTCCAAGTGGACTCTGCACTGAAGAAAGAATCGATTGGTCGAGTATCATCTTGGCACCCTTGAAGTCTCTAAGCTAGAAATTGGCCAAAGCTTGAGCTTCTGAGGCTTGAAACCTTGAGCTGCAGAGTTGCAGGGTTCCCATGGGTTCTCCGTATTTTGGACGGGCGCTTGACCAGTCGGCCAAACGATTCTTGTTTGGGCATGATGCGGCATGAGGGCACAGCAGGGAGCTGGAGAAATGTGACTTTGTCCGTCAACAGCTGTGGGAACAATGTAGAATCTTCCAGGACTGTTCAGGGCCCTGACCAGCCGTGTTCATTAAGCCAGAAGTGGGTCTTCTTAGTGAGGGTCGTGGCCGCTCCGGTGTCGCCATCACTTTGAAACCCTATCTCACCAGGCCCCACATCCGGCCAAAGCGGACAGGGTGCATAGTAGCTGCGCGTGTTGGTGAAGAGAAAACAGCTGGCTGGTACGTTGCAGAGGGTCGCCTCGGCGCGCGGAGACTTGGCGGCAAGTCCGGCGCCACGAGACACTCACGGTCCCACGGTCCTTCTCGCCTTCCGTTCGACCAAAACAAAAGGGTCGAAGGGTCGAAGAACGGTTTTGGTCCGGGGGACCAATCCGTAAAACCGGGTTCTTCAGGCGAAACAAAAATGCCCTACCGCTGCTTGGGATTGATGCTTCGACCTGGGTCGGTGGCGATGCCCAGAGTCGGGTCGGTGCGATTGGGCTGAGCAGGTGAGCAAGCTGCACTCATGTAGGAGGGTTGATTAATGAAGATAACAACAACAGTTGGATGGCAAAAACCTTTCGAATAGTGGTTTTATGTAGCTGTTCTTCTTTTAAGTCAACTTTGTACATTGGGTTGTGCAACAAACAGTGCAACAGGATCCTCACATTGGAGACATGGTAGCCATGGAAAAAGGGGCTTCTGCAGGGACAGTCTCGCATCTTTCGTCAGGGGCGAGCACGCCGATCCCAAAGACTTGGCTAAGTCCTGCAAAGGACAGTCCGACGGTGTGTGTCGATTAGACCTGGTCGATTTCTGCGAAACAGCGCGTCACTAGTCACGCAGATCGGTATGCCTGACTCGTCTCAAGAATTCATGACCAGTTGCAGGAGTGATGTAGACCTTGTTCTCCCTGACCAGGCTACCCCCTGCGCCGGAGATGAGCATGTAAGCGGGCATCGTGCAAATGTGCTCACTATGATCAGCATGCTGGCATTGCTTGGACTCATGCCCTTTGTTCTGGCTGACATCTTTCTCACAACAGGTCACACCAGGCAAAGTATTGAGTTTGTATATATATACTATTTAACTATTAAGATATACTGTATGATTACATTATAGAATATATATACGTAATTTGGCCATCGGGCAACAACGCAATACTTCTCCAAATGTTGGAGGCTACGCAAAGCCCTCACCCCCCCAAAACCCTCGGCCCAAATCCATCAAATTCCAATCGATTTTGAGGTCTTAGATGTTCACCCCTTCCTGCAGAAAGATCGCAGAAAGACCTGGCAGCTGAGCCTCATTCCAAGTGTTCAAAGACCCCGCCCAACAGCGTGAGATCCTCAACACTGCTGATTAAGACTGAGTTTTGCATCGGATCTGTGAGGTCGAATTTCCAGGAGCAAGTTCTTGCTCGGGGTACCTTTTTGCCACCCCCAGATCCGTCTTCCCCGTCTTCCCGTGGTTTCCGGCACCTGCCGCTGCATTGGCAGCGTAAATATCGGCCACGGTGATTTCATAGACCGGTGAAGCAGTTAGACCGGAGTCCCAAATCCTTAGGACTTGCTGACGGAACGAAGAGTCAAAAGATGCCCGAATGATTGGGGTCAAGTGGTTCTCATGTGGAATAAGAACCATTTCGTCCAATTATTCCTATTGGTTTGTCATTATATAATTGAATGATTGAGTGGATGGCATGGCTACGAGGTTCGGATACACCATGTTCATCCATGTGAATCCGAGTCGACCAAAGGTTTTCCACGCAGCCATCGATGATTCCAGGGAGTGTCGATTCCTCAGCAGATTCACAAGATAAGGAAACCCGAAAAGAAGAAGGTTCTCAGCAGCTCGGTCAGGTGTCTGGAAGATGCCGCCATAGCCCAGCTGAATCGCCTGAAGTTTCTTTCAAAAGGACCACTGGGCAAAAGAGGTGTTTTGAGACCTGAACTGGGGCCCTTTTTGGTGCTACATATGGGATAGGATAGGATATAGGGCTGTTCAACCTCTCTTGGGAGTAGGACTGAAAGTTGTTTCATGTGGGAAGAATTCGCAGCCAAGTGCGGCTGTCCGGCTTGGATCTCGGGTGATCCAAAGACGTTCGGTTGCCGGAGGTCTTTGGGGACAGCCATCATGAACAGCCTCATCTCCCAAATCCGCCCATCACCAAGCTGTCACCAAGCCCAGGCAGTAACCTTTCCACCTCCCCGTCCACCCAAGAATGTCCTCCCCCCACCAGCAACTGCCCGCACCCACCCCGAGAACCGAATCAAAGCTCAAATCTCTCAACCCTCTGCCCAACCTAGTAGCAATGGCCTCCAATCCAATAGCCTTCTCTCCCTGAGCCCCCTTTCTCTCTCCTCTTTCCGCCCATCTTGACACTCACTCTTCATCCTCTTCGCTTCTCCCTCGCCTCGCTGAAGGCGAGCACCACATTGGTCCGGCGGCTCACACTGCTGCCATGCGCCGGAAAGCTGTTCGCTCCGTCGAAGCTCGGCGCCTGCGTGTCGTTGCTGGCCACGCAGCCGCTGCAGGCAAGGCCCACCGAGGCGGAGGAGGCCTCCAGACCGGAGGGGGACGAAGATGGAGATGGATCCATGAGGGTCTATCTGAAAGCATCTAAAAGCCATGGAGTATATCACCCATGAATCTCGTTTTCAGACACTGTTCTGTTGTTCGATTCCTCCGTCACCCACATGACCTTCCAGCTCTTCCCCGAAGCCGACGTCGCTTTCGGCTTCTCCCGTCCTTGAGCACGCTTTGGAACTCCAGCGCTTCCACGGAATTCACATAGACCTCACCGGTCGACGAAGTGGCCGAGCTGAGGCTTCGGGACGGAGATGTTGGGATCGGAGCTGAGAAGGCAAACGTGGGACACGAGAGGTTGAGATGTGGAAAAGAGCCGTGACTGGTGCCACCAGTCCCCTTTTTTCCTCTGCTAAGCACCAGTCAGACCCGGGTGACCCATCTAGACCCTATTCCAAGACCCTCCAAGATCAGCTGTTTGGAGACACGGACGTCAGCAGGAAACATCAGGTACGGATCCAGGTGCGGATTTTGGGACATTTCGGGCAGCCAGTCCCGGTGTTTCAAAAGTAGAGGGTAGGCCTGGGACCAGAAGAGGTTTGAATCCAAATGGGTTTTCACACGTCGAATCATAGAATATCATAGAATCTGGATTCAAACTGGCCCCCTTCGCTGACAACTCCCCCGAGCATGAGTCTGTGCCAACTTCCACATGGTCGGCATCGAAAAGGATCGTCAGAGGGTTTATTCATCAAGAGTCCATGTGGATCGTCAGAGGGAGAAAGTTGCCCAGTGAAATCAAACAGTGGAATGTCCAAAATTGCATCAGGCGAGGCCGGCCGGCTGTGGGAAGGACAATGGCGAGATTCCGTCGTGGATTGTTACATTTACTAATTCCATGTTTGAACCCCAGTTCGCTAGTTGTGGCTCATCTCCTCATCTTCTATCTTCACAATCTTCATCCACCTACCCCAGCCTATCCTTAACCTCATGGACAACCAACATCCAACATCCGAGCACCCGGCCTCAAGTCCGGTATCTCCACCCTGCATGGGCCCATGACGGCCATCCAAATCCGTGCAGATCCGATAGCTCCGGCCCGGCGCCAGGTGTTGAGCGTCTGCATCGAAGTACCAGTAGGTCAGGGAACCGTAGAATGGAACCTGAGGCCAGGAGCCCCGTTCGTAGCGTCCTTGCTCCTAGTAGCGAGGCCCTTTGAGCCCCGTTCGTAGCTTCTTGGTGTTGCCTTCGACTGGAACCCGAAGATTCGCCTTCCAATTCCTCCGGGAACTCGCTGCTCTTACGTAGGGATCAATGAAAGTGCTAGAGTTGACCGACCCTGGAGTTCTTGGACGGGGGTTGTGTAAGGCTGCAGGTGGATGCAGGTTGATGAGCGGTTGATCCTGTGATAGTGTCAGTTTTTGATAGTTTTGGGTGTGTTTGGTTGTCAATATCTTGGGTGGGTGTTGATACGAGCAAAGTCTGCATCACCTTGAGGTGGCTTTGAGCCCCGGAAGATGCAAAAGCCCGATGCTAAGACGTATGTGATAGCATCAATTTTGATCAATTTGGCACCTGTTCGAGCAATTTGTGTTTCGCGCCCATCCAGCAAACAGTGCAGGAGACTCAAATCTACTTCACAACGAACGCATCACAAGCCGCAGCGGACAGGAGCTTTGTGAGAATCATCAACACAGTTTGGGCACATTCATCCACCCAGGAGAGTTGATCCAGAGCACAAAGCTGGAGATGAGATGGAGTTTAGCTTAGCTTTCTTGTTGCTCAGTTTGTTGGTGGTATTTTGCTTTGCCTAACTTCTATCAATTTAACCAGCAGAACGTTCGTTGAGTCATATCAACTACCTGAAGTCGGCAGTACCACACTGAATTCGGCCCTACCCCATCCGTGCGCGGCGTCGAGGCACGGGCGGCGTGTAGGCTCCCTGCACAAAGAGTCGCACCCCGGTGTCACCAAAGTTGAACTCTGACCCTGCACCATCCGGATCGACACAAAGGTTGTAGTGTAGTCCTGCACTCTACTTGCCAAGGTGGGGTAGCGACAGCACTGTGAGTTGTTGCAGGAAAGTCAAAGTGCGGCAGACCTCCTCTGCTTCTCGCAAAGTGAAAATGCGTTCACATTGACCCCTCCGAAATCCTCGGCCTCAATTTCCTAGAACAGCACGCCGGCATGTTCACCATGTCCCGCCCAAGGGCGAGAATTGGAGCACAATCCACATCAACATGGGAAGTGGAAAAGCCCCTCCAGGAACCACTCAGTTCAGGTGGTGATTGGAAGGATTTCCTATATGCAGGCCAGGTCGGGGGTGTCCCAAAGGGTTTCTACGTATGGCACGCTCGTGCCTGGCACGGTCGTTCGTGCCTTCGGTCGGTCTTTCAGCCCCCCGAGGTTCAGCGGGTCCATGACTAGTCATGTGTCCTTCGGCTGTCCAGTCATCGGGGAGTTGGCCCATGTGGAACAGTAAAAATAAACAAACATCCATCAGCAAAACCAGGATGTTTCGTGTTCAAATCTTCGCGGGTTCTGAGGGAAAGATGGGGAAAAGATGGTGGACAGAACCAGACAAACACCACGTCTGCGTCACGAGTGTTTTCTGCAGTGCGTGCAGTGCGTTTTGCTCGAATGATGTTGTTGGCAAAAGAACACCGAGTAAACTGAGTAAACCTGGGAACAATGGCCTGTGGACGTTCCCCTAGAACATATCATCGAAACGTGACGAGAAAACAAAACGACCTGTGAAAGTGTCGAAAGAGGTGGAATTCGGCTCTTCAGCATCCCCCCCTCTGCACCAATCCCAAACCAAATGCTTCACTCGTCTTCAGTCCTAACGCGGACCGAAACCGCACGCGCGACGCGAAGAGACGGTACCGCGCCGGGTAGACGACCGTGGACAACCTGTCCTGGTGTCAGGGAAGAGGCATCCAAGGTGGTCGACCAATGGGAGCTCTCCCAGTGCGCGACCAGGTCCACGCTGGAGGTCTGCACGCCGAACTCGGCCATCTTGAAGCCTGCGCTGCGCCCCGTGCGCCCCGTGCGCCCCGTGCGCATGAAAAGAACACTCGATATATAGGAGTCTCTGAGCGATAAGCGAACGAGGAGGGATACCGCAAGCTCAGCTTGGAAACCTGAGGTGTATGGTGCTGTTGCTGAACTCTGGTGCTGCTCCCAGTGGAAGATCCATCCACCAGTCGGCCGAAGTCGCACCGGTCACCCAAGCAGGCGATCCTGGGTATAAGGATCGATGCCACGAAATGATCAGATACCAGGGCCCCCTAAGGGGGTGGTTAATGGATACCCCTTAACCTCTAATGAGCTATAGTTGGACACCCCTTTGGGGCTCTGGTACTTCTGGGTTCTGGGAAGAAATCCGATTTCCCTTCCAATCAACCAGCCTTTGCGGCCATTTCGGCCCGGGAGGCTTGCCTGCCCCCGACCGACCGACGAAGTCGCCTGTGGCATTGGAGTCGCAACCCGTGCCCACGTAGGCCGTCGAAGCCTCCGAGCAATCCTGCCACGTCGACGACCGTGCGACCAACCCGGGTGCGAGGAAGTACCGCAGGGCGACTGTGGCAAGAAGAAAAGAGCTCAACTCGCTCAGTCCAGCGTTGTAGTCGGAAGGTTTCAGTCAAACCTTGGGGTCTTTGGTCAAAAGTCATCGAACCAAGACCCCATGCGAATGTCCGGCGCAGGCGATCCATGGAACCGCAGCATGTCCGTCCAATCTCGGAACCGCGTGCCATGCAGTTTTGGGCGTGCCTATGACATGTCATGTGCCCAGACACGACCTGTCTGGGACTGCCAGGACGGACTGCCGAGAAACGGCCAGGGGTGGTTTATTTGGGGGTTGGGGCGGCATCTATGGCAGTCCCCGACAGGTCGTGTCTGGGCACATGGGTTTGGTGCTCCCATCCGCAGCCACCCTTGGAACCCCTGGTCACTGGTCACTGGTCGTTGGAGCTTAAGAACCCCCCTGTTTCGCATCCCCGGGCGGCCCCGAATCCACACAGCAGCCAACTTCATGTGGGGCCCAGGTTGGGCCAAGAGTTTCATGGAGTTGGGTGCTATCCATGGAGGTTAGGGGTGCCCAGAACATCCACTTTCTTAGGGACTGAACTTAACACCACCCCTGTGTGACTCCTGGATTATGGGAGTGTATCTTATTGCCAATGGGTTTTGTTCAATATGGTTCTGCTTGCCGGTGCACCAACCTCCACTAATGTGGGTGTGCATTTTAATAGGGAGACCCACTCAATGTTCCGAACCAAACCCAGGGGCCCCCGGTCCAACTGGGAGGTCTTCCTATTTAAGCTTCACCTCCGTTCTGAACGCACTTCTTGGTTGAAGTGCGACGATCACCTCCACCTCGTGGAACCCTGGTGATGTGTCACAAGGCCTCAGTTTGAGACAAGTCAAAAAGTCAGGAGACATTTTCCTCACCTCTTTGCACGAGAAAAGAACACCTCCGCAAAACCACCTCTCCCACATCCTGAATGCAGTGGAAGGTGATGGTCTGCCCTGCCGCAGAAGGGATCCGAATCAGGTCCGCACTCTCCACTTCCACCGCAGAATAGTTGCCTCACGCAGAATCGTTGGCTTGTTCCACTGCTAGGAGCAACACACCTCACGTGCGAAGAATGTATCTTTTTGCCTTGGATGTTGATGCCCCTCAAGAGAGTTGAACATTTTTGGGGCCTGACTAAAACCAGCCACGCGTACAAAGAGCATCAAATAGCAGACTCTGATACATCATACATATAGAATTATGTGTGTATATATATATATAGATAGAGAGAGAGAGAGAACCTGAGTGACCCCTGTTTGGGACCAAAAATAGTGTAATTGGTTCATTATTTTCTATTATATAAAGATAACAGAGATCAAGTGGTTTCTAGGAGAACATTACGACGGTTCGCATCCAGGGGCTTCGCAATCAGAAAAGGTAGAACTGGTCGGTTCCTCAGCCAAAAACACTCCGTCAGCACTCGGTCAGTTCCTCACCACTGGCCAGGTTACTTGCCTTCCACTTCTTCTCCCGATGAAAGATGCCATTTGGATGGGCCGTGCAATACTATGCATGCCGAACGTCGCACGGATTCCGCGGATTTCAGGATCGCTGATCGCGCACAAACACATGTTCGCCCTCCAAGTCCAGGTCACCGAGGATCTTGGCTTCTCCCACCGGCAACATCTGCCCTGAAAAGTGATTGAGCTCATCCACCGCGCCCACCGACACGCCCCCGTGACGGGTCTCGTAGTCGGTGCAGTTGATGGCCAGGTAGCCAATGGCCCCCTGGAACTGTGTGAGCCAGAATGGCTTCCAAAACCAGCTTCCACTCGCTGTATGGAATAGCTACATTGGGGTGGTTTTGGGGGGTCAATGCAGGATTTATATGTCTATACATGGAGTATTGGGGAAAGGATTGGTGGCCGTTTGACCTTCATTTGGAGGAGGAAGGTCACATTGAAACGGGGTGCCCACACTCCGCATCGGTTGCATCGGTTGCATCGGTGTTTGTCGATAGTATCTGAAACCCTAGCCTTCCAAGACCATGACCACCAAATGATGCTTCAGGCTGCTATTTCGTAGTCTAAACATGTCTAAACCCCTTAGTCATAACACAATGTTGTTTGTCATGGTGTTTGTCATGCCTGTCGCATCACGAAGCGAGCAACCAGAATTCCAACGTCGACTCTGCTCAAGTTCACCCAACCAGGTCCGCCCACAAAACACTGCGCAAAACACTCAAACTCATGGCTCGTGGAGCCTCCAAACTCATACCCACCTCTGAAGCAAGAAACACCATGAAACACCTAAAACATCAAAAAAATCACGCCCTACTCGCGTCCTTCACTGACAGAATGGCCACACACCCTCCCTTGCAGCTCGCGCAGCTCGCCCGCGGTGCCTGGGCACCGCAGGCGTCCGCGTCGCAGGTGAGCTCGATCCGCTGCGCCGCCGCCGCCGAGATTTGCGGGGTCGAGCTGCTGCGCACGCCTGAGACGTAGACCTCGGAGGGCTTCCCAACGTTTGAAGGACTCTCTATTCTGACACGGTCCCTACCCTGAGGTGTGGACATGTGTATGGTTACCATGGAAGAATAAAATAGAGAAGAGCTCATATTTTGACAAATTTTGACTATCCCATAGGTACCCCAGGTGACGGGTCCTATCAGGTCACTCCACCTCTCTTGCTTCGGCGTCCGGCGCGGCGTTCGACGTGGACGCTCCGGCAGAGGCAGGCGGTGCTCGAAAACATCGCTGCGCACGGTGTCTGTTTGGTGCGGGAGGGAGGGCCGTTTTGAAGGCCGGTCTTGGGGTGGGGAGGTTCCAAAGAAGATTGTGGAGACGGCCAAGTGCCAAATTGAGGAAGGTCTTCGTGGGACTCAAAGAACAGTGTGCTCGATTTAGCTGGATGGAGGCCTTTTTTCACGTACCCAACTTGCCACAGGGTAGAGGGGAGCTGCAAAACGAAGAGGCTGCGGCACTTGGAGACAAAGATCATTCGAGCGCTGGGAGTGCAATTGATGCAAGTCGTAGTGGTGGCATCACAAGGATCGCAGCTAATCTTGAAGAGCTTGGTTGAGAATGGTTTGGGTGTTTAGATTTTGCCAGGCAGACCCGGGTGGTTTATTGGAAATCTTTCGGGATGGAGACAAGTTGATAGTCATGCAAGTCTCTCTCTCTCTCTCTCTCGCTCTCTGCAGTAGGCTTAGATATGAGACAATCAAGTTCGGACGGCTTCGTCATAACTAATGCTCGGCTCTAGACCCAACTGAAGCTTATTCAGAAGTTCCCGAAATCAGGTAAGACCCCTTCCTCCAACCCTTCCATTTCATCGTCCCAAAATCACATGTCTCGGACTCTTCCGACCCTTATTGTCGTTTCATCCTCCCAAATCACCGTACTCCATGACGGTCCAAGCAGTCACAAGGGCCGTCGACCTGGCGACTTCCCTCCTCCGAGGCTCCCAACCACGCCCGACGGGCCGAAGGCATTGTCCACCCTTGGGTGAAGCGAAGTCGAAGTGGTTCACTCGGCGGAATATGTCGAACTCAACTGCACGGGGCTGATGAAAATTGTGTTTTTTCCACTGAAGACTTGCAGCTGTAATTCCCTGGTTTAAAGAATATCGCTCGCCTTAGGATGACGGTTATAATCCAAACAGCAACATCTTCGGGGCGCACGCCCCGCAGCCCCCCAACTTCGAGTGCCGAGGATGGGAGCCAGAATCAGGCCGTCTTACTATAACATCCTATAGAACCTGATTGACCCCTGTTTCAGAGCCAAAAACATTGTCCTTTTCCTATCAAAGCAGAGGTTCAACGGGTTCTGGGATGATATACCATACTCTCCTGGAACAAACACGGAAAAGGAAAATGGTCTCTGAAAAGACCATGTGTCCTTTACAAACAGGGTGTTTTCCACTTCCATGCAAGTTCCAGGGAGGGTACTATGACTGGCGTCCACTTGTCGAAGCCTTCTCTCCTCCGTGTACCCAAAAAGCCCGCCTGAAAACGGGGGCACCGTCGGACGGGAGAATCCACCATCGGACAGGAGACGAAGGAAGGTGTATAGACGGGAAGGACCGAACCAAACTTATACACCCAAATATACACCCGGGCGTTCCGAGACCCACATGGAACCTGAGTCTTCCACGCCCGGTTTTGTAGAGGAAAAGATTCGTCTTCCAGTCAGGTCCAGGAGTGTTTGGGCTCTACCTACCGTACATGGAGTGGTGGGGCCATGATGAATCGGAGCCTTTTTGTTGAGGCGTAAATCTGGTGAATCGGAGCCTCCAAGTGAGTCAACATTCCAGCTCAAACCAAAGCCCTTTCAAAGAGGAATGCAAAAAAAGACGGTGAGGCCTCAAATCGGAATCGTCAGAGCACAAATCTGCATCAAGTATCTGTTGGCCATCCAAGTCCGTGCAAACGGTCAAGTGATACCCTGGCAGCAGGTCATTGGTGTCGAAGGACACTTGGAAGAGCTCCTGGGAGACTTCACGGGCGGCGCATGACATGGCATGACATCTGAACCTGGAACCATCTGGAACCCCAATCCACCAGAAAGAAATGGATGTTTCCCCAGTCCCAGTCATTTCCTAATGTAAAGGATCTCAAGCTGGCACCTCAAACCACCAGACCTGTTTCTGGTTGTTTTTGTTTTCCAGGAATGACGTCCCCATCTACCCATCCAAAGGTAGAACAAAACACATGGCTGGCCAGGCTGGAAGATTGCAAAAAAGGAGCTGCTCTTTCTGGAGTGGTGCTTGGAGCTGATTGGATGGGCAGCCCGTTCGTTTCGGTTTCCCGCGAAATCGCCGCTTTGGGTCCAAGAAGCGAAATCGATCGATGGGACCCGAATCAGGGCAACTAGAGTTTCAGGTGGCCTATTGTTCTTTCAGCTGACTTCAAGGCTACAAGCGCTATGTCTCATCATTGGCTTCATTTGGGGCTCAAAAGTGCTCAAAAGGACTTGATCGGCTCTTTTTTTCCTGAAGTGGCTTTGGCAGAAGAATTGCGTAAAGTGGTTCCAAACACCAGCCCCAGAACCTTGCTCCAACTTGAGGCCTCACAAATGCTGGAGAATCCAGTCGAGGGCTTCCGTTAGTGGCATGAAGTGGACGGTCACGCCCCCAGCCACGCAAAGCTCACATGTCCAAACAGCCCCAACTGGTGCCCTGTCACCTATCTACAGAAGAAATGGTTCCCAACACATTGTTCTTCACTCATTCATTCACAGATCTTCAGCACAAGTGTTCGCAACATTCACTCACAGATCTTCAGCACCAGCGTTCGCAACGGCAGAACTCCCACAGTGGGAGAACTCCATGGGTTGCAAGAACTCCATTGGTCACAGATGAGAATGCTGCTTGCACCTGCAGCCATCCAAAGATCCTCGGATGCTCTTGTAGTACTGTTACCATTGTGATCCGCAGTCCTGATTCATGCCCGAATCACGGCACCATGCTCTCGCTCTGATCAAAGAGCAGCTTCCATCCCCCAGCTTCCATGCACCATCGCCGCCATGATAAATGCCCTCACATGCACCCCGCTGCAGAACTCACATCAAACGACCCTCTCTCTGAGAGAGGGTCGTCTCAAGACCCGATGCCAAAGCCGAAAAAGAAGGATCCTCGGCACAGCCCAGTGCTTCTGGGCAATCCCCATGTGGTCCTCTGCCTCTGCGATTGATCGACCCGACCGCGTTTTGTCGGGCGGGCCGAACCCGGACCGGCCCCGGCGGCCCAGCCGGCCCTGAAAGCGTCCAGTCGGCGTTTTGGAAGGATCTTCTTGGAGGAGCTGAGTTGTGTCTCATCAGGGATGGATTTGAAGAAGCTGATTGCAGATGGTGTCGATTTTTCGATACAGATTTGCAGACCCAGGGTGCCCAGGTCATCTGCCCAAGGCCAGGGGTGCATTAGCGCGTTGGCAAATGTTCCAACGCTAGATGTTTAGACATAGCCGGTGAACCCAAAGCCTCAGCAAGAAACATATACTAGTGTATATATATATATATATATACAAAGGGCAAAATCGCTTGATGCTGGCATGATGTAGCTGCAGCTAGGCTTTTATATGGCTACTAAGGTGGCTAAGGTAGAGAACATGAATGTAATACATATGTATATTAATTATACAGTATTTGTTATTTTCACATGGACATTGGTGGTGCTCCATCCCGATGTTGCAGCATAGGGGCACAGGAGAGTAACTACCGGTCAACCCTTGGTTTTACAGTAGCGACCCTTGGAGAAAGCATCCACTACGGTGCTCCAGGCATCCACTTCGCCAAGTATCCATGTTGAACTTGGTGGAAGGACTGCCATAGAACCTCAGCAGCGCCGTCGGAGCGGCGGCGGCGGCACATGTAATGCGACACGATCACCTCGTCGCCGATGTTTGAAGTCGATCAGGTCCGAAGTCTCTGCTGATTCAGAGGGAGTCAACCAAATCGGTCGGTGCGTTCGTGTCTGGTTTTCGCTCGCCCGAGCGCTCTCCTCGCTCTCCTCGAAGTGACCCGGAGAGGAGAGAAGCGGAGAAACGATGACGTCGGACGAAAGGGTGACCCAAATGTCGGAATTCCTTGACTTGGGTGGTGCTAAATATGGCTGTGCGTGTGCGATGCTGGTCAAAACCTGGGGCCCCAGTCCACCAGGCCAGCGAACGACCTCCCATGAAGTATCCCAGTTTGGACCCACAGACATACAGACATACAGAGTCGAACTGGACTTTTGAGGAATACCGCTGGAGACCTGAGTATCTGAACCACGGTTCGTGGAGTAGTATGGAGATGTATGGAGTAGTCACGTAGCTCTGACCGGAGGCTCCATCATAGAAACTCAACAGCCATGTTCATCAGATGTCTGTGGTGTGTATTATAGGGAGACCTCCCAAAGACACCCTGGTTGGCGTGAAATCGGCGGGCCCTCCCTACACTGACCTCCACATCTGTCTTTTGGTCGGCCTAGGGGCACGGTGGAGAAGGTGGTCAAGGAGGCATTGTAGACATTCACGCTCACCCCAGAGGCGGGCAAAATGCGATCGAAGCTGTGGATGATACCATCATAGACCTCCCGGTCACAGCTCCACGCCAAGTAGGCTGAGGACCTGCCGAATGGGATCGGGATCCGGACGTTTACACGGAAAAACAGCACCTCGAACGTTCTCGCCATGGGTTTTTCGCTGGTACCCCAAGAAAGGATCAGAATGAGACGCTCAACGTTCTTCTACTGTATCTGCCCCAAAGGAGCTCTTCAAATGATGCATGTGACTTTCAGTTGCACCTTCGAAAGCACCCGACCCCGCTCAACGGGTCTGCCGCGAGACGTCCGACGTTCTCAGACGTCCCAGCCGAGTGGGTCCAGGGCAGTTCAATGGGAACGCCGAATCGGGTGCTCCAAGGCACACCTTCTCAAAATTGGAGCCTCCTCCAGTGGCGCAGCCCCAAACTGGAGCTTCGCTGTGAACCGACTGCCGGAAACCCCCTCCGTTCCACCGGAACCTCGCGGTGAACCGAACGTTGGGGTTCATCCGCTCCACCTGCACTCAAAGTCTGGGTGTCGAATGTCCGCATCTCCACCTGCCTTCCAACCCCACCGGCCGTCGTGGCCGGCGTGGACGAACACACGCCGGGATCACCTGAGGACGTGGCCGGCGCTCTGAAAGAGGACAGGGGTCACGTCCGCCGGAGGTCCGAAAACAGTTTTCGGACCCCAAAAAATTGAAAAAACAGGCTGCCAGACGTTGTTTGGATCAGTTCCCGATCAAATCGATCAATCAATCATGAAAAAATGATAGACAGAATATACGAGGAGAAAAGCCCAGCAAATCCAGGTGCATTGGTAACTTGGGTTGGTGGTTGGGGGTCTATGTCTTCGAAATGTCCAGCTTTATTGAAAGCCGTTCTCTTTCTTCAAACCCCAACCCGCATGGTGAAGTGCAAACATTTCAGAAATGCAATGTCGACCCGCTCGGTTCACAGATCTCAGGTTGGTGCTCAACTAGTGTCTTAACCTCCTCCTCCTCCTCCTCCTCCTCCTCCTCAAGTGACCGTGCTAGTCGGACTAACCTTCTCACTACAAATCCAACCTGAAGCTTCATTTCCGCGTGCCAAAAATTGGAGATCCACAAAGTCGCGACTTGCGTGGTGGCGGTGGTCTTAGCGTCGCCCTCATGTCTATCGTCCATGTGAGACCCCCCGGCGATGTCGGAACCTTTCAGTCCTTCTAGAACCGAGGAACGTGAACGTGTCGAAACAATCGCAGGAACGTCATCGGTCGCCTATAGTAGCTTCTTGTTACGATTCCTAGCAATGGCAACCTACTTGCTTCTGGCCGAACCACCTTCGCATCGCGTCCGTCCGTTACTACCCCAAGACGTCTCCCCATCGTCCGATGAGTCGAAACGCCATCGAGTCTTTGGACCAAGGACCCACCAAGGGCTTCGATGCACCCCGTGGGAGTCGGTCAGACTAGAAAGAGAATGGTCTCGTCTTGAACTTGGTGACGCGAGCGATTGATGAATGTCCTGAAACCTTCAGTCAAAATATAGTCGAACTGGACTTCTAGGGTACCTAGATCTTCCAACTATGCAAAATGTCTGCCGAACTTGCCGGGATTTTATCGAAGAACGGGCAGAAGTGTTGCCTGCAATCGGTATTTTATACGGTTATATATACACTGGATTGGCCCTCCCCCAGCCTGGAATTCAGTGGATAGAGTGACTCCTGAGAAGCGGGTCGAATTCTCAAAAGAATGATATATCCACATACCCTGGCTGTGGTTCTCCAAGAAAGCTGTGCCGTGGTGCATTTGAAACTGCACACCTGCACTTCGCAAGACCCAACCGCGTTCTCCGTGAGACGCCCTCAAAACCCCCAAACGCGGGCTACGAGGCCGCCCCACAAAACCAGAGGGTCGTCCGACACGTCTGCGAGTCGCCCGCGCCCCCAAGAATCACCGGTCTCGAGAACGAACCGCGCGAACCGGAAGGAACGCCCCCGTCCCGCCAGGAAGGTCCACCGTCCCAGTCGCAGGTGATGTTGAAGACTTGGTTCGCCCCGCGGGTGATGACGCTGGGTGAGACGGCCAGCACACCCGAAACGTAGACCTGGCGCGGTGTAGACCGAGGAGCGAATTGGACTGAGACGAATTGGATCGGAGAGGATCGGTGCCTCGAGGCCCGTGTCACCCCAGCCCAGGCTGCCACTGCCGTCGGCATCCAGGCAGACCTGGCAGCGTCAGCCGTGTCGGAGGTCGGGCATTGGAACCTAGTAGCGTCCTCTTGCTCCTATAAGGCTTCTTCTTGCTCCGTTCGTAGTAAGGCCAGGAGCCCCGTTCGTGTCGCGATGCCCATCCTTGCTCCGTTCGTGTCGCGATGCCCGAAATGCTCCTGGTTGAAACCTTCGTCGTCAGGTCCTTTCGGGTCCCAGTCCAGAGGCCCTGGTTTCCAGGTTTCCAGGGGGACTGCCGAAGCCGTCCTGTCGCGATTCACGTCGGTTCACAGTAACAGTAACAGTAACAAGAGAAGACACAACACACAGACCAATATGGGCATATCTGACCCAGCTCGACGGACTTCATCAACAAGCCCTCCAAACCCCCCTCCAGCTGGAAGCCTTGTAGTGGTTGCCCACGTTCAACCCGGAAGCATCCACCGTAAACTGCCAGCGATGAGGCACCGGACTGGAGACTTGAACTTGACCTCGCGCTGGCGCGACTCATGCGATGCGGTCCGCGGTGGAAACCGAGTTTCTTCACCCCACCGGGTGCGCCAGGACCTCGCCGCTTTGGGTCCCGGTGAGGTCAGTGGATCCAACTCCTCAAGTGAAGGAAGTCTGGACAGTTTTCGAGGTTCTAAAAAGTCTAAACCACTGGAGATTCCCAGAAAAACATCATAGAAATACTAAGGGGGGTCTGAAGAGTATAGTAAAGGAAAGTCAGGATTGTACAAACTGTTCCAAGGCACTTCATCCCATCATTGCCCCTACAAGTTTCACAAAGTCCACTTTGTGGGTGGGTCAAGAACCTGACACTAGAGCTCGAACTCCCTTCCTCGTGCGCGTCTTTTCCAAAACCGGCTTCTCCGATCTTCTCTGATTCCAAGAAAACCGAGTGGCCATAAGCTTCAAAGATGTAGGATGTGGCGGTGCCATCTTTGTCCAAGCAAATGGTGTACAAAGCCCCAGGTCGCAAGCGGCCTCTATAGAACGGCCAGCGGCAGGGGCTTCGGGCAGCACTTCCGAGGCTTCGGGTGGTTCCGCTGGGGTTTGGCCTTCTCGGGGGGGCCTCTCGTGATGGCCTTTTCGACCTCCCTATTCAAGCTGGGGAGCCCGTTTTGTACCTTTCGAAAAGGACAAAAGATGTGATTCTTGTGCAACCCTTGCAATTTTGGGTACAGTGGAGACTGGAGAGTCGCTCCTAAACAAAGACTTCGCACACATGCACACACCTAGCAGAGAGCTCGAGAGCATAATCCAGAATGATGCCTAGTTGGTGCATCTAGTTAGTGCAAGACCGATCTGGAATGGCCCTGCAATGGCCCTGTGCAAACAGTAAGGCTAAGGGTCAGAAAAGAATATGGCTTACAGTTTACACCATCAACATATAGTCTGCAGGTACAGGTTCATGCTTCTGAACCCTTTCAACGAACTTCCATAGCTGCGTTGAGCAATGTAGGAAGAACGGTCGATGCCCCCCTGCTGAGAACAGGTTTCAACATTCCAATGTACCGGGTGGCAATCCGGCAATCCCTTAGAGACAGGAGTTGACACACACGGCTGTGGGTCAAACCCCGGGGACTGACCGGTTGACCACTGAAAATGAACAGAATAGATGACCAGGGAGTTCAACCTACCAGGCTTTGGAGCTTCAGCTTTTGATCCACGGCCACACACAGACACGCTCTGTCGCTGCCCAAACTGCCCTCTGTCGCTACCGACTTCGCTACCGGCCTGCGTCCAGCGTGGCCCAGAAGCTGGGCGCGGTACCCCAGAGGTTCACACTGCTCGTGGCAAAGCCGATGACCTCCGCCTGGGTTCCTGAACAAATGGACCCGTAGCGGTCTGAGAGCCATTTCGCCATAGACGATCATGTCATGTCATATCACATCAAGTGTTGTCCAGAACTCTGGTGGGATTTCAGAAAGACTTTCGACTTTCGACGGCCCAGCGACCATCCGTGTGGTTGAGCTCCGGCAGCACTGCCGCATCGCAGCTGATGCTGAGGAAGACGCTGCTTGACGTGGAGCAGTCAGAGCAAACCACAGGGACCTCGGGTGGAGACTCGCGGGCAAACGGCCAACCCTGAGTGACCTATTTTGGACCACCAAGCGCCCAAACTATTGTCATTTCCTATCGAAACAGTGGTTAAGTGGGTTCTAACAAAACTTAAGGTCCAAAGAATCCTTGAGGCAAACAGAGTCGATAGGAAGAATCCTGTTCTTGCCAAAGAGAGACTTTTCCGGTAGATGTTTGGAAAGATCCTATGAAACACCCAGGCTATAAACCTACTGGGATGTGAGTATGGGAGAAATGAAGTGTTGTACTAGCTGCTAATGGCCAGCGCACTATGCCATACTGCTAAATAGGTGGAAAAAAACTCACAGCATGGCCAAAGGATGCCATGGCGGCCATGTGCTGCCTCACTCGACAACAACCCTGAAATCAATAGAAAAAGAATTCCCTACAAGTCTAAAGCCTAGATTTTGACCGACTGAAGTAAAGGAAAGTCCTTTTCGGGTCACCTAAAGACCATTCTGTTTATAGTCTTTGACTCTTAGGAACTCTTCTCCGCAACGACTCATGAACTCGCCCAACTGAACATCTCTATGTCTTGAAATCTGAACCCGAAACGACTGCCCCTCGTGCGCCTGGCGTAAGGGGGCTGCTTCAAGGACCTGCGAGCTCGAGCCCTTTTTCCGAAGAGGACTGGGCGACGTTGTTTGGAGGTTGAACTTGGGGGTGAAAAAGAAACCACCTGGACCCGACTTCCTTCGTATTGTAGAAAATGGGACATGGCCTGGTAAAAACAAGTACAGTAATTGTTATATTATGTACCATCCTGTACTTTGATTCTCCAGGAAACCACGTGAAGCCACGATGTCGACCCAAAAAAGCATAAGCCCAAAAAATGTCCCCAACTGTTGGGCATGACTTGGCAATGGCAACAGCGACAGTTCACTAACGAAACATGTGGCCATTTCAATGTGCCATGCAAGCATCACCACATTGCAATATGTGTGCCTGCATATGTGCAAGCATGAGCGCTGCAAAAAGCAGACCCGTGTCAGTGTGCCGGCATGACAACCTGTCAGGGCGACAGCCTCAGAACACATCGGCATGACAGCCGGCATATGGAATACTTTAGTGTGTTTACATGTCCATGAAAGCCATATATTACAACATGCCATGATGATACCATGTCAGCATAGCGGCGTGACAACACCTCAGCATGTGAGCATGACACCATGCTAGCGTGTCAGCAAAAACAGCACGTCAGCATGACAGCATGTTTGCAGGTTAGCATGACAGAGTGGTGAAATGGTTCAATGTCGACGTGACAGCGTACACCATGCGAGCGTCGTAGCCTGAATGACAACATGTCAGCATAACTCCCTGCCAGCGACCTTTCAGCACTATGCCATGGCTGAAGACCCCTAGGCTTCGCTGTTGAGGAAGAATATACCACACCTCAAAGCCACATCCTGGAAGTGAGGGAAGCGAGCGCAATTCCGACAGGCGAACCGGGTTCTCCCTGTTGGCAGTTTTGGTGCTCTTTTCGGAGGAACCACTGATTTCAGCTCATTTGAGCCCCAAAAATGCCCTCAAGGCTACTAGTAACAAGAAGCTACTAGGAACAGGTGCCACGCTAGTAGTAACAGGTGCCTTACTAGTAGTAACAACAAGCTATTAGGAACAAGGCTCGTATCCCTGTCTGGGATGTTTCACACCGCGGATGTCTCCAAAGCCGTGACCGGCGCCTCCAACGCCGTTGCGGAGGCTGCTAGGCCTCCCCGGTCGTCCGCGTCCTCCTCCAGACCTGGTCGGTTTGCCGTACGCGGTCGACCTCAAAGCCACTCTCCAAAAATGGCGTTGAAGAGGAGACCCTGGGAGTCGGACAGACTGTATATAAAAAGAATGGTTCTGACATGGTCTTTAACTTGGTGATCCGAGGAAAAAAAAACAATCCTGAAACCTTCAGTTGGTCAAAATAGAGTCGAGCTGGACTTCTAGGGAAGATGATTCCTTGGGTCTATATCCATCTATATCCTATTACCTGGGCCTCAGTGGATGATGATGGTTCAGTTGCAGTCCTTTCTCTAAAATAGAGATTTGCTAGTTTACTGACTGTTACAGGTAATAGGACAGACCCAAATGATTCCACGTTCCAAGTTTTCCACCATGCACACTGGGTTGTATTAAATACACTGGAAACCCCACGGCACTGAGATCTTAGAAGTGAAGCAGGGCTGCCAATGGCTCAAACACCAGGTCTTCTACCCACCAACCTGTTCATTGTCTCAATTCCCATGTTGTGGACCCTCACATGAACAAACCCCAAGAAAACGTATAGACAAACATGTCGTAGAGTCTCCAAATGAAAAACGGTGGCTTTGACCCCAAAAAAACGCCCGTGGTTCAGTCCAAAAGGCGCAATACTGCTTGATCAGACCCGGGAACCAACATCCCTTCTGTGCCTGGGGACCTCATAGACATGATTTGCTACCTGGCGACCCTTCAAAAGAGCGAAGCCATTAGGCCGAAGAATCTACAACCCTTAGGCCGAATCATGAAAGAAAACAAAAAGGCAGCGATGACATGATATGACATGACTGACAGATGATCCAAAGCTCGTTAGATGTTTCAGCAGGTGTGAAAAAGAGATGGTGTTGTTGTTCTTTTGTCGACTCAAAGGGTGAATCGGGATGGGTGCCGGAGTGTCCATCCGGAGTGTCAGGGTGCCCAAGTGGTATGTCGGGCGAGAGTGGTTCACCCCATGTTCATCCTTGATTAATACAACCAGCAATAATGCAATATGAACGATATAAAGTTTTACAATCCAAGGGGGGGTATCAACAAGCAAATCGTTTGTGTTCCCCTCCTCTCTCTTGGTCTAGTTTCTTTCTTTGTCACATCAAAAAACAAACTGTCGGGGACCTATAGATAGGGCAGAATTTGGGTAAAACTGTCCACCCACATTTGCTCTTTGCCGTGCCTGCGATGTGCAGGTCTACAGCATCCGTCTGCATCCCCGCAGCTGCCTTCGAGGGGAAGAAAAGCATGCCGGCTGTCCAGCGGTCGAGTCAAAAAGGGAGTCCGAAAGGAAACCATGGAATGGTGCAGAATGAGGAAGACAGGACGGGAATCAATGATACATGTCCTGTGTGTGGATCTCTGTTGATCACCTATGATCACGTCTGATCGGTTTGCCCAGGACTTCAGGCCGCCAGGCGGCCTGTTGCGATCCGTCCACCGTCGTGAAGTCGCAGGAGAGGCCCAGGTAGACCCGCATGGAACCTGGAGGGAATCCGCAGGTCGAACCTCGGGGGACCTGGAGGAACTCAGACACACGGTCCGGTCTTCAAACTCCGTGGAGAAGGCAACTAGGTACAAGAAGGCAGCAGGGTCGGGCCGCCGCCCTGGAGGTCTACCAAGCTGCTTCGGTCAACAGGCAGGTACCTCACAGGACCCGTGTAGCATCTTCGTTGGCCGCTGACTGACAGACAGACACACAGGATCTGGTAGGAGTGAAGTGGAGCTTCAGGGACCTCCTAAGAATGCAGCCTTGTTGATAGCGACACACATACACACATACCTGGAACTTGACAGCTCCGGACAGGGGTGCAGATCGGAGGACTCGGTGATTGTGGGGTGATGTGTAAACTCTGAGCTGGTACAGTGGAGCAAGCGAGTCTCAGAAACGCTTACACTAAACCCCCTGTCAAGATTAGAGGAGCTCAAAATCAACAAATCTACTGTGTCACCAAAGCTTTCAAAAGCTGTAGAAGTCTCTATCCCTAGTGCGGCCCTTATCTAGAACCCTATGCCATCCAAGGGCAGAAAACTAGCCAAGGCTGTGTCATTTATGGACCTACAGGCACGTACAATGATTCATGGAGTGGATCTCTGTAGGCGATATTGAAATGAATCTATGGTCTACAATACCTGAGGATCCACTGAATCAGATTAGTAACCTCCCCAGAGTTCAGTGGATTCCAAACCCTTTGAGTCATGCGTCAGAAAATGACCCTGTGACAGCTCAAAACTGCAAGACAGCTCAAAACGTCTTTGTGTACACGGTGTACCCATCCAGTTTCAGGGTCTCAGAGTTTCTTTTATGGTCCTTTTCTGCAAGCCGAGATGCTCGAACACTCTCCAGGATTGCAATGCAGCTGCACGGTCCTCAAACGGCTGAGGGATCAACAAAAAGGGAGTGCTTCATGGATTGAAGATCGGTGCGAGTGATGGACTTGTGGCTGGTCTTTGGCATCATTGGACTTGCAAGCACCATGCGTGAACCGCCTAGTGGAAAGTGTGGGGGAGCTAGAAGATCTGTAGGTCTGTAGTCTGTAGTGGATACGAACTAAGCTCAACTCATGTTGATCATCCAACAATCTTATCATGCCTCATCACCAACGAATGGCAGGGAGAACTCTTTTCTCCCAGCCGCCAGTCACTGCCGCGCCAGTGAATTCAGCCATGATGTGACCATGGACCACCGGATGTCGACTTGGAATCATCATGGGCCAACGTGGCATGGCCTGGTCGGGATGACCATTTTCCGAAGACCAACAGCTGGTGCCCATCCGTGATGATTCCAGGGAGTGGTCTTGATAGAGCTGTTGCTGAGGAGGGGGGGAGCACTCCAAGCACTTCCAAGGGCCTGAGACGCCTGAGTCCGACTCCGTTGCTTTTTGGAGTCGAGTCGGAGCAGCCCGACTCCGTCGGGTTGATGCAGTTGATGCAGGCATCTCAGCCAGTTCTTTTCATGCATCTCTGGCCGAAAAACAGGTGCCGAAACCGAAAAAAAAGTAAAACCTGTTTGCGCCTGGGATTTGGATGATCACCACAAGTCGTCACGACGACCCCCATGAGGTCAGGTCACCGGTCACCACCTGTGACCACCGGTCACCGGCCCGCGCGGAACGAAGAAAAACAGACCAAGCCGCCCGGATGGGATGTTTTTCCATCCCAACACACGACCCTGGAAGGATCATAGAAGTGGATGGCGCCAGGCCATTTGTAGAGGTAAAAGGGTCATGCAAAGGAGCCATGGCCATGGGCCACATGCCATCCGGGAGTGCAACCATCCCATAACCCGCGTGGTGCTGGTACAAGACTTGTCATCTACAACTGGCCGGCCCTCCGATCGTAGTTCATCCATTCACGAACGAACGCCCATGAACGCCCAACGCTTGGCACATGCGGTTTTACGGTTTTGGGGGGTTGTCGGCAGCGAGCCCCGGTATTTTTGCACTGAATTAGCGCAGGTGAGAGTTGCACGGTAAGAAAACAACTCTATGCCACCATGCAATCACCCCAACAATCCTTGGACCCTCCATAGCGGACCTCCATAGGAGTCTCTAACCCGAACCAAGCCCTTTCCGTTCGAGGGTCCTTAGCAGGAATGGGCATGAAGTTTTCCCGAGTTCAAAGCTTGTTCATCGTTTCTGTGCCGGTGGACCGGTGCCTCTCCTCCGTCACCGCTCAAATATGCCACCCAAGCCGCTGCTGTAGGTCCTTGAAGATCCTCCCAGACTCCACGAAGCCTGTGACGCCAGTGACATAGACTCGCCGACCAGAATCACCCAACTCATAGCTGTTGCCCGTCCCATCGTAGTCGACACAGAGGGCCTGAAACCCGCATGGAGCGCAGCAGGGCCATCGGCGACGTGCAAGGGAGGGAGGTTCTGGAGGTCCGAAGTTGAAGTTCCAATGAAAACCAGGAGAGTTTTTTGGAACCAATAGCAATGGCATCCAAACAGCAATGGCCTACCTTAGTAGCGATGGCCTCCACCCTAGCGATGGCATCCAACCTAAGAGCGATGGCCTCCAACCTAATAGCAAGAGGTTTTTTGAGACCTGAACTGAAACCCTTTTTGGTGGTACATACGGGATAGCCTACAGTGCTATAGGTCTGCTCAACCTCTCTAGGAAGGTCACAGGGCATCCCCAAAACCGACCTAGAAATCTCAAAAAAAACATGGTTGACTGGTCGAATCCGCGGCAAAATGGTGGAGTGGTTGCTGCACATGCTGGGTCGCGTGCAGCCCTTTTTCATGTCTTCCATCAACACTCGTGGACAATCCTGGATTGGGGGTAGAGGTTGAGACAAACTGGCTGAGCCTTCTACTTCCAAATGGCCCTGAAACTTCAGAATGCTGGAGATGTCCCGCACTGAAAACATGAAGTCGCTCTTTGTTGCAGAACCAATCTGAATATATGTCTGCTTGATCTTACCTCCAAAACTTCATTGAGGCTTAATGGATCGACATCGATTGAGCCCCGAACTGTACGGCTTACTTGGGAACTGTCTGCAAGGTCTTCGGTGGCTTCACGGGCACCGGTGTCTGCTTCCGATACACAAGAGCTGCTTTTTGGCAGCAAGCGGCATAGGTCTGTCCCAAGGTCAAGATGCTCGTATCCAAATAGAGTTGATAAGTGTCTCCTCAGAGCTTGCTGATTTGGCAGAAAAAAAAACCAAGTTCAGAGAAGCGAGAGCGAGCAGGCTTCTGACGCCCTTGTCACGTGCTCTATTCATGCTTCAGCTTGAAGATGTTACCAAGTCAAACCGAGCCAAGTTGAAAAAATGCTATCACCACCAGGTCTCCAGTTATGATGTTGGTCTCATTCTCATTGCCGATGTCGTTGAAGAGCCGTGGCCCCCCCAAAACGGCTCAAGCTCCCCACGCCTGTACCCTCGTGCGCATTGGCGAATGGGCTCAAGGAGGCTTCGTCGCAGCGGAGGGATAAGAAGCCCACCAGCTCCGAACAGCCTGTCGGCAGTGGAAAACCGGTCACTGAAAACCCTTGGTGTTTTTAAGAGCTGGGGTCTTAAAAAGCCCAGAGTTGGAGATAGCACGCAATTTGCGAGAGAAAGCCCCAAAAATATGTTTTTGTTGGTTTTCCCTATATAATCGGTGAATGCAGTTCTTCAATCATTGGGTGACTTGGACCAAGAGCAAGAGGATTGCCATCTGACCCCGTCGTCTCGGCCAGGTTGGGCCTCGGACTCCATATCAGCAACTGCTTTTGGGGACCATCATTCCGTGAATTCGATCGAAATGGAAGGGGTAGGACCCCTTCTTCCAAAGACTCCAAAAAGGTTGGAATTCGTTCCCCCCCCCCACACACCATCCTGTCCAATCCACCAGAAGAAAAAGAAAAACACCAAAACCGACTCGATGACCGTCCTTCATTTTGGACCCCCAAAAGAAATGAAACTCGAGACCCACCTTTGGTGGACGCCACTCCACACACACCCGATGGTCCCTGGAAGTCGCACCAGGAAGTCGTGGTATCCCGGGGGCAGAGTACCATGGAAGTAGATGGCACCACCTGTTTCTGAAGGAAAATGGTCTTCCATGTTCCACTTCCATGTTAGTGACTCGGAGTGTGCCATTTCACCCCCAGTCTTGGAGCTGAAGAAAAGAGGACGAACCTCCCGTGCCATCACCCATCACGCCGCGGGAGGATTCGACGAGTCCTGGCATGTTCCACCGAGCCAAAACCCGTCTGCTTCTGCCCCCCCAGCCCACACCGGAAGAAGAGGCCCCTCCTAGTGTGCAGTTGATGGATAAGGCTTCATGCTGGCCGTGATGGATGGACACGTCCACGACCAGATCCGTGGCAAGGACTCGGAGGCCTGTATCTCCCACGAACCTGAGGCTCCCGCTCGAGACCGACATGAAGAATTCGGCTGAGGGTCAAAACCGACCAAAGCCTCCAGGCCATGGGGTGATAAAAAGCACCACACAAAGAGGTCATTCGGGGTGTCCGTTCGCCACTTTTCAGAGGGCTCTGGTCAATATGAGGATGCTCTAATGAGGTTTTGGGCATGAACTCTCGTTGGAATCTCTGCCAACTGTGGACCCACAAATCGTGTCTTTGGGTGCCTGCGGAACATCTGAAACCTACATCCCAATCCCACTCAACTCGACCACAATGGATGTTTGTTCGCTTCAGACCCCCCAAGCGCCAGTATGGCCCGAGCGAACAACCACAAGGAGCTTGCTGTTCATCCAAAACTCACGGAGCATTGACCCATGGAGACCCAGCTGAGTCGAAGAAATTTCTTCGTCGCAACCCGAGAAGTACGACCTCCAGTGTCTTATCGGTTCTCCCGTACGGGTTCCAGGGTTGGGTGCCAGGAGGGTCCAGCCAAGCCTTCTAAGTATGTATATAATACTTGGAGCCCTAGGGTCTATGATGCCTAGAAAGGGAGCGCAACAAATCTTTACACCCATGGTGATTCTGGTCATCACGGATCCACCGGCAGATCTGCGAGAGATCTGCGACAGATCAGCGCCGAACACTGTCCCCGCTTGATTCCCACAGTCCCACAATACTTAGACCGATGATCTTCGAAAAAAAATGTCTGCCAAACTTGGCTGGTTTTAGAGATGAACTGGCAGAAATGGTTGCATAGTTGGAAGATGTGAAGATGGTCTACTGCCCATCCAAGCCTTCGGACGGTCTGTGCCCACCCCGATCCCCGATCCCCACCGAGGGTCCAATTCCCCGTGCCGTCGTGGTCCACGCAGATCCGGTAGAAGCGCCCAGCGGTGAGACCACTCGTGTCCAACATGGCCACATAGTCCGTGGAATCACTACCTGCAACGGCACCGGATCAATGAACTGACACCGGCAACTTTCATCGCTTCTGGTGAAAAAGGAGGGAACGACATGTATTTCGAAAGGATCTTTCAAAGACAGTGACCCATCCCCACGTGTCTCTCCGCGGTGGAATGCACCGGGAGGGCGGGCCCATCAAAGAACTGAAAGAGGGCAGACCGGCAGACCGTCGACCCTGGAGTCTTCACATCTGCAGCGTCTGTGGAAGGAAGTACCCCCTTGGGCTGCGGTAAGCCACAGTTTTTCAAGTTTCGGTCGCATCCAATGCCCAGTGGCTGTTGACGAAGAGCACATCCAGCGCGCTGTTGTCCTGGCAGAAGATGCTTTCACCGTGCGGGCCGTGCAGTTGACTACTTGGGGTGTTTTCAGAGGTGGTTGTGTGCAACCCCAGCCCTGCCCTCCTGGACCATCTTGAGAAAGACCCACTTTCGCCGCAGTGTTCAACACCCCAAACGTGGTTCCCCCACCCGAAGGCACACCCTCCAGCCTGGCCATACAGCACCAGGTGTCGCTGTGGCAGCAGCTCCACCGCCCAGCTGCTCAGCATCTCCAGCGTCACCGGCGCAGTCTGTTCGCCTGACCGTCGCACCGAAGACCAAAAACCTTCGCCCAGAGAAAAAGGTTAAAACGATGGATCGGCGTTCTAATGGTTTCTATATGTTTCTATGCACTCAGTAATAGGCTACCGGCTAGACCGCATGGCTGAGAGGAGTAAAAAAACGAAAAAAAAAAAAAAAAAACAACGATGCACTCCTTGAAATCACCCATAAAAGTGGAAAGCCCACCACTTTGGTATGAGGATTTCACGGTCATCCTTTGCCGCACACTTTCATGATTATTCCATGGGTGGGTAAATTGTTTGGCTGGTTTTAGTGGCAAATCTATTTGGAGCCTTAGTTCCTCACATTCCTGTTTGACCCTGGGAATGTATATGGACCCTCTGACCCTCCTGTTTTGGACCAATCTAGACGGGCGATCCGGAAATCCGAGTGGTCCAGCCAGGAGGGTCCAAACACCAGATAGGCAACACACCATCTAGTCCAATGGTGCAAAAACGACCTGCCTTTTCATCGATAACATCTGCCAAAAGGCAGACATGTGGGGCATAGGCGGAAGATCCAATTCGGCCTACCGGCCTAGGTGTAAAACAAAGAAGACAGAGGGTGCATGAGCATGAAGAAACCCCGTCAACCCATGCAGAACCCAAGAACCAAACGGTCCCTGAAGGACAGACTCGAGAGTCAAAATATTCGGGACGCAAGAGCTCCGACGCCGACCCAATCTCGAAACCATTGCTACACGGCCCACCCTTGCAAGTCCCAAAATCATGAAGCTCGCGGCTTCAGCAATGGAAAACACAAAAGAACAGCTGGGCATGAACCTGCCCATTCGACAAGTTCTGTGTCTTTGCCTGACAATGCCATCTTCCTAGGCGTGAGCCTTTTCAATGTGCCATCTTCGAGCATACCAACACAGCAATGCGTCGGCGTAGCAAATAGCATGTGCCACATATCTGCAGCAGGCAAGAACTGGGGGAGCCCTGGAGCCTGCCAGCAAATCAGCACTACAGCGTGCACACCAGCATGACAGCATCAATCCGCGTGACGGCACTCATCAATCCGCACACAGCACACGACACGTCAGCCGAAAACTGCCTGGCAACACCTCAGCGCGTCAAATCGAATCTGCTGCATATGCAAACTGCCCCGGAACTTGCGAACCTCCACCAAACCCCTGAATCTCCGGAACCTCTCCGGAACCTGCTCCGGAACTTGCTCCAGAACCTGCTTCGAGTTGGAACCTGCTTCAGGACCTCTCAAGTCCCGTGACTGCTGACCTCCGGGAGCTCCGCTGGGAAAAAAAGGAAGGCTCCGATCTCCGACTCAAAATGGAAGTGGAAAACCCTGTCTTGGGAGAGGAACATAGTCTTCCACCATGTTCCACTTACATGCTGACCAGGAGTAGAATGCTCAATTGCAAACAGCTTGTGACGCTTCTTCAGTCCAAAACAAGAAAACACCACCGCACACGGCGCCGGCGGAGCCGGAAGACGCCGAAGCAGGGTGACGGTGCCAATCAAGGGGCGGACCCGCTTGCCGGTGTGGATTTCTAGCCCATTGATTTAGTAGGCGGGTCATCCCGAACAACCCTGATGATGCGGATTTTACACTACCAAACCAGGTCCTTCCCAGGCTTTTCAATAACGTAGCTCCACCGCATCACTCTCGCCGCAGCTCCACACACGCCGAGCTCCGCGCTCGGTGGCGTGTAAGCAGTCAGCGATAAATACGTAGTCTTGGAGTCTTGGAAGTCTAGGGTAAATGGATGAACTTGTTGGAACCATCTTTCGAGGCCTGCCGTTTTCGATTTCCTGTTCTCACTGGAAACAGAACTGTGGAGAACTGGGCTGAAATGGTCTTTAAGAAAACACTGAGCTTGCTAAACTATGCAGATTCAAATAGATCCACACCAACGTTCTGATTGAAATCGTCCATCCACACATGCAGTACTTGAGGCCGCGTTCTACTGTGGCTGCACAGGTGTACTTGCGTTCCACTCGGTTGACCTTGGAGCCACTTCTGCTACATCAAAGCAGCATGTTACTACCCAAAGATCTTTTTTGATCCATGAGAACAGTACGGATTTGTTTAAGGGGGTCCATAGAGTGTAAAGGCATGCCCCCCCCCCTCTTGTTTCTGTTGCAGCCTCAAGCCCTTTTTCAGGCATGGAACCTCGACTACACCGCCCGATCTCCATAATGTCCAAACATCTGACACTTTGACCAATCCTGTCCCTCTGCACAAGAGTGAGCAGCTGGGACTGTCCAGGAGAGGTTAAGTGACCTTATAGGACAACACTGGGGTGCCTATGAGATAATCTATAAGGTCCTTCAACCTCTAATGGGTTGCACCTGGGATCTTTCACTTTGACCCATCCATCGGCATCTCCCGTCCGTGGCCGCCGTGGGCCTGGCTGGGCCGTTTTCAAGGGGCTGTTGTCGCTGCTGCTGTCGCAGGTGGAGGCCAAAGAAATCCTCGGAGCCGGATGTTCATCTCTAAAAACAAAAGAAGCTACCCGGCCGCATGGATGGAGGGGTCTGAGGTCTCAAATCCCTAGGTTTTGAGTTTTGAGGGACCAAGGGCTGTGAACGGAGCGTCTGGGTATATAGTTCTCCTCAAGGGGTCAACAAAAAAACCGGACAACGTGTGTATACTGTGGTTACACAACCAATCTTTGGTCGCCCCAAAAACGTCTCCACCAAACCTCCACTGGATAAAGAATGGTCTGAATCCCTTCGCGGATCGTCCGCCCTGGGAAACCGGCGACATGGGACTTCGGGCAACCCATGTCGAAGCCGGGCGCGAACCAATGGGAAGGGTTTGGACCAGGGTCCGGACCCCTGCCATGGAGGGCCCGGACCATCGAATTCAAGCTCGAGATCGATATCGGAATGCTTGGTCAACAAGTCCATCTCAAACCACCTTGGATGAACCACCGTCGATGGATGAAGCGAGTTCACTTCAAACCATTGGATGCGATGAAGGCTTCTTCATCTAGGGGAGCAATAAGCCGTTGCGAAGTCCTGAACATCTGCCAAAAAAGGGGCCCAGTTGGTATTTGGACAAGACTGGGATCGGGCAAACAAGTATCCAGGATCTGCTAAACATGAGAAGTCGGTACCGCAACCACCAAGACCGTCAAAGACTCTTGGATCTGGTTGTACCCCGAGCAAAAAGCAAAGAACATGGCTGACGGTCCACGTCAGAGAAATCACTTGTTAAAACGTCTCCCGGCGACCCTGCATGTTCCAACTTCCTCCCTTGACTATGGAAGCAGCAGAGTTGTGCCCACCGTGCAATAGCTGCTGCAAGTAAGCACCAACGCCTGGATTTCGCAGATCGCCGCAGATTGCTGGTTTTGTGGCCCAGTCAGCTAGATTTGAATCTTGGAGGGCCGCCGCACTGGCTTTTCCCCGTCTCAAACAAGGCTTCCAGCGATCAAGACCACTCGCTCACTCACCCACCTCACTTCACTTCACCTCACCTCACCCCACTCACTTACTCACTCACTCACAGAAGATCCCGAGGTCACCGCAACAAGAGCCAGCTTATTCTGTAGCCAACTCTCGCGCAGATGTTGGGTTTCGGGGTCATCCAGGCCTTAACATCTTCACCCTTAAAGATGATGCTTTTCGAGGGTTCCGAGTCATCCAGGTGCCCCGCCACCGTTCGGTCGTTGTGCTGCCACCCCGCCTGGTTGCTACCACCCGTCCACTCATGGCGCGTGGCCGCTGTGGAGATGGAACGCCTTGGCACCGTGGCCGCTGTTCCATGTGGCACCTGGAGCCCCCAATCCTGGTGGCGAAGCACATCCGTTCGACGTTTGGGAGGAATCTGTTCCATGTGTTCACCGCAGTCCACCAGGGTTACGGGGACCCACAGCGTGTTTGCCATGACCGAGCTGGGGGGCGAACGTCGGGCTCCATGACCCATCGCGACAGGTCAGAGTGATACCCCTTGGCCAGGTGAGTTGCCTTTGTGCAGGTCACTCTGTCACTCGACAGTCGGATCATGATTCATGATGTTTTTGGTGTCACTTCTTTCCTGCACAAACAGGGTTTGCTTCCATAGGTTCCAGGTCCAACTTTTGGACCAACGGATCCCTCGGAACTGGAAAGAACGATCCAAACCCCACAGGGACAGCGTTTAGAGTCTAGAGAACCATGTGGAAGAGCCATTTGTGTTGCCAAAGGGTGCCCTTGCGGCATTGACCCAAAGCTATGTTACCAAAATGTGCCGCTTGAAGAGTTGCCTCCCACAACTAAAGGCATGGCTTGAAGAAGACAATGATGGAATTGATGTATACAACCGAATACACAAATGCTATATAGGTCAATACATCTTTGTTGGACATCACATGAGGTTATTTTTAAAGAAACATGACAGCAGCTGGACCCGGATCAAATCCCACACGTGTCACATGACGTAGCCTGAGTTGATCATGACCCAGCCATGTCTGGGCATCCAGCTGGGACTTCTGCACTCCAGTGATCATCACCTGCCTGCGAGCGAGAAACGCGAGAAGCGCGAGAGAACGCTGATGTGAGCCCGGCACCACCTGCACTGCCTGATCTTCCATTGCATGCAGCATGTTGCATAAATAGGAACAGGGAGACTTCTAAAGGCCTCTGGGAACTCCCTGTTCTGTACAGAAAAGTCACGGTCACGAGCTCTTCAGGCATCCACAGAACGCTGAAAATGAGCTTGGTTTTTGGGCCGAACCGCCGTAGGACTGGAGCAACATGAGCAACACGGCTATACGGGTGGTTTTTCTGAAAAATCACCAGAGCAAAAAAGAACATGCAATGCAACTAACTTTGCCCCGTTGGACTGTTCAAAATCCATAGAGATTCTCAAATCAACATGGACCCCAACGGACTTTGCAAGCCACTTGATACAATCTGCTGGACTTGGGGGGGGGGTGCCCTCACATCACGTTGACTCACCCGAAGATTCACAAGATTCCAAGGTCCCTGTTCAGCTTCATTCCGAGATTCTCCCCCCCTAAGCCACCATGACATTTTGAGGTGTTTACTTGGCGGTTACTCCCTGGTTGCAGCAGCAAAGGCCACACCTCCGGGAATCCGGGAATTGGTCAGTGTTTTACGCGGGACCAAGGAAAAAGCATCGATCCAAGCTGCTCCCACTGTGGTTTCCATGCCAGAGAAAAGAGGTTGAACTTCTGAGAGTGCTCTGTTGGGGTTGAAACAACCGCTCCTAGCCTTGGACAACATGTCTGAAGAGCCAGAAGAGTAGGTAGCTTGGCAAACCCCAGGTCTGCCCATGCGAGGGTCAAACGGACCCCGACAGCAAGGCAACCATAGTAATCCCCAAGTGGAAAGGAGCATCCACCAAGCCCTCCTGGAAGGGCTATGATTGAAGAAGGGGCTAGTAAAGCCCTGCCATGACCTCTTTCTATTTCCAGCATGCACAATATTCTTCGAAAGCATCACGTCGGGCGCCCACCCAAACCAAGTGTCTGGACCCAACTTCTTTCGTTCCCTTGAAAATGGGACATGATTTAGTGAACATGATCGTAAATACAAAACCAAACAGAAAAACCACAAAAAGGAGCTGGTCCTTTCCTAGGGCCGACTCTCTAGGTACAAACATCACGGGTCGACCCGGACTTCTCTCCCTTGGCGCGGTTCCTTCCAACCGGAGCGACGGAGTCGGTCGTCGCGGTCGTCGTCGCTCAATCCCAGCGACCCGACGTCCAAGAAGCCCTGCTCCGTGAAGCCGCCATCCAAGTCGGCACAAAGCCGATAGTTCACACCCACCTGAGGTGAGCACAAGAGGGACAAACGAGCTTTTTGGGCGTTAGTATGCATTCAAAGACTTTGGTACTGAGCCCAGGGGCGGTCCACTTTTTGACCTCGTCTTTTCCTCCTTTTGGGCAATCCATGAGTAAAAGGCGTAAGTTCTGCTAATCTCGGTCAATTCTGGGATTGGATCCAAGGGCCTGTGGACTGGTGTCGTAGTTCCCCAACCTGCGCATCTGCAGTGGGAAAGTTCGAACCTGGAAACCAGCGGTTGAACCCGCCTGGTTTTCTCCCTCCGGAATTCCAAGAACATTCCAGAAAAGGTTCGGGACCACCCAGATTCCTCACAAAAAGGTGGGGAACCGGCTGCCAATGGAGCTGAACCCCCGTCCGAACCCATCGGAGACGAACCCATCCAGATCCGAACCTCGGGAGTGGTCTTCCCGGAAACCGAAACAACCAGAAATTCATGGATTCTTCCACAAACAACCACTTGCCATATGAGAACACACTCCATGTATGCCATATATTATATATGCTGTCCCAGAAAGACCCAAACCACCCCAATGTAGGCAAATATGGCATGTACATGGAGTGCATTTGTTTGTTTCGGGTTCCGGGTTCCGACGAAGACCACGGTCTAACGCACCCCTCTTCATCCGAAGGCCTAACCGCAGAACGGATAGCTTTTTCCACCGAGTCGAAGTCGATGCAGATGGCCACTGGTTGAAATGTCACATCAGCATGCCATCTGCCAGCGGCAGCAAGCTGGGAGGTTTCAGTAAAAACACATTCAATAAAGAAGAATGGACCAGGAGTCACATGTCGGGGTGCCGAACGAACGGAGGAAGTCTTGGTGCCCAGAACATCCACTCACTGGATGGGACTAAACACCACCCCGACATGTGACTCCTGGGAGAAGTGTCGATCTTTTTATATTTATCAACGTTCACGAAGCCCTCTCGTGAAGAAACCTCAATACGGACTTGACCACTTGGTAGAGTCCGACGACGTGTCAGCACCAAGGTCCAGCAGCTCTAGCAGTTAGCCTTCATAGGAGGCTGAGAGCTATCCCGGCTGTTGCCGATCGAAAAACAAGCAATTGCAAAGAGCTCTGGAGACATGATGATGCTGACACCGACGTAAAATCTCAAAAAGCATCAAAAGTAGGTTAAACGTTCAAAACTCCAACTTACAAAATTTATGTCTGGGACAAAACCATAGTGCCGTTTCAGCTTGTGCGTCGGGTTGGCACGTGCGCGGCCAGAAGCAGATGGTGTAAATCTAGTTAGTTGCTGTGTCTGGTGCCCAAGAAACACAACTCAACCCCATGGGACAATCAAGGACCCAATGTTTAAATATTATGTTTGAACACCATGCCGAAGCTGTCAAAGAAAAGTTCATGCCTCAGTTTTGAGCAAAGGCACACCATGTGCGATGAGACCTAAAAACAGGAACAGCATGGGTGAGGTGCGTTCGGGAGATCCGCTCCAGCTCACATTGCCACACCTTCAGCTTCAAATCACAGAAAAGACCTTTCAGGTTCTCACACCGAGAGTGTGTGGAAGAACAACGTGGTCCTCAAAAATCCCAGATTCGATGTGGCGTTGAGAGGCTAGCTGTGGAGAATCCACTTTTGCGAGAACCCCCCAAAAAGTATGGACAAAAACAACAAGTGGACTCCGCGGTCCTCAATCAGGTCACAAGCACTCTGAAAAGAGTGGAACTCGTCTTTCCTTTCCTTTTGGACTCTGAGCTGAGACTGTTTGGCTTGAGACTGTTGAGAGTCGGAGATGTTGAAACAGAAGACAGAAGCCCTTCAGGCTTTTGAGGCTTAGCTCAAAGCGGCATTCGGCCCTGCGCGGCCCTGCGTGGGGCTTGTTGCTCAGGGAGACTCACAGAGTTGACATGAAATGCTACAGTTCAGTTCTGCCAACGTTATATATCAAGTTAGATCTCTGTTTCCCACCTGGCCACCTCCCACTTCGAACAAAAGTCGTTCGAATTGCCTCCGGTATCCCCTGGGTCCAAAAGCGGGCCGGCCACCGTGTGTCCCACTGGACCGACTCCGGCTCTCACCAGGGAAGAAAAAAAACGCCCGGAGCGGAGTGGAGGTGGCCAGGATTCCAGTCCTGCGTGGATTCCAGATGTCATCCTGCGTGGATTCGCCCCTGCGAATGGATGCGACTGGGGTCCGACTGGGTGCGGGCGGCGTGGACCAATTCTACAACTACGTACCACTGCCAGGACTAGGGCCTTCCAACACCTTCCAGCAGGTGATGTTTGGACACCCCTGAACCTCCAAGAGGCTAGAGTCTAGACACCTCTTGAGGCCCTGGTACAGACCTCTATCTATGTCTATCTGGAATCCACTAGCTGGGGTGACAAACTCTTCAATCTCCGGCCCCCATCAGACTGCAACGATGCTCCGGACACCCCTCGGCTGGCTCGACCTCGGCTTGCTCGGCGTGCCGCGCCAAGAGCCGGCGCACTAAACGACGTGCGAAGAGCAAAATGTGAACAGCTAGACTCCCTCATCTGAAATTGGGACAAGTGCGTGGCCCAATTGTGTCCAAGAGTGTTTGTCGCCTTGAAAACAGGATGGATCAAGTGTCGGATGCGTTAAGGCTAAGGGATGTGTTGATTCACATGCAAACATGAACCAGGACGTGGATCTTTGAAACCCCACAGCAAACAAAAAAGAGTAAACCACTACACTCCGACTCAAAAAGACATGCAAGCCAGTGGGCACCTGGGAAGAAAGATGGTCTACAAACAGGTGCCTGTCCACGGAACAGGTGACTGTGACTCTGAGTCTACGACGATCCGAACCGAGCGCCGATCCGAACGGTTCGCCGCACCGGGAGCATGCAGAATTGGACGATGTCTGACCCAACTCAATTCGGCCCCGCACGCACCCACTAACCCAGCAGAGCTGGGGCGCTTGGCCAGCTTGGCCTCGCGGCGCTTCTGCTTGTGCGCGTGGACCGCGCGTTTGTAGCACACGGCGGCGTCCAGCCTTTCTTCGTCGACTTCACGGAGGAACTCCTCAAGTTCGACCACATACAGAGCATGTGTGGTCCTCACCGGTGACAAATGCTCCTTGGTGGACATGGCGGAATGCCAGAACAAGGATGGCCAGAGAGGCACTGTGCGGGAAGCTGTTTTGGGGGTGATGTATTTGATCACCAGGTGCTGGCAACGTGTTACTTTGAGAGGAGCATACACAAGCTTGCTGCTTGCGCCTTTCCAGGGCCATTTACAGCATCGTCGTTAAGGCTTCTGAGCTCTAATAGTCTTGAAATATCTTGAAATGGTCTGTCTAACAAGTTGATCCCCAAGCAGGTTCCAATGATTGTTTCGTCAAAGGTCTGTGGCAAAGCTCCCTGTTCCCACACCCCTGAGCATAATACAACTTTTCCACTGAGAAAACATGAGAGCTCCCCTGCCTTCAGATTGGTCGGAAACCTGTCTTCTGTCAGGTTTCCATACCTTTCAATAAAGATGCATGATGGCTTTTTTGGGAGACCTCTGGAAACCACCGCCCCAGATCCACTTCCGGGTGTTTTTGTTGGACGTCCCGGATGTCCATGCAGAGTATGTGCCACCCAGGTGTCGAGATCCTCGACCTCAAAGACCTCCATGGAATGAAAGCTCCTGCGCTGGATCCTTCGCTCCTCCGCCGCGCTGCGGATGTCGCCCTCCTCCTCGCTGCCGTCGCCGTCGCTCTCGTCTGAGTCAAGGTAGGTCGACCCCGGGAGCTCTTCACCCAGCTCAGTGTCCAGCGTGCCCAGTGCCCTCGGCGGAACCTGAGGTCATCGGTGCGGAGCTCAGTGTCCGTCACCCGACAAACGTGACGCGACCTTCGAACGGGTCCATGCTAGTAGCGATGCCCTTTGGTACTACTAGCTTCTTGTTCCTAGTAGCGATGGCCTCCAACCTAATAGCGTCCTTGCTACTAGTAGCGTCCTTGTTCCTAGTAGTAAGGCCAGGAGCGCCCCTAGTAACTCCTTGTTTCTAGTAGCGATGCCCTTTGTTCCTAATTAGTAGCGTCCTTGTTGGGCCAAAGAACTCGATTCAGCGTCCTACAGTGAAACCCCACCGGTGCAGTGAAACCCCGTTGCGCCTGCGAGCGGTGCGAAAAAACCGGTCACACGGACGCAAGCACCGTGCTGTGCCCTGTCACCCGAACACAGACGCCCTGTGAAGGACCATGTGTGGTCGGACCCAAGTCTTTAAGAATCCGTAGACACTGCCATATTGGAGGAAGAACATGGAAGAACCCTTGCTGTAAAATGTACAGTAAATGCCTTTTCTAGAACCAGTTTGCAAAGCACCAACCTCATAGACTGGGCATTCTGCACAATCCCCTGGTCGGAGCAACCAAGTTCGTGACAGGTCAAGGGGTCTTGCTTGATAGGGCGACGGAGCACAGAAAAAATGCTCGCCAAGCTGAGGTGGTCCCTGAACATGTCATTTAGAGAGACTCCTAAGAGATCGCTTTGAAAGTCGCAGTAGAGATCCGGAAAATCTGGCGCGTTGTGGTTGTGACAAGTGGATTTGCTTCAAGCAGTTCGGTGTCCCAACACGGCGTTCGGAGGCGGAATTTGAGGATATTCTTTGGAGACCAATGATGCGTGAGCATGGAAGGCAAGCCCCTTGCAACTTACAAGTAGCCTGTGCCTAATGACGTCGTGCCATGTGCCAGACCCAGGGGTCCTGCTACCCGCAAGGTTCTCATGCCAAATGACCCAAGCAAGATCAGGCAGAAGTGGAAAATGTTTTCAGATGAATGCCGTTGATGCAGTGGTTGTTGCTCTGATTCAACAGTGTGGTCCACCAAGTGTCTTTAGCAGGCCAAAGCTGTGCCAAGCTGGGCTTTGAGTGGATCCCCACCTCGATATGACCCTTATCATTGTCGTGGGTTAGCCCACCCATTAGATATGACCAACTGTGAGAACCGTGAGTGTCTGAGAGCCCTCCTATTTTTGATGGAATTTCATTCACTTGGATCAACCTCCCAGTGTTTGACCGTGTTTTTGATCAAAGCACCCAAAACTCTGTCCTCAAGCACACAGGACAGTTGGACACTGAAAAATCTGTCCCCTGTGAGGGTCCGTGATTACTAGGCCTATGGGGAAGGAAGCTGATGTCCCGCACCCCAACCAGCGGTGTTCACATCAAAGCTTCGATCGAAAGGTCATCCAGCTTCGCAACCATCGGAGTCGGCTTCGCCTCGGCAAACACCAGCGGCGGGTTTGGCAAAGCACCAATCTCCTTAAAAGAAAAAACTGAAAAGGCTGGATACACCAGGACCGTCCTAGGTGACTGTCCCTGAGATCCCAGAATGAGGGCACGAAAAGTCCCTGTGCATGCTTTCATTGCTTTTCGACATCCAAATGGGATCCCTTCGACCTGCGGATTGTCGACGTTGAGCTATGTATGTTTCAGAGAACGATGGGTATATTCCCACCCGCTCAAATCACTGCGTTTCGGAAATGGTTGCGCTCTTCTGAAAACCACATCATGTTCTTACAAACATGCAAGTCTTCCATTCTGGGCATCGGAATTTACATGTTTCCCTGGTGCAACGAGAAGCTACAGGAAGCCAGGCAAAAAGGCATAGGCTTGTTTGGTGCTGTACATGTCTCATTTTCTCTGCACCCTACTGTATGTCTTTGGGCAAAAAGCCCCTGCGCCTTCCAGATTCCAAAGAGACGAACAGCGGATTCTCCTTACATTGTCCCTGTCTCAAAGCCCCCACCTTCGAAAGCTGCGCCCATGTCGAGGCTGATGTGCTTTCTCCCCAACAATGTCCGCCACCCTGTGCAGCGACACTGCTCTGGCAGCCCATGGCGCGCGTACTCCGCTGTGCTGCTTGAGAATCGAACAGGCGAGTCGAGTCGACCAAGGTAACGGTCCGAAGAATGGGGTCGATCCATGACCATGCTTGACCCCAAAAAAACGGTCATGACGGGTGGAAGTGTGAATCTGGGCACCTGGAGACACCAACAAAAAGGGCTGCACCCATGAGTCTTTGTGTGTGTGTGTGCGGGTGCACCCCAAAAAAACAGCGGGTACCTTCCGCCTTACCCACCCAAAGCGCAACCCCAAGGTAGGCGACGAACTACCCGGCTCTACCCGGTGACTTCTGAAGGCATCTGTTCGTTCAAAGACGTTGAGGAAACCTCAGGTTTGTCCAGCTCTCAAAGAGCCCCTGCTCTTCAAATGGGGATGTCCTGAAGAAACTTGAGGAGAGGGAGACACGAAAGGTATCGAAAGGTTGGAAGGGCGCGGGGGGGGGGGGCAAACCACAAGGCACGTATGATTTAGATCCACTTCGGGGCGAAGCAAGAGGGGTCTGTATTGAAATATCAACGCCCCGGGGGGGTTAGGAGTGAAATATCAAATCCAAGCGGTTTGGTGTAAACGGTGGTTGGTGTAAAACGTGCTTTGGTGTAAACGGTGGTTGATGTAAACCTTTGTTTGGTGTAAGCGGCTGTTGGTGTAAACTGCGGTGTGCTGTAAACGGCAGTTGGTGCAAACGGTGGTTGGTGTAAGCCGTGGTTTTGTGTAAGCAGTGGTGTGTAAACCATGGTTGGGTGTAAACGGTGGTGGGTGTAAACCGTGGTTTGGTGTAAACGGTGAGTGGGTGAGTGGTTAGAGTAAAACGTGCTGTGGTGTAAACGGTAGGTGGTGTAAACCGCGGCTTGGTGTCAACGGCGGTGCGTGTAAAACGTGGTTTGGCGTCAACGGTGGTTAGTGCAAACCGCGCAGGGACGTAAACGGTGGTTGGTGTGGGACGCGGTTTGGTGTAAACAGTGGTTGGTGTAGACGTCGTGTCAGATCTACATCCGATGCGCTGCAGCAGCAAATCCAGATCCGAGCAGTAGCAGTGGATGCGCTGCGCGAATGCATATCTGAGCCGTTGTCCGAGAATTGGTCGACTCACGGTCCGCCTTGCCGATGTTCTAGACCAAATGACCCGCTCCAAATAAGATCCACTTCGGGGCGAAGAGGTGGGGGGGGTCTGTATTGAAAAATCAATTCCAAGGGGGGCGGGTGAATTGAACTATCACTTATTAGACCCGGAGGCGCCCACACTTGCTTCGCAAGACAAACTCAATGTATCCCCCTCAGGCATACCTGGCCTACCTTTCGTGAAATCCTGAATTATGTCACATCCACAAGACCGCTTGTGGATGTTTTCCAGGATCGAATCTGACCATCCGTGAAACAAAACTCCTGACCACCCGACTCCCCTTGAACCTTACAAAAGCGCCTAACACCCTTCACCCTGCAGGGCGCCGAAACAGCCTTCCTGTCAGGGTCACCTGGACTGCCCCGTCACACTCGTGCAGAAAAGTGCAGGATGTCTTCCCAGACACAAATCCTCCCAGAAAGTCAACAAGCCTCCCCAAAAATGACAACGTTTTAAAGATCGTCCTTTCAGATGCTGAAATGAGAAAAAGCCCAGAAACCCAACGATGTCCGTGCTTCTCCTCCTCCTCCTCCTGCTTCTTCTGCTTCTTCTTCTTCTTCCTCCTCTTCTTCCTCTTCTTCCTCTTCTTCTTCTTCTTCTTCTTCTTCACCCAACCCCAGGACCCCAGGTGCAAATTCCACCACGTCCAAACGCCAAAGGGCCGTGAGCCCACTGGTGTCCAGCTGCGCCGTCCAACGGAAACCTCGGTGTTGCCCCTCGGCAGGTTACTCGAAGTGGTGGACTCCGGGAACCTATGGCTTCCCCTCCGAAACAGCAGAAGTGAACATCTCAAAGGTGTTTCAAAGGTCAGCCTTTCCAGCCACCCTTAAGACCAAACCGTGTTGCCACAGTGACAGCCCCATCCCCATCTTTGAAATGCAGTAGATAGCCGAATCATGTTGCACATGACATGAGGCCTTGGAATACTTGTACAAAGGCGAGACCCATTCTTTGCGACACCCAGACCGGTCCCACGAGACCACCTCGTCGGCTCGTCGCGCAACGCATCCCTTCGGTCCCGTCCAGGGCGCCGGGAAGGTCGCTACGGGGAAATAGCCGGACGAAGGCCGTGTTGCTGGGGAAGCTGGCCTGGCCAACTGGACGAGTGCGCGGGGAATGAGGTGGGGGGGGCTCAAGAGCGCCCCCAAGATAGAGAGTCTGAATTGGATCCAGTCACTCTCATTCCCTATGCAGCACCAGTCAGCTGCAGAGCGAAAGCTGCTATCTGCTATCTTTTGAACCTCATCAAGGGTGCTAGGTGGTGCTGGCCGTGGTGAGGTTTCCTCTCTGCAGGCCATTCACGGAATCCTTGAAGGCACATATGGACGAATCCAGAAGACTCCGAACAAAGCAGCCATGCTTCAGCCATGGCCATGGTGGAGGCATGTCCATCTGAGCAAGTGATTGAGGGCATGTCTCTGCCAGAGACTGAACCAGGTGGATTTCTCAGATCCAGGGAATCTGCTCACCGCGGCATCTTCAGTTCTCCCCACCCGCCCAGTGCCCGGACCCTCAAGCAGCTTTAATTGAGGGGTTGGGGTCGCAAGGCTGTCACATATGGATTGGGATCAGAGACTCTCAATAGTCTCCACAGAAGTTTCTTCACCGGCCGGGAACTTCAAGACGCGGCCGTCAGCTCGTCGGACGAACAGCACCGGCACGGGCCAAAGCGAAACGCCGATCCAGAGCCACAACCGATCCGAGAAGTAAGAACCCCAGCGCCAGCAGCTCTCCGAAATCTCTGGACGGGCTAGAAGCGGAGACCCGGCTCAACGCGGGTCTCATGCGTCAGATCATGAAATCGGACGGACCTCGGCACTGGGTCCGGTGGAAAAAGCTCCGGAACCTGAGGTTGCTCGGACCAGGTTTTACGTCCTTGGACCGGCAGGGTCATAGCACTAAGAACGAACGTGCACCAAGAAGAGAGAACAAAAACGACTGGCGCCAAAGAAATGATCTTTCTTTCGGGGTCGTGCCATCCACTTCGATGATTTCAGGGAGGACTCCGTTCTTTGTTGAAGATGTTGAAGTGCTCCATGTTCCCACCGAGTCAAAAACGCATGGCCTTCACGCACACCGACCGTCTCTCTCCGAGTTCACCAATGTGGTCAGGCGATCGTCAGCGAAAGGCTTAAGTCGTTCGGTTCGCCCCCCTTCGACTTGGCACTCTGAGTATGAAAACACGTCCTAGCTTCGGAATTAAGAGCAACTTCCAGTAGAACCATGTCGGGGTGCCGAACTTGGAGGATAGGAGTGCCCACTCTCCACGTCACTTAGAGACTAAATACCACCCAACTCCATGTGACTCGTGGTTCTTCAATCCCCCCCTCGCAACAAGCTGAGTTCGCCCCCCTCGCAACGGAGACTGGGACGAACTTTGCCCAGTTCGCAAACCCTTCCAGTTCGCACGGTGTTCGCTTCGAGACCCTTTGAGTTCGCTTCGCACCGTGATCCAGCAGGTTTGAGGTGCGTCCAAATCACCGAAAAAAAAGGGATTTAAAAAAAAAAGAAGCCGGGGCCTCTAAGAGCTGACTGCAAGTCTGAGGAGGCACCAGATTCCAATAGGTCTGGCAGTTTTCTTTGTTCCCTCAGCGCCGAAGTGAAAAGCTGCAGCAACCCAACCCCCAATTCGACCGTGGCGTTCGTCAACCCTGCGGTAGGGCCCCATGTCCCTGTCCCATGACAATCCTCTGTCTTGACACCTTGGAGTCTGTAGAGAAAGACCAGAACACGGTCTTAACGTCAAAAGACAAAGACTCAGCGAAGCACCTGGTCTGACCAGGGTGGTGTTGATGCAGGCCCTAACAGCTCGCTCACGAGGGCTCCTGGCCCACCTAATCCACCCCAACCATCGTCTCAGGTAGTCGGAGAGCGCTAGGGATAGTGAAGTTCAAAGTCTGTCTTGCTGGGCTTTGCAGACGTGAAGAATTCCAAATTACCTGAAGGTCATCCAGAGATCTGGTGCAGCTACTTCCACCTTTGAAACTGGTCTCGTTCTCCAACTCGGGAAAACAAAGATAGTGTGTCGTTCCAAACTCAAAAAGCCAAAAAAGAACACAAGACAGAGCCAACAAGGCCTTGCTGAGCTGCCATGGTTCGAACCTCTTGGCCAAAACCCCTTCCCCAACACCTTCTCCGACGACCACAACCGTGGTCGACCCCCCCCAGTCTCCGCCAGGTCGGACCAGGCATCCGGAGATCACGGCGGCCACATCGCAGGCGGTGGCCAAGTAGATGATGGTACTCCTCGGGCGGACGCTTCGTTCCAACGAGCAGCACGAAACACGCGCGTAACGCGCGGACAGCGCAGAGCGCGCGCGCAGGCTCAGAGCGCAGGACGAAACGCGCGCACAGACTCGCGTTCGTCGCCAAGGCAGAATGGTCGCACGATCTCGAGATCATGTGGAGGAGCGCTCCCCGTTTTAGTCAGTGGGATGATGGAAGAAAGTGAGATGAGAGTGAGTGGCAGTGAGTCTTGCTGTTGAAGTGCCAGTGTTTTCCGCTGGACGGATGCCCAAAAATACCGGGTGCGGATGGGTGCGGTATTTTAACTTGTGGATACACATCACATCTCAACCCTAGGCCTCTAACCTGTGGAACACGTTCATTCACATGCTGTGGATCCTTTTGGAGATTCAACCAGACCTAACAGCACTGCCAGGCATCAGATTGCAGCCATCGCAAGTCAGAGGCAAAGTAGCAGTGCTGCTAGCTTCCAGTGCCTCAGAGCAGAAAGCACTTTGCCATAGAAACAGCTCTGCCTGCACTTCTCACCTGAAACTGCTTGAACGTCTCAGCATACCCAGAGCAGCCCGCCCGTATTTTCTCCGGTCAAGCCACGGTGTACTCAGCCGTGATGGGATTCATTTTCACGACCTCAGACACTGGAGGGGAGGCTGTGGTGGATGGAGCCGTCGCGCTGTCTGAGAAACAGGATGGGCGTCCAGGTGAAGATGTATACGTATACGTATATGACTTAGATTTGCTGGCGTGGAACCTGGCCTAAAGATGCGAAAGAACCGAATTTGCAGCTACTAAAGTCCTTCCCTTCGGGATTCACCAAAGGAACCAAGAAATCACCCTGAGCAACTAGGAACAAGAAGCTACTAGGGGCTCCTGGCATCGCTACTAGGAGCAAGGACACTACTAGGGGCTCCAGGCCTTACTACTAGGAACAAGAAGCTACTAGGAACAAGAAGCTCACTACTAGGAACACCAAGTATAGCTACGACCCCAGCAGGTTAGATTTGGGATGCCTAGCGTGCTTCTTTTCTTTTCCCAAGTCGCGCCGTCGTAGGCATTCGCATAGCTTAAGGCGGTGCTTTGTGCTCCATCGTAGTCTACACACAGCAAATAGCTATCACCCGGCTTCAAGGCCTCGACGCGTTGGTGCACTCATTGCGGTGGAACCATTGACCTCCAACACTTTTTGGGCCATCCCTTGGCCGCCCAGATGGTGGGAAGCTTCAGAACCTGTCCGCCCCCCGTTCCCATGGCAGGTCCGGGCACCGAAGAAACTCAAAAAATCCAAATAAAAACATCCCTAAGATCCCCAAAAATCTCTTTCCGAACCTCCGAGATTTGGATTTGTTAGATTTCGATGTTCTTCTTTTGGATTTCTCTCGCAAAGTAAATGGTAAAGCAGAGTTCTGGTAAACAATCTTCATCTCTGGTAGACTAGATCTCTGGTAAACGAGATGCTAAACTAGATCTCTGGCAAAGTAGATTTTTGTTGAGGTGTATAGGTGACTGCTATCTGGTTGGCACAAAGTAGACCTCTGGTAAACCAGATGGTTCACGAGATCTCTAATCTGGATCTTTGGTAAACTAGACCATCCTAGTTCCTGATAGAATAGATCTCTGGCAAACTGGATCTCTGGGGAGATAGACTTTCAAAGAAATCTGGGAACCGGTAAACTAATTGCTTTCACTAGGTTATCGCTGGGAGACGACCCCTGTGACCTAGATGGTAAACTAGAATCCTGGTAAGCTAGATCCCTAGTGAAGGAAAGGTCTGGTGAAGTAGGCCTCTGCTCGGGTGATGGTAAAATAGATCTCAGGTAAACCAATAAATTAAATGGTAAACTAGGCCCTTGGTATAGTTAGCTAGGTCATGCTGGGTCTCAAAACACTTTCAAGCTTTGGGCCAACAAGCTCATGAATCCCGGACTCCACACACTTTGCATGGCCCGAAAGCCAATGATGTTCCGATTGAAACGGAGATGCAGCATCTCCACCAAAGAGCCGAACCCACACAGCGACGCGGAAGTCCTCGAACTTCCGGGGTTCCGCACCAGCCCGTTGGTACCCCGAATCGCCGAATCGCACGGGAATGTCCATCCACTCGTGGCCGAGAGGCAGAGGTGTTGAAGGTCACCGTCCAATCACGGGTGAAATACGAGGCCACCTGCGCGGCTCGCGCCCCAGTGGTGGGGAGCACCCAGGTGGGGATTGGAGTAGGTTTGGAGACTGAAGGAGCTTCAAACACCAGCATCTTTCGCTGCTCTAGGTTGCTTCAAGCCCCAAGGCCTGTGATTCAGGCCTCAGGTAGGACAGGGGTGAGCACAAGGAAAAGTCCAAATCAGAAGGAATTAAATGCCTTGGCCCTCGAGCTTCGACTCATTTTTTGGGGGGGTGAGGCGCGGTTGTTGAAGTCCCCCCTTGGAAACCACCTCACTGTAGGTAAAGAGCACCCCACCCCGAAAAATATAGAATGGCTCTGCCTCCCGAGCTGAAGACACTGAGTGAGGAAATCCGTGCAATGCCAGGGCGATCCTGGGGACTTGTAGGGGTTACTGTAGGCTTAGTCCCCCGGCCGGAGACTCTTGATTGGAGCTCTTTTTGTTCAATCTTTGTCTTTGAGAGGGTCCAAAACCGCGGGAGATTGACCACCACATGAACAGAATCGACCGACAAGGGACCTGGTTTCGGGTGTCCTGGTCTTGACATGTCTTGACCAACACCCACTTCAGCCTAGCCACACTGCGCCTGTCTAACCAGCACCGCAACGACAAATCGCCACCGCCGGGAGCACCTGCCAGCTGTCTGGTGCCACTGCGGCAACCAACGCAGCAGAGGCTGTGGCCAAGGCACCATCTGCAGCACGGAGGCCGGAAGCACTGGAGTCGCAGCCTTGGAAGGTCGTGAGTGGCTGGAGAGAAAGAGGAGAGAAAAATTGGAAAGGATCGGGAGTGCTTTCATGCGCATTTGCTGAGGTTAACGCAACCCAGCTTCTTTTCGAAGGGGCTTTCATGATTGTTCATGCATGTGTCCAAGTTGGGGTGCCTTTCAAAAACGAAAGAAACCCCTTCAAACTCAAGCTCGTCACCTAAAAGGCAGACGTGTGACAGCTTGGCTCATCTCGAAAGCAAAGACTCAAATTTTATGGGCGAGTGGGAGCTTGGTCCCTTCTGTCCTCGGAGTCATCTCGTGATGCCTCAACAATTGCAACGCTGATGTTGCAACAACTCCGCCAAGCCCCCGTGACCAAAACGCCCAAAACAACGCCCATAGTCGTTGCTCCTTTGTTCCACGGTCCTCCAAGCCCTCATTGGCGAGTGGCCCACAGCCTCTTGTGCCAGGTAAGCCAACGTTTCTGAAGAGCAATAGAGCGGGCAATAGAGATCCAAAGTGGTGGAGGAGCCTCAGCTTCGCAGAACAGGCCGACTCACATTTCCAAAAACCGCTGATCTCGCGAGGTTGCTGCTTTACTTGCTTTGCTCATGTCTGGCCAGTCCTTCTACAATCTATGCAGACAGAGGAAGGATTGGTGTACGTTACAAAATCATGGTTCGCTCGCTCGTAGGAATCTCCCACCTTCGATCTACTGCAGGTCGACCATAAATCTCAGACCTGAAAGGACTTCAACCTGAAAGGACTTCAACTTTCAGAGACGACTTGCGCCCACTTAGCTCTCGACCAGCACCCAACATACTCTACCCTGTGAAAAAAGAATCCACCCGGTTGCCTTCTCTTTTCATGCGAGCGGGGAGAGCCGGAGTGTAGTGACTTTTCAGATTCGATCTAGCGACCAGTCGCAAACTGATCCTTGCCGGAAGACGAACTGGAACATGGGCCCAACTCTACTTGTTGCACACTGGTTCTCACCCTGAAGCAATGCGGAAAACCAATGAATGAAGTTTGATCTCAAAGGTCTTCTAAGCCAGGCAAGGTTCCCCAGCCCTCAGGCCGCCTCAGGCCGCCTCAACCAACTGCCGCCTCAGCCCTTGGCGGTCTAAGGTGCCAATCTTCAGGCTGTCCGCGGGGTAGATGGCTTCAACCCCTGAGATGGTCACCTTCACAAGCACCGATGATCTATCTAGTGGGATTCATCCAAACAAATCGTGTGAATTCTTCTTTGGATGGCAGATCCCTTCTTCCAATAACACAAAGAAACGACGGAGCAGTTCTTCTCCAAAGCATCGAAGAATACACCCCTGTACAGACGCTGTCCCGCCTCAAAGCCGCTATCCCCAAAGTAAAGCTCCCCAGAGGTGTCGGTGTCAATGCAAAGCCTCCATGGGAAGTTGGGGCGATTCATCGGGGACCTCAAGGCACCGGTACCTCATCCTCTTTCGGGTTTGAGAGAAGCTTCTGTTTGGGGAAGACTGTTCGGCTCACAAGAATTGGTCGAGCCAAAGACTCCTGCTGCCAGAATGCGGGGGGGGGGGGTGAGGCAAGAAAAGCCTCAAGCTTGACACAAAGGGTCACAGGATCTGAAGAAAAAGACCTCGGTCACCAAAACAACAGTGTTCGTAATGCCTTCCGTGTTCGTCATTCGGTGACTCAAACAGTCTTCCATCCGGGCACCGGAAAATGTCCATCATAGGTTGAATGGACAGCGCTGAAATAGAGCTTCACTTTTTCCAATCACAAGTACAGTGGTTTCAGAGGTTCGATGGCACAATCCCCGTCGGTGGTTTATAAGGATCACCACATCAAAGGTATTTTTGGGTGCCAGTGCGATCTACTCTGATAACACTGTCATGAACTATCATGAACAAAGCGAAGCTGTGTGGACACTCGTCCCATGGCCTGTCCTTCATCGCCCTTCTTTCGTCCCTTCATCGCCCAGCCGCCCAGGCTTGCATGGAAATCAAACATATATCAATAAAACAAATATATATATATATATACCTGGAACCCAACTGACCCGTGTTTTGATAGGAAAAGGCCATATTTTGGGTGGTTGGTGGTCCAAAATAGAGGTCATTCAGGTTCTAGGTATATATATCAAGTGAAAATCAAGGAAAGTGCCGGCAGGGGAGGGAGACACTTGGGCACTTGGCCAGAACTTAAACCCATACGGTTTCGTGCCTGTAAAATACGAGCATTCCCCAAACACTCCATGTATGCCATATTTGCCTACATTGGGGTGGTTTTGGGGTCAATGTAGGTAAATGTGCCATACATGGAGTGTCTGAGTTCTGAAGTTGATCACCGTCATATACCGTGTGACTTCTCCGATCATGAATCGTTTGACCGGATAGCCCAGCGACTGCTGTCTCGGGCGTCCGACTCGCATTGTACCAATCGAGATGGGTTCAGCATTTTGTATGTATCGTGATCCCCAAATAGATAGAAAAGGTGTCCAATACATTTTTAGTGGGGCTCTACTTTTCGATCTATTTGGGGGTCTATGTATATAAGAGATCTGTCTTAGGATCTCACTGAAGCCCAAAAATCGTTTCTGAAAATCCTGTATGAATGCAAGTACTGTAACAAAAGAACGATCAACTCTTGCCCAAAAACAACCTGCAAAGGATACTAGCCATGGAGGCTCCATACCAAAAATAATTCATGTACCTAAATAAATCTAAAGGGGGGAGTTGTTTGCTAGATGTTGGGCATTCTGTTGCTCTCCTCTTTTCTCAACCAAGTTCAAGCAAGTTCTTGCCAGCTTCCCTCAGCGAAACTTTGCAAAATCAAATCAAGCATCACCTCAAAACAACTGACACAGAATATTCCCCACGAAGGAGCTGGGCACAAAATAAGAAGCAGCACTGATTGAATCCTAAGGCCTTTCCAAAAAGGAAATATCTTCGCTTCCGATTAGTTTTCCTTTCACCAATTCCCAACTGTTCTCATGCCACAATACCAAATTCAGAAATGGAAATGTTGATCTGATCCCTGTCATTTCCCTGTCACCCATCCTGGCCAAGACTCAGCAAATTTAAAACAATGTTTTTGCAATTTTGGTGCTGATTTTGGGGTAGTTTAATTGCAGTACTTCTATTCGGTGCATTCCTTGTGGGGCACAGCGAAAGAAATGAACCTTAGGTGGACATTACATCCCTGCTCTCCAGAAAAGGCGATGCTAAGGTCTCAGGTCCTTATGTTGGGACGGTCGCGAGCTCAGGACCAACAACCTCTCCAAACTCCACCCTGCTCACCATTAAAAGAATGGAAAATCTGTTGGCTGGGATGCTGAACAAGATTGACCATACCCTGAAAGCCCACTGGAACTATGACATCTGAGCTGTGTCAAAAACCTATTGGAACTGGGTTGTAATCCTAGCATCCTTTGGCAACAGGCGGTCGCGGTCCTTGGATTTTGCGGGCATACACTGTTTGCTCAGCCTTTCCGCGGGACCTTTCGTGAAAGAAGCTAAAGGGCGACTGCGGACGCATATGTACAATAAACATGTCATCCAAAATTGCCTTTTCGCATTTTGCATATTCCTTTTGCAGCCATGTGTGTATGATGTCTTTCGCACTAGCTTTCTCGAAGCTTTCGCGACTTGAGTTTGGCCTTTCACAGGGGGCATGTCAGGACGCCTGCATGACACAAACTCTTCATGGAGGTTGTTGACGTGACTCATCTACAGGAATCGTTCCAACCCGAATCGCCTGTAGGTCCAGCCCACTTGGAGGTGAGTCGTGTTCAGCTCCACTCGGAACTCATAGATGCTGCCTTCGGCACCTGGAATCTGCGTCCTCGGAATCGGTGACGCCCGACGTCGAGGGCGTCAGGGCCTGTCCTGGTGGTGTAGGAGCTTCTTCACACCCCAATCAAACGCACCGCTTTCCGGAGATCATCCCAATATCATCCCCAATATCTGCTTTCATCCCCAATCTCCCATCGACTAGATCCAGATCGGTTCCAGACAACCGGACCAGATCCACCGGGGCGCACGGCTTGCGTGGGCGTGGCGTCACGGTCGTGGATCTCCCAGTCCCCCAAGACGCCTCCGTCGATGGGGTCGGGTCGCACGTGGGGAGACGGATTCGAGACGGGCGGACTGTAGAGTGGAATAAACATTGGGGCAAGAGAATGGAGCATGGTCACTGGGTCAAAAGGGTCAAAATCGGAAACCTTTTTGGAATTTCTGTTGAAGGAACATCTTTGGATGATTTTCTCTACTGCGGGAATTCCGGGCACCGTCTGCTTCAAAGCTCACAGGACTCACATGACTCACAGCGGACCGACGCAGCAACCTCTGCCAAAGCCAGGAAAGGTCTTCTCCTTTTTTTGGAGTCCTAACATAGGAGTCCTAACAAGTGATCTGGTTGGAGTCCGCCTTCTAAGTGGTCGTTTTGGAGTCCGCCTGCTTGTGACCGCAAACCCGGGGATCAAAGGGTGAGTCCCTACAAGAACGCTACATCGGGCAACAATCGCGTCAGCCATCACGCTCAAATCACCCTGCCGGCATCAGAGATGTTCACCAGACCTCATACCGGGGGTCCGGGAACTTGCGCAAGAGGTGTCTTCAAACTCCTGGGAATCTACAGGTACCATGCGCCGCAGCATGTATCACCCGAGTTCAGTGCAGGAACCTTGGTTCAAACGCATCGGAAGACGCACGGAGGTCCCCAATCACCACAACTGTTGCTGCGGAGAGACCCTGACCCCGGGATTCCCTCGAAGTCCAGTTCGACGATTTTAGTTCGTCAGTCCGTCAGACCATTTTCACGGTCGACTCACTCACCCAGCATCCCTGGACTCTTGATTTAACCCATCCTATTCGGCTTGAAAAGCCTCATCATATGGGGGGTTCAAAATCAAGAGTCTACATCGGTCATGACTCGTCATGAATTCTTGGCCCCACCTGTCTCGCGGTTCAAGTCGCACCGTTGTGCCAGGTAGACAGCCGAGGCGGTAGAACAGCTCGTGGACACCGTCCCGGTACCGTGGCAGGAGAACTCCAAGCGCGAGGTCCTAAGACAGCATTCTTCGAGGTCCGAAAATTGCTCAACCCAAAAATCGGTGTGTAGCTCAGTCTAACCGGGAGACCTGCCAGGCAAACAACCGACCCCCTAGGTGGACAGTTCGGAAAATGGACCAGTCTACCCACCCAGGGGCGAGAAAGGGTGTCTCTCCCTATTAAAACCGTCTCCGGCACTGGATGTGATCCGGACCCACAATAGACGGGAAAAACGGATGTGATCGAGCGGGCACCCAAGGGGGCACCCCATCCCGAAGCCCGGCGTTTGTTTTCCCAAATTGTCCTTCTTGGGGTTAAGAGAAGACTGAACATGTTGAGGGTCGTGGCATCCTGATGGCATCTGGATAGCACCTTGCGAGGCTCAGTTTCACACCCGAACTCCTGACAGTCCAAGAGGTTTTGAAACATGGTCTTCTAGGGTGATCCAAAGTTAGTTCGGAACTTCTTTTTCTGGGCAAAAGATGTGTATGGGAACTGAAATCCAAGGATGTCCAGCCATTGGCTTTTGGATGTTTTTGTGGTTGGGTCAGGGCTGACCCGCCAAAATCTCGACAGGTGCCATCATCAGACGCTCCTCCACACAGTAGCGGTGTGAAGATGCCTGATATATATATATATATGTGTGTATATATATATATGTGGACTAGAAGTCCAAACGACTATTTTTTGACCGACTGAAGTAAAGGAAATTCCTTTTCGGGTCACCTAAAGACCATTCTGTTTATAGTTTGACTCGCAGGGTATATAATATATATATATATATTGTATATATGTAGCCGGCCGTGTTCCATCCGTACAAAGCTATATATGGCTATATATATATATATACGCCAAAGGGACCTTCCAGAAGCTTCTTTCTCTACTCGGATATCGCAAAGAAAAATGATCGCCAAGGTGCAGGCCAATGACCAAGACTTGATGCCTCACCACCGACACCGGCGTCACGTACACGCTGAAGCCAGTGTCATGAAAGCTGAAGCGGGTCCCTGCGCCGTCCAGGTCCAGACAAAGTCCTCAGACAGGGCGAAGCCTTACACATTTAGCTTCAGGGTTGGGGTCTTTTCCCTGAAACAAACCCAAAGAAAAACCTCACAAACCCCGCGCACACGCAACCCAAACCACCAGCGCCACGGGCCACCGAACTTCGTGGCGCCATGTCATCCGTCCAAGAAGAGAGCGGTTTGACGATTTTGGACCAAATCCAGGTGAACATTTCGGCCGGGCCCTCTGGAGCTGGTGTTTGCCAAAAAAGGAATTGGACCTTTGGTGATTTTGTTCGGTTGGGCAAACAGCGACTAGGAGGCACAAGATGTTGACTGAACTGAAGTTGACTGAACTGCCAAGAGCCATGCAAAAATAGCGACTGAGCTGGATAGAGCCATTGGGTTCCCGATCTTGCACAGAAAATTCACCTCCTAGACTGTAGACATCCTTTGCCCTAGAAGGGTGGGTACGGTACGAGCTGGGTGGTCTCAGTGGTCTTTGTTCTGCAGGGAAGGCTCCTTCGGGAGAGACCTACATCCTACGACTTTCGGATGGAGACCTGTTAAGAGCGTCAACAGGTTCACAAAGCAACTCCTGCCGAGATGCGATAGCGGGTTCCTGGCCGAGAATGGGCCAGCTGAGACATGTGTTCAGCAGTAGTCACGATGGGTTGACTTTCTGCTATTCGTTGTAAGAGACAAAAATCGTGTCAAATAACAATCAGCTGTTGAAATAACTCAAGTGTGTTGTTGCGATCCAGAAACCATCGCATGAGCTAAAGAAGCCGTTTTCCCGCAAGGCATGTCTCAGCATTGGATAAGTCAAACACCGGGTTCCAGCTCCAACATCCAATTGTAGGGAAGGATCCTGGTAAATACTAGGCCTTCAGAAGCAGAAACACGCTTCTTCCCAAAGTACAGATCTACAAAAATAACATGTCACTTAGGACGAACTTGCTCGACGAGCAGTTCTGTCTGAATAGAGACGGACCTTGGAAGTGTGTTTCCAAGGCCCAAAACAAAGTGCATAGGATTCGTGGTCGACCATTGATTTCATAGCCTAAATCCCAAAAAACCACTGTTTTACGCATTTTGCGCTACAACACCAGATCAACCAGTGATTAAATGGGAAGGCTAGGGAGCTGGTGCTTGGCCCACTCTTCTCTTGTTAACACAATGTGGCTTGTTGTTTCTAGTAGTGATGGCCTCCAACCTAATAGCGTTGGCCTCCAACCTAAGCTCTTCCATTCTTCCAGATGAGGATTCGTCTTCAAGAAGATCTCTCTACGCCCCTCGTCTCTTCGCTCGGTGTCTTGTCTCTTTGCTCTGTTCCACTCCGCCTATCACAGTGGCTGACGCGTCGAAGATCACTTCAGTGTTGTAAACCACAGCCTCTTTTCCTGGCGAAGCCTCACTGCCGGGCCACTTCAGCCACAACCCGTGGCCACTTCCAACGGATCACATCGCCAGTCCACTGCAAAAAAAGCCCCGCTCCGTCTGCCTTTTTTCCACCCAACCCAGGTCTTGCAACGTCCAAACTTCCTCCCTCCACTTTGCGTCCCAAGAGGTCGTAGCGTTTGTTCTCCCCCTTGGAGACCGATGAGACCGACCACCGTGGGGGGTCTGGACTGGATGAGACCGATGAACCTCACTTCTTCGTCCAAAACCCAAAACACCGGCGGTCCAGGACGGCCGGTCCCCGTCGGGCCGTCGGGCGCTTCGTCCGGCGCTCCGCTCCGCGCGGGCGGGACCCGCCGGTCGAGAATCTGTCCAACTCATGTCATGCGCGCGGTGTCATGGTTTTGGCGAAGATGCGCACCCACACCCGAGGTTGGATTAGATGAGAAGATGTGGCTCTGACCCTGGAAAGCTCATGGAATGTTGAATCCAAGCTTACGTTTGGAGACTGACCTCACAGCTACTTCGGAACTCGATCCTTTTGCCATGGTCCATGCAAGCAACAAGATATGAAACAAGTGGTCTCCCGGCTCCCAAGCAGCTTCGATGCCTTCTAAGGGGCCACTGCGCCCAAATTGGTTGTCTTTCTTCGGAAGGGTCCTTTTGCTACCTTTTTCTGCCACTGCTCCTTTTTGCAGGGAGTTTGGAGTTCAGGGTCGCTCCATGCTTGCATGCTCAGCTGATGTTGGACCGTTCGAACCAGCTCACCCAGCTTCAGCACCCACCAGTCACTGTGACCATCCTCATGTCGGAGCCCTTTCTCCACAAACCCTATATTCCCAGCCCTAAACCCGTCTCTCGCCATCCGCGTTTTGCAGCCCCAGAAACGCTTAAGGACGAGCCCCTGGTGCTGTTACTGGTCGGCCGTAAAGGAGCCGAGAGCGTGGTCCAGTCTGTCGCTCCAGGCGCGAAACGGACGTGCCGCCGAAGACGACAGATCAGGCCACCGGCCGGGCCGAAAAACACATGCGTGAATGATTCCCTCACCAATAGACGATTCAAACTCTCTTCTGGACTGCGGAGCTTTCGCCTTTTTCAGTGTGTCTTCGTTCCACTTCTCGCGCTGGTTTCGCACCTCCTTCGTCCATCTGAAATCCATCGTTGTCCGAGAAGTTACAGGCTTTCGTGGTCAAGTAGGCCGAGGAGACCTCGTAGATCGGATCCTCAGACCACCGGGGCGCAAGCGGCACGTGGCGTGTGGCTTGGAGATCCGAAACCGACCGGGCTGTTGGGACGTGATGGTAGGTGAAGCCTGAGGAGCATCAACACTGAACTGGGAGGGTCCAAGCATAGAAATGCTGGGCAAAAGCCAATTTATCAGCCCGAGTCTGGTCTGGTCCAAGGAAGCGCGTTCTCGCCTTAGCGGTTTCACTGTGTCCACAGACTGAATAAATACAGTATAGCCGGCCGGGTCTTTGAGTGTGGCCTAAGTGTTTTCGCGTCGGACTTTGAAGAACTTATGTCACTCATATCGGCATATTGAAAGGATCAGTGAAAGGATCACCTACAAGGTGAGGGGTCAGAGGCTGATCACTCTGACGTGCAGATGTTCCAGAACCGGAATGAAACCCTCCGGTGACTGCGGACCGTTCCGCTGGGCCGCTCAGGTCTCGTTCGGAGGAATCGGACCCCGTCCGGACACGTCGTGGAGAAGCCTCCGAGAGCCCCCGATGTTCAGGGATCATGTTCAATCCGAATACTCAACAGGTGGTACCATCCACGAAAACCATCCCCTGTCCCATCCTGTCCCTCTTCCGAACATTCCCATGGCTTATAGCACGCATGGCGCAGTCCAGGTCCCTTCGCTAACTGAGCAAGATTGGTGATGCCTCTTTGCGTGATCATCGCTGCGCTATGCGCTCATGCGCCCAGACCCAGTTTTCCCTCCGCCAGATCCACATTATGAATACCTGCAACACCCAGTTTGGGTGGTTTGTAGACCCACCGGGCCAGGTAGTTGGACCACGAGCCCCGGTAGGCCGTGTTTTTCTTGCGATTTTGACTTTTTGGACGTTTTTTTTGCATCCCAGCTCCAGGTCTTCGTTGCATTGCACAACAATAAAACATATCTCACACTGCATGCATTGCACAACAATAAAACATATCTCAGATTGCACATAACATGATGCTAGCTCCTCGCATGTGAATTGAAGTCACCAAATGTTTGCTATGTTGCACTCTAAATTGTACCCTTGGGCGGAGAATTTTGCAATTCGCCAAGTTGATGCTACGTTGGGTATGGATTGGAAGTTCTCTGATGTCTGTAAACTTGCTTACTTGCAACAACAACACGTACGACATGGACAGTTGCTGACGGTCAGAGCTGCAAATTGTTGGGGTGGGGGGTGGGGGGTGGGGGGGTGGGGCCAACATAATGACGTCGGTCTACATCGTCGGCCAACATAATGACGTCGGTGGGGCCAACATGATGAACGAGCTGTGCAAAGTCGCTAAGCAGAGCCGGTGAGTGCAAAAAAGTAGTTGTGTGATTTCGCAAAACGTGGAATTTGCTGTTGCATCTTCGAAACTGATAGTGGCGCTACAGCGCCGTGCGCATGTTCAATTCGATGGTCCTCACGAAACGCCACGGCCTACCGGGGGTCGTGCACCAGGTAGTTTCCATCTAAAAACCACCCGAACTGTGGTGCTGGTAAATGATATCAATGCTTAATGCACTTGCGGATACACTATGATACACTCCGACATCCCATCCCATGGAAGTGGAAACCACCCTGTTTGGTCTTCCCATTTCAGCCATGTTCGTCGGAGTGTGGACACCGCCCCCCGGTTCAGCTTCGAGGATCCGTCGCTGGACACCCCACCACCGTGTCGCAATAGCGCTCAGTGTTCCAGCATCCATAACAAAGGAGCAATACCTGAATCTACATGCACATGTTCGAAGCACACGGTCTCTCCAAAAACATGTTGGAAGTGTTCGCTAAAATCGTAAAAAGAGCTACCAAACGCACGGTTCTTCTTTCGCTCCAGTGAGCGGCAGACTTGCGGGCCCAGTGTTGGGGGCCGAAATGGACCACCCTCCTCCATGTGCAAGCTAAGCTTTGTGCGCTCTTCAGGTCTATTCATGCCGAAGAGGGCCCCCATGGCCGAGGTGAAACCATTCACAGCATCCAGGTTGCATGTTGATCGGTCGCCGCCTGAATGCTCTCTTCACTGATCTGCGTCACTGGTGTGACTGGCACCCATAAGCCACTGAAACCCGAGTGCAGGGGGCCCTGGGCGAGACCGTCCAGATCCTGAGTTCACAAGTTGCAGCGTTCGAGTTCCTAGAGCCTGACTGACCCCCTGCTTTGGAGCCCAAAACATGGTCGTTTCCTATCAAACAACCAGCGCTTCAGGTGCATCAGTGTATACATTGTGTATACCGCTCACCCGAAAGACTTCCGATCCAGTGACTGGCTCATGTTCCACATCTTCAGCCTCAGAGCGTTGATCAGAACCAAGCCACAGTGCAGAGCTTGTAAGTGCTTCCGTTCGTCAGATTGCTGAGATCCCACATTCCAAGCCTCACGACTTCCCACGGCGCCGGTGGCGGCTGGGGAGTTGGAACTGCTGCCGGTGCCAAGGAGTTGGCCAAGTTCACACGACTCAAAGAGGTACAGCACAGGACGAACGGGCAAGAACGGGGCTTTTGGACTTGTATGGAATGAAAGACCATCTTGGCACCCCATCTGGAAGCACTTTTCAAATGGATGCTTCCCCCAAGCATCTCACTTGCCAGAGTGGCCCTGCTTCGTTTTTCCCCGTGTCAAACTTGGCGTTCGGAGTGCCCAGTGGCTCCCACTGCCACTCCTCAGAGCTTCCTCTGAAGGTGAATGCAGCTGATTCACTCCTCGCCGAGAGGGGTCGGTTCTTGGAATTAGATGTGTCGACATGCCCGCCCTCCGTGGACAACCGAGATTTGATGGAAGTGGGCCATGATGAAGTCCATTTCACCAAACTGGGGACCAAACTCTGATGCAGTGATGCAACTTCTGGAAAAACTCATCACATGGAAGTGGATGGCGACAGAAGACTTGCAGTTCCACAAAGAACTGTCCACGTCCATGAGAACTGTTCGCCAACACTGAACCAGAAGTTGAGCGACGTCTGTGTTGACCAAAGAGTGTTTTCCTTGGGCCACTTCAAAAACCCAATGAAAACATGAGCAAAAGGAGGTCAGCTGAATGAAGAAAACGTTAACTTTATCGTTCCGATAACAAACAATTATGGGCAGATTGAGTCATAGATCATCATAGAGTTAAGGAAATGCAAAAAAAAGACATATTGCCTGCGTTCTTAGTCTATCAAAGGAATATACCAGCATAGACCCCAAACAGTTTCAACAAGATTTTGTTGCGTCAACTCCTTGACTTTCACTGTTGGTGGAAACGTCCGAAATTAGATGACGAGGTATGTTACTCCCGCCGTTTACTCGCACTTGATTGAATTTCATCACTTTGACACTCAGAGCACTGGGCAGAAATCACATTGCGCGAACACCTTCTGAGGCCATCGCTATGCTTTGTTTTAATTGATCAGTCACCTATACTATTTTTCCCTATACCCCCCAGCTGTTTGAGAGCAGCATGCAAAGAAAGACACGTTGGGGGGGTCAGATGGTCTCATCTCTGAAGCGCTGCATCACTGTTCCGTTCGTCAGCCACGTACGCGGCAAAACGGCCAATTGGCCCCGGTGGGAGAACAACGGGCGAACGGCCAAGCAGGAGGGCCACAATGCGGACGAAGCAGGACACAAACCCGAACAAGGTGACAAGGCGGCGTGGCCACGGCGCGATCGTGGAGAGGGCCATTCTTCAGAGAGAACCCCAACAGTAAACTGTTTGGGGAACAAAAATCCACCAATCCCAAGGTCAAAAGACTGCTTAAGCCGAAGCCTCATCCCTTCCTGAATTCATGGGTGTTTCTCTTTCGGGACCGTAAAACAACTCGGGATCGGAGGAATCCAGGAAGGTGTAAGGCGCAGCATCCCTTGGGGGCGTGGCCCCAACTCCGCTTGGCAGAGTACCCGGTGTGCAGAACCACTGAGAGCTGGTGGTTCTTCAGAAGAGCTCTTCCATCGACAGTGGTTCTGCCATGTGCTTCCTCTGCTTACTGAACGGCCATAACTGGACCTTCCATGGGTGCATTGTTTGCGCCACGGAGGGAAACAACGCAAAGCGCAGGCCAAATGCCCTCTGTTGTCAAAAGAGTCGCCCTGTCGGCCAGACGTTTGCAGCGATTGCCCAACATTCGTGGTCGGGAAGAGTCGCCCTTTGGATCCCTTTGGTTGGGGAAGTCATCATTTGAAAACCTTTGATCTTGCATTTTAAGAACCTCCGTTGGCGCAAGAAGTGCTTCAAGGCACAAACCGTTGGTGCTTGCTTCAAAAAAAAAGAGCAAGAATTGTTGATTGAAAAGGTCAAAAAAAGGGGGGCCAGGTCAGGCCGGTACAAAATTTGAAGGAAGTTGCAAGTTGCACAGGCTGGTCTCCATCATCGGGTTTTGGGGCAGCTCGAGCGAATAAGCATCAACGTGCTTCATATATGTACCCTTGGGGTCCTCGACCACCATTGTTTTAATGGTCTGAATCCGGAAGAACCATTGCTTTTTCTCAGGATTTTAGACTACAAAAGGGTTTCATGTACAGGTGTACCATGTTGTACCATCAATCTACCAGCACCAGCCAGTTCGCGTGGTCTATAGAGACCCTGGCTAGATAGTTTCCATCCCAAAACCAGGTGCGAAAGTCCTGTTCGTTACCTTTCATTAATACTTTGGCTTGCACAACTCCACCAGTCAGGCCCAGTCAGCTCCTGTCTGTCGAGTTGTCAGACGCTTCGCAGCTCAAGGCGAGATACCTTGATGAGGAGGGGGGGACGGAAAATGCCAGTCTGTTCTGCCCCTAAGGCTCCAACCACCTCCTGAGAAGGTGATTGGGGTGGGTGCCAGGGGGGTTCAACTACCTTCTCAGGATGTGGGCCAGGAGCCCTAGGGTTTATGTTATTGTTTCTTCCAAGTGACCGAACTTGATCCCCGGGTTTGAGGTCAAAAGGTCACTTGGGGACTCAAAAAAGGTCACTTTGAAGAAGCTGGTGGGTGTGCTTTGTTCATAGGGAGATCCCCCGACCAATCAGTGCGCCAGTGTTATGTTCCTTCATTCATTTTTAATGCATACTTGACGAGGACTCTTCAGTGAAACCAGTGTCTTTGTTTGGATTTCCGCGTTCATGTCTTCGTGCCAAAAACAAAAAATGATGTTCGGGCAAAACCCTGAGAGATGGCCACAAATAGCCAAAGCTATTGAGTAAACAATGGTGCGACAACCTTGATGAAACACATCTTGAAGCACCGGCTTCTAGAAGAACGTGTAGCTGCATGCACTAGATAGATCGATCGTATTGTGTGAGGTACTTTTTCAACTTGGATGTCTGTTTCTACCAACCCCCACTTCAATTGGTGGCCCAACAAAGCTAGAGTAGAGGCTAAAGGTCCTTTCTTCCTCTGCAAACCACCCGGAAGGTCAATCAGCTTGGAACCTTTGCTGCAAAAACCGGCCGCCCCAAGGGTACCGGAGAACGACGGACGACTGGAGAAGAAAAAAAGAATGAAGAACGAACCGAACGTGTCGCGTGCCTGACCGGACCTGGCACCCCTTTCCGACTCTGGGGGATCAGGGTGTGTGCTTCTACGCCGAGAAGCGCTTCGGAGGCAGTACTGCAAGAGCCATAGAGGCCTTAAGCGGAGAGATGCCTCCCGGTGAAGAGGCGATTTCTATGGCTGGCCCTTGTGCTGATGCTTCGTGGGGATGTGTCTGGATTGGATCCGAGGATCATGTGCAGATTAGATCCGAGGATACATCCATTGTCCCCAACAAAAAACACTGACTGTAGACTTCAGGAGCTTCTGATCCCTCATCACCACCACTTGGCACGAGGAAGTCAGTCCTTCTTCACATCCCTCCTTCATCGCCAAAAGCAGTGGATTCATGTGTCCTTCGTTCCAAACCCACCAGTTCCTCGTCTGCGTTTCAACCCAAGAGGCAATTCAGCAGCAAGCCCTGCCCCAGTGCAGCCGTGACCACTGGCCCATCCTTGGGGTCTCGCAGCACCGTGCTCAGGCTGGTGACTCCTGGCACCAACGGCGCACGCAGCGACGGACGAACCCCGCGGAGGGAGTCCAGGAATTGGACAAAAAAAAAGAACGAGAAAACCTTGGCAGACAAGAACCAAAGCTAGCTACGAGAATAACGAAATAAAGGACTTAGAGATCAACATATTCCACCAGGATGTCATATTCACGGTCACCTGTAGTCACCTTTTTCCATGACGAAAACTGCACCCTCACAGGGCCGACCAGAGTCGACCTTCAAAGGCTTTTTGGTCGACCTGACCTCCTCTGCGCGACCTTCCCAGACCAAGAGGACCAAGAGGTCAGACCTGACCCAGTAAATAGGATTTTGAACACCTCATTCCCTATGGATCCACATACTCTCTGAGAAGGTGATTGGAGATTCCTTGATGTGGGCTTGGAGGGTCCAAGTACCTTTTGAGAAGGTATCTGGGTCCCTAAGGATTGAGTAGTATGACGTTTTAAGACCAACTCCAGTAAAACGAGGTCAAACTGACCTGTACGGATAGCTTGTACCAGACCCTACTGAGATCTACTAAGGCTCCGAGGCTCTGCCTTGGGTCTACCCGTGGCATCACCGGGGCCCAGGGACCAATTTGGGACCTCTGAAAACGCTGTTCGAATCGGTTTCGGTCCGGCGGTTTCAGAAAACACACCCTCGAAAAGTAAACAGAATAGACTATCAGACATGATCAACCTACCAGGGTTAGGGCCTAAGGTCTTGAGCCACAGCCGTTAAACCACCCCTTCCTAACTCTACCCCTATCCATCTGAAGTGCCACATGCATAGGGTCCTCATAGAGCTGATGTGGTTGCAAGAATTGATGCTGGTGAGCAAGTCCCTTGTTTGTAGCAAATGCGTCGCCCACAACATTGGAGTGGTTCCTTTTAAAGGAGGTCCGTCAAGAAGTTTTGCCTAGCGAAAGTATGAGATCTCCACTTTGAAGCCTTAACTTTGGCGTTCCTAAGCCGATCTCCACGCCCTCCTCAGCATCCCTCAACCAACAGTGCTGTCCAGGCCCAAAGCTTTTCCAAGTTCAGTCCTCCCAGGTAGACCACGATGCCTGGCCAGTTGAAGGAAGCCACGGTGCCCGTGCCGTCCAAATCCTCGCAGAGCCGATAATGGACACCCAGCCTCGGCCGGACGGCGCTGGACGTCGCACGTCGGACCCGGCATCGAAGTCGGAACTCAAGAGTTGGCTGAGTCGCAGAAGCTCCGCACTCAGAATGCTTTTTGTTTATCGGAGCTGAGAATCGCCGGGTCAGATGTATAGTGACGGCATTCGGTGGGAGGAGGAGGGCAAAGGCAAAGGAGACGAAGATAAGCTTGAACTCAGGCGAACTTTCAAGAAAGGGTCTTGAGATGCGGCGGGGAAAGGACCTGAAGGTCGGCAACCTTGTCCACTGGGAGTTTCACTCTGTAAGTTCTTGTAGTGAATGCTCTTCCGGGCCCAAAGGTACCATGAACTTGTGCGTTTACCACGAACCGATGGCGGGGATGTTCATCTCCTCCCCAGGTGAAGCTCAAGCCGTTGGCTGACACCAGGGACACCAGGGTCAGGTTTTTGTGGGCAGAGGAACCCTCGAGTCCTCGAGTTTCCAAAAGTGTGTCTCAGCAAAACTCATAAGCGCACGATGGTCACCATCAGGGATGAGATGTAAAGTTTGAGCCACTCTTATCCAAATTTTGGCGGATCCAAGCACAAAGTGTTGTTCCGAGTTCACTGGCAAAATGAAAACCGTATGCTCAACAAAGAAGACAAACCCCTCCAATGGAGAATCCTCCTCCTCACAGCAGTACCTAGCAATTTTTATCTTTGACTGGAGAGTATCCCAGGGGCCTTTATGAGAATCCGCCTGCCCAGCCAGAACCCGCCAAGCAACTGCATGTCTCGAGTGTCAAATTCCAAATAAAAGTATGGGTTGCCATCCCCCATCAAATACGACCTCAGTTCATGCACAGCAGCATGTGCGGATTTTTGTGTCATGCACAACTTTGCAGACATTTGCTAGTGCACCCACCCCAACGACCAAACCGAACCCTAAGGGCTACGACTAAGCTGGAACTGAGGCTGTTGCGATGCGCTTTCGTTGTCCAACAAGCTCTCCCGCCAGCCGTCGTTGTCACTGGTGTCGCAGCTCACTGCAAGGTAGGCGCTGGTGGCCCCTGACGCGTGCCGTAAGGAACCAAGGCGGTGCCATCAGGGACTCGATGAAACTCCAAATGATATAAATCTGATAGATCACATGTCGTTTTCTTTGGCACGCCAAGTTGTTGTCAGACATCGAACATGATCTGTGTCACCTTACACTTCGAAACACGTTCACGCTCGACTGCGGCCTGGGTTCGACTGCTCGTTGTATCCCATGAACGTCTGGCATCCCAGCTGGTACAGGTCACCGGTTGGTTCGCAAAGCACTTCCACCCTGCAAAGAAAAGCAGCCCTTCATTCTATTGGGCAAGTCAGGGAACGTTATATACTTCGATGGGCAGATTCATGGCAGGCGGAGCGGCTTGGGACTTGAACTGCAGTTTTCACGGTTGGAGGCCACTTTGTGGACCGCGAAGTGCAGATTTCGTGGCACACACAGCACTTTGTGATCAGTGAACTGCAGATTTCATGGCAAACACAGCACTTTTGTGAACCTCGATCTGTTGATCTCGCGGCACGTGTGGCACTTGGTGAAACTCGAACTGCAGACTTCGCGGCAAGAGCGGCTCTTCCAGACTTCGTGGCATGTGTGGCACTTTGCAGCCGAAGTGCAGATGTTTGATATATAGGTTCATGAGTGCTGTACCATGTGATCACATAGGCACACTGTCATGTGTGTGTATGCTGTCGTATGTGTGTTCCCTCACATTTGCTCTCATGCGTTTGCTCTGTTCTACCAAACACTGATTCGGGTCTGTTCCCGGGACACTTCAAAAACATGTGTCAGACATTTGTGCAATCACTTGGTAGCACGGGACCTTTTGAGTTTCTCTTGCGAACCACCGGGGTATATGGTGATACGAACTGTGAAGGAACTAGACATCTGGAAAAGTTCGTTCCGCTCTTGTGCCCTTTGATGGACAGTATGCACAATCCTGACATACTCGTTTCTCACAGGTCCGTTGTGAAAGCACTCAAGAATTCTTGGTCTGGTGCTTCAGCTGCTCTCCTCCATTGGCGGAAGCCGTCGTGCAAGTAGTGGATTTCCTTGCGCATTGTCGAAGCGCGCAAAGCTCTCGTCGACATAAACTCATTGAGACTTGGCGAAGTCGCAGATTCGGTCAACGGATCACTGGTCACGCACGCGTTGTGTTGGAACTAGGAAGAGTCACCGAAGTCGCCCACAAAGACTGCCTCTCTGTGTGCCATGATGTAGATTCTGTGAGATTTGTCCTGGGGCATAGTTTTGGTGCCAGTGGAAAGCTCCCAGAAAACTCCACTGCGTCCAGCGGTAGAAAGGAACACGTTGGAGCGTGGGACTCTCTTGCTGGGAATGCAATCAGAGAGGCTGATTCCACCAACCTTTCGCCATGGCTGGTGCTGCAGAGTCTCAAGAATGCTCATCTGTCACAGCCTTGCTGCTCTTTCAACTGTGGAAAGTTCATGACCAAGCTTGTTTTCTTTTGGGTCCGAGTATCCTCGGGGAAGCACACCAAAGACACCCATGCTGGAAGTGTATCCGTCTCCAACCTTCAAGGTCATGTTGCGCGACAGGCCTGCTTCCGCTGCCAACCAACTTCTCTGGTTCCACGGTGATGTTGTACCGTGCTGCCTCAGCAAGGATCTTGGTCGATGTGTGACTCCTTGTCGTTCCTGCAGGAACTCGGTTCATGCCACTCCTGCAGAAATCTGCGCCAGCATCTGGTCACGAGGCTGGTCTCCTGGTCCACGATGATATCCCTCATGGTGAAGTTCTCGTCCTTGAGGTGGTGTATCGCGTTACCTCATCCATCATGAGCAAAAAATTGGCCCCCTTTGAACTGGAAGCCGTCCATCTGCACATTCTCATTGAAGCTTTCCACAAGACTGCTCCGGATTACTCTGACGACTTTCTGCAAACGCTGCATCGGGAGCCTTAACAACCTCTTTTGGCCTTGAGTGCATCGGTGGTCGTCAGCTTTGAAAGCTTCTCGTAGATCTTCTTGAAATCAATTAGTGGCTAGAGTGCTGACGGTTGATCTCTTGGTTCAACCGGCCGAAGACTCGTTTCTTCGTATGGCTGTGGCACAAGTTCTTCTTGCGTGGCTTCAGGAAGTGGTTCAAGAGATTCTGACGTTTGATTGATAGCCTTCTCAGCTTCCGCTTCCCTTCTCTACCCCTCGAAGGATAGGCTCAACGACGCAAACTAGCCAATCTTCATCGAAATCAACTGGCTCATGAGCCTGCCCATGATTCATCCCTTGAAGATCTTCTTCAGGCAGCATCGTGCAATAGAGCTGCGGAGCAAACGAGCTGTCAAGAGGTGCTCTGCGATCTGGTCGTGGTGCTCTTTGAGAGGGCTCGAAATTCCGAAGGTAGAGCAGGTCACGCTGGCAGTAGGTCGTAGGGCAGGAAACACTGGTCGAAGAGCTGGATATTCTTGCCTTGCGGAAAGGGGATTCTCAAAGTGAAACATGCAGGTGCAGAAAGTGAAAAGTAGAAACAGTCGAATGCCCTGGATCGAAGATATGGCTTCGGCAAGTGGCGCTGGAGCCGCTCCGCTAACAGACCTAACAGACTTGGTAGCACAAGACCTTTGAGCTTCTAAGGTGCACCTGTGGGGCATATGGTGATAGAAACTGCAAGGAATCTATATACACATCTGGAATAGTTCATTCAATCATTCTTTTGAGTGTGTGTGTGTGCATCTCACTTCACATGCAGCCCATTTTTTTGGCAAGAATCTGATGATGACCCCACTCCGTCAGCTTCAGAACATGTCCCACTGTTCAATCGGCAGAAAGTGCGCCGGGAGTCCAAGATCATTTCAAAAAGCTGTCTTTAAATATAGTTGAACTGGACTTCTAAGGGACGTGGATCAAATCTGAAATCGAATCCTTCCCAGCCAATGTTCAGGAATTGAGTTTGTTCTTAAATGCTAAAAATGCGGTGTTTTGTACCAGCTCCACCCATTTTGGATGGTCATTGAATGGAAAACACATGGTGAACAAACATCAACAAACCACCGTGATTCTTTTCGGCAACCCCTGTTGATGTTTCCTTCTTTATGTAATGGTTCTTCTTCAATGATCAAAATATTTTCTCTTTCCAGATCTTCAAGATATATATATATAAATATATATAGAGGGGGGGAGATTGATTGATTGATTGCTTGCTTGGCTGGTTGGTTGGTTGGTTGGTTGGTTGATTGGTTGGTTGATTGATTGATTGATTGATACCATCATGTATGATCATGTCCCATCATGATCCCTAGAAAAAAGGCAGCATGTGTCAGAAAAGAATGTGATCCTTAGAAAGTGACTTCGAGAATACGTCTTATTTACTCTAGATTATGCAAGTGTTCTGGGTGTTTCATTCTTTAGTAAACGGTTTTTCCCTTAGAACATGAATATTCCTGACCTGTATGGGTTAGGGCTTCAAGGCACTTCCTTGAAGAATGACCGTTTTTAGATGCACGTTGGCCCAGTGATGCCATTGCGCCATTGACGCTGTTGGGGTGTTGGACGCTCGTTGGACGCTCGTTCTACGGCGGTGCCTCGGTGCAGTTCATCCGGGACACGCGTGGATCGGGGCGCGAGGCAAAACAGGCGATGAGACCCGAAGAAAAGAGAGGGGCCCGGAAGATCAGTGAGCCAAGAACCAGAGACCTCTTCGGCCAACCTCTTCGTAAAGTGACAGAAACGACGACGTCTGTGATATCATGGGTGAACACGCAATCACCAGCCTTGAGTTGTTGGAAGGCGCGATGCCGTCATCAGCCTTGGAATGATCTGGAAAATTTACGAAGGGATTTCAGCAATCTGGAACTTACACCGGTGAAAAAAATCACGGAACGGAAAACTAGTTTCGGCATATTTAAACATGGAACTCGTTTCACCGCAACTCCTGGGGAATTGGCATTGCAACTTGTTTCGGTGGACAGGCAGGTTTGAGGCACCCTGCAAAGTTAACATAGAATATGTTTTATGCCCGTGCTACTCCCTCAGATGGCCTTGGGAACATCCTTGTTTGAGGCCATAGCTATTAGGATAGAGGCCATCGGTGGAGGCCCACTGCAACCGCCTTAGAGGCTCGCAAATCTAACATGAAACGGGGGGGGGGGACCCAGAATTCTAGGGTCAAATGGTCCACGTTAAATTTGGCCCTGACTGATACCAGGGCCACACAAGGTTATCAACCGGAGGTTTACTGCTTTGCGCAAATTTAACATGGAACGTGCAAAAATGCAGTCACTTATGCACCCTGGCACTAACATGGAACTGAATCGGAAAATCTTTTTTTTTCATCGAGATTTTTTTTCCCCGGAGTAATCTTCTTTACATGTCCCATGTCCCTATCTCAGCTTTTCCATTGGCCATGCAAAGTGCCATGTTTCTCAAAGCTTTTCGTCATTCCTTGCCGTGGCCGGCTTGATTTCCCCAAACCCCAGGCAGCGCGCCTCTCGAATGCCCGCTACATAGACTTCGATCATTTCGGTCACATCTCCAAGCCTGGGTCCGGACCCCAACGCGCCGACCGTCGGACGCCAACCAGGTCGTCGCTCACGGATGCAGATGCAAGACCAACGATACTCGGATCGCTTTGAGGGTGCGGAAGCGATGATGGCCCTCAGAAAAGATTCTGACTCCCTCTTCCCTGGAGACTTTCTTCCGCATGGGTTTGGGAGCAAAGAAAGCACAAAATATGGTCTAAAACCCGGACTGTGGATTCGGTGCCTATTGAAACATCAACTTGGAGCTCCAGTTCATGGATCCATCTTCCAGGGTTCGAAGCCCACCCCCATGATGTCCTTCTTGGAACCATGTCAGTGCCAGGCACCATAGATACCCATAGACCTATTGATTGCACTCGAGTTTTGTTTGCCAAAAAATGCCTCAGACGACCGACGAGTTCCCGACGAGTTCCCGACGAGTTCCCGACGATCCGTTTTTTTCAAGTTCACCAGGCCAGGAGCTCCTAGTAGCGTCCTTGTTCCCAAGAGTAAGGCCAGGAGCCCCTCCCCGAGAGAGGGGTCAGGAAGAGCCACCAATTTTTCAGCACGGTCTCTTTTTCGGAACAACGAGGGGAAGCCCCGAAGGTGAAAATCCAGCCACGTGGGCTCCAAGACTTGTTGTGTTCCAACGACGCACGCTGACCGTGGTGATTTTTTCCGCTGGGAGAGGTTCCCAGTGTAACGCATTCATCGGCGGTCCAAAGTTCACCCTGAGAGCCCAATGTGTGCTCTTTACTCCTTTTCGAAGAGCGCAGCCAGAAGGTGAAGTCACAAATCACTGACAAAAAAAAAAATCCTTCCAACAAAAAAGCACCACTGTCTCTGACTCTGGGCATGAAATATAGCATTCCCCATCTCCCCACGCCACTCGCTCCCAGTCGCTGGAGACCATTGTAGCCGCCAGGGCCGGACCTCGCTGATGACGGGACGAGAGACCGAGGGGCCGTGGATCGGGGCGCGGTGGACCGCCCGGCTTTCTTCGGTGGGAGGAGGTTCCCTGCTTTGGAGTGCTGGAGGTTCTTTGCTACACGGCCACAACAAAGTAAAAAGGACTCTCTATCTCCCTCTCTCTCTCTCTCTCTCTCGTCTCCCACTCCTTTTGTGAAAACTCGATAGAAAGCTTCAACCACTTCCTTCCTTTTTTTAAAAAGAGAAAATCATAAAGAAATCGGAATCCGGTTGGGTCCATGATGGGTCCCAGCCGAAATCCTCACGTTGGGGTCCTTGTGGACTTAGTCGGATGGTGTGTAGGTGTGGCTTTCGGATACTGCGTTTGTTCATTCTGCTTTGTGTGGATTCACTTTGAAAAATGTCACCTCCGAAGGGAAGAGGAACTCGGATCGAAGGGCACTCGGTGCCTGTTGAGAAAATATGAGAAAATCATCTGCAGAAATGTGGTGCTGCTTTCAATCACCCTGGTGGCACAAAGCAACGAAACTGCCAAGCCTAGCTGAGCGCAGGCAAAGCATTCTATCGGATCAAAAAAATAAACTGGTAGAGGTACACAGATGTCTTGCTCCTTCGTTTCAATCACGCAAAAATGTTCTTTCATGTTAAGAGGACCGGGCCTTGAGATGTGCGGTCGGAACCTTTTTCTTTCCTTACGAAGGGGCACCGAGCCAGGAACCGCCTGCAGCGACACGGAGCTACGGATGACGGAACGAGGCACTCGTCGATGCAAAGCCGATAACTGCGACCCATTCGCAGCTCGGTGCCTTCCACGACCTGTTCCGGGCGGGGATGGCCGGGACTGAGGCGGGCTCGGGCGACGTCCGAAGTAAGCTGCGGAGTCGCCCGAGTCATGAAAAATCCTCGTGATCCTGAGTCATCTTTGATGAAAATCGTGAGACATGGATCTACTTCTATTTGGCAAACCCTCCCACTTCACCAGACTTGTTCCATGTATCGCCTGGAGGGTCCAATTCACCGTCCAGTCCACCACAGGCTCCTGGCTCGGTTGGCATGTTTTGGACTGGTCTTCTTGAGCCGTTACGCTGGCGCCGTTACGCTACGGATGAGCTGATAGGAAGGTTGGCTGGTGCCTGGGCGAAGTGGATAGAACCAGTTGATCATCATCCCTCCACATTGAGAAGGCCTTGAGAAATTCTACCAGCGTAGACCCCAAACAGCTTAGTTCGCAAGAAGTATTGTTGTTGTGGGCGTGTTTAATTTGTTTGTCTCTTTTTTGGTGGTGCCTCTCTGTGTTCTGGCTTCCTTTGGAGTGGTTGCAGCTTCAACCACTTCGTAGGAGAGTGTTTGAGAATGCTGTGCATAGTGTCTCCAGCAGTCGCTCTGGCTGAGCGGCCGTTGTTCGACTGAGGCCCGCGCGGCCGGCCGCGCAGGGCAACGCGCTCGTGTTAGAGTTATGATATTTTTTGGCAGCCAGGGACTGCAAATCCAGAAATAGTATTTTTTACATGTGCTTATCACTTTAACCATTTCCTTCCGAACTGCTGGGTTCCTTGTTATGCTCCAAAAAGTGGCTGACACCGCGTTCCGCGTTTCGACCTCTGCCCCCCCGGTGGGTTGCACCTCTCTTCAGGGATGAAGAGGAAAAAAAAACGGCCCCATGGCATCCATGAGGGAGACTCAGCTGATGTTTTTGCGGCCTCTTCCAAATACCAAAACACCCCTCAGGTCCGCCTCTTTGGACCACGGGCGACCAATGGATTGAACCCCACTTCTTTCCAACCCCCAAAAGAAAGGCTCCATGGTGGCCCGCCCCCCATGGCGGTCCCATGCAGACTTGTAGTCCACGATTGGGCTGGAGCCCTCCTGTGGCGACCTGAGATTCACGTTCGGACGCACGGCGCGAGTTCATGCTGCGCGGCGTTGGTACGAAGGATGTCACTGGGGAACGATAGAGGGGTCGATGCCAGCTGCCAGCATTGACCGAACTTAGTTGTAAAAGATGGATCCCCGTCCATCCCTTCCCATACATCAACCAATCAACCAACCACAGGTAAAGGGCCATCAACCAACACACTGGCACTGAACTCTCTCCCATCCCGGCAGCCGAGTCGTCCCATTTATGTGATGGCCATATGGCCAGCACGCCGGGGACCGGGGAGTTGGCCATAAGGCACCGTGAAAAAAGAAAAGGTCGTATCTCTAGCCTTGCACGACAAAAAAATAGTGTTTGGTTGACATGATTCACCTGGTTTTGTAGCGCAAAATCATTTGTATATTATTCTGCAGTAAGATCCCACCATTGGTTTTAATGGGAGGAATCCTAGGGGTATCAAAAGTGGCCAAGCTTCTGGACGTCTGGCAGGACTGCCCTGACACCAGAAACCCGGGAAGAGAACGCATCAACTCAAATCCAATGGTTGGAGAGGCTCCCTGGGGCTTCCTACTCTAATACACACCCCTCTGGTTGGAGGTCCAGCCCATCCCAACATCTCTGGGGCGCATCCAGTGGAAAAAAAAGGGGATCATACCACCAGGATCCTCCAAGATCGGCTTTGGGACCCGACCACAGGTGGTGGGGGCACTGGACGGACGAGTCTCAATAAAAGACCTGTTGGAACATCCAGGTCGTGGACAGTGGATTTACAATCGCCAGCCTCGGACAGTCATGACATCACCACCCTCGTTGAAGAGTATATATGGGGTCTATCCTAGTACCTGTAACAGTGGATGATGATGGTCAGTAAAGGCCTTGTCCAAAAGTAGTGATAACTGTTTACTGACTGTTGCAGGTAATGGGACAGACCCAACTTAGAAAAAGGTTCTTACATGCAAGCACCCCAGTGAACGGCACCCCTTCGTTCGAACTCGTCTGCTTCGAGTTGCAGGTACTGTGGCTGAGTCATCCTCACCACCACCCGGGCACTTACGGAGTCATAGACCGTCATAGGCCTCAGACGCGATGCTCGGACGTTTCCGCGACTGCTGTGCCAAGGGCTTCGAGAAGGATGAGAACCAAAAAAGACCACAAACTACTGTACAAATGTCGATCCTTCATGCGAACCCGAATGCGAAATCGCAGATCGACATGGATGGTGAATTGACCAACATGACATGCTGATAATATCCGCTCCAACACCGGTCAGACCGCTAAATATACCGCTGACGCCCAATGGGTGGAACCTGAAAACCAGTTGAAGTTGCTTCACCAGGGCCATTTACACCCAGGATCATCCTTTCCAGGGTTATCCTTACTGCAAAGTATAGACCAGTCTATAGCTGCTATAGGCCAAAGAGACTGCCAAACCCAGAGTCCCACTCTGCTTCTTCAGTTTTCACCTGCCCTCTTGATTCTTCAACGGTACCTCACCCTGACCCTCCCAAGCCCACCCCGCCCCGCAGCACTGCACAGTGTCCCACTCCTCCCCAAGCCACCGGTCGCCAAAGTCGCTGCAGCGGCATTTCGGTCACCGACGCGCAGGTGGTGTCCACGAAGTTCACGCTCAATGGATCGATCGCCGCCAGGAACCTCTGTACCCGACGGCGCGAACGTGCCGTGCGCGCGCGCGCGCTCGCGCGACCGCTGGCTCCGGAACCATTGGTGGTGGAACACATGGAAAGAGGATCGAACAAAAAGGGAACATGGAACATCGGTAGCAGATGGGTAGAGGTGAAAGTCCCCAGATAGAGGCTATACAGAAGTTGTAAGGGGCTCCAGTTGTAAGGGCCCCTGAAAAGGGGCTGGATGGTGAAAGAAGCTTGAGATGTCTTCTTTCAACGAAACGGTTTGAGGATTCCCTGTATCAACTTGGGGAGTTGACCTGGCTGTTCCTGATGCACAGAGAATGGTTTTGGTGCGTCACCTAAACCAAGAGGTGAAAAACATCTCCAGATTCACTGGTCAGAGGCCATGTTTTCCTGCTGGTGTCACATGGCAGTCCCCCCCTCCTCACCCGGTCGTCGCTTGATCATCCCAGTGGCGCGATGGCATGCTCATTGCAGGAGGTCGGATAGCAGGAGATCGCGATCTCTGCATTCGTCACGGGTCGGACGTAACTTTGCGCCCAGGTGACATTGAAGATGTCCGGCGGCGTTGTAGATGTGGTTGTGGTGGTGCTCGTGATCTGGCAGATAGTCCGGCTTGGCTGGCTTGAGGTTGGGCAGGTTGCGGGGGATCCCAAGAAGTTCGACCAGTTGCAGTTGCTACCCTCTGACCCCTAACATGGAAGTGAATGGAAAATGGTCCCGAAAGGAAGACCTACTTTCCTTTACGAACAGGGGGGTGAACTCCACTTCCACTTCCATGTGTTCGTCGGAGTTGCTATGTTTTTTGAGGGATTCTCAGCACATTTATAGCTTCATTCTGTTAGCTTGATGGGTCCCGCGAGGCCGTGTGCGTCGGCCGAGCCTTCGGCGGCCCACATCCCAAAGGCCCAAATCTGCGACCCTGTGAGTCGTCGAAAATCAGGTCCATGCCAGGTACCATATATAGACAATATATACCTATTGGTTGTTCACTTGGCAGTATCCTCTATATTTATGTAAAAGAGATTCTCCACGCATCCTGAGAAACTTTAGCCAAACTTTGATGGCCAAGGTGGTACATCGGAGTCCCTGCAAAAGATGTACGACTCGGCTCCAAGGCTGTGCCCAACATGGCCCAAACGTTCGACTTGGCAAAGCTTCACGCCTAAACTGTCCTACTTAAAAGTTCACCTCACCCCCTGTGGATCACGAGCTTTTTGCTCCCATTCAAAGAGAAGAAAAAGAACCGACCGGTTCCGACCCCCCCAGATCGAGCCCTCGTCTCTTTGCTTGAAAAAAAAAAAGAAAAGAACTCCGCTCGGTCCAACGGTCAAACCGCACCGAGGTTGAAGAGGTCGTGGAGCTGCTCGTGGAGGTCTCAGTTCCGGCAAGTGGGACACGCACGGGCCCCATGTGGGAAAAATGGAACCAGTTATATAGGTCGACATGGCAACGGGGGTGGTTGGATAGGTATATCATGGTATACTATAGGTGATGGTAGGTGTGTTGGAGGTGTTTGTAACCAAAAAATGGCTGTCATATTTGTTATCTGCATTTTTTCCTTTACAATGCCTTCCCCTTTGGGCCTTCTATTTATAGATCGAAAGAACTAAAACATGCTGATTATGTTTTATTCATTCTCATGAATGTTACTTCCTCAAGAAATATCATTGTAAAATTCATAATTATTATCAAGGGCCACTTGGGTGGAATTTAAGAAGAAAGGGCATGAAAAGTCTTCAAAATGACGTTTCAAGGGTGGCGATTTTCAGGTTGGGACCCGACGGTCCTTCGGTGCAAGAGTGGACACGGAACGTGTCCTAACTGTACAGTATGTTGTTCGAAGAAAGGACACGCCTTTTGGAGGCGCTACTTCCTTGGAGGAGGGACATCATGTGTGGTAAGATTCCAATATTCCAGGGCTTCCACGTCCGAGTGGAGGTTGATTTCGGGTCTTAGCTTCAAGGGTTACATAAGCCACCTCCAAGTGAGTCTGCATTGGTCGCGGTTGCTGGTTGCAGGACACACCATGAGGGAACAAAACTTTGCTTCAAGAGGGAGTTGTTGCATCGTTGAATGGATACGACTTCTTGCTGCTGGTTGCCCCTGTCGTGAGAGACTACTACATCTATGGGGCCTCCCTCAGATTCTATGTTTCTGTTGATCATCGAGAGTGGTGGTATATGTTTCTTCCCGTATGTCTTCGAGAGCACAAGGCATGCAATTCAAAAGAGTGGTACCGAAAAAGAGCCGTAGTACAAAGATATCCTCGCTAGATATCCTCGCTGGCCGGCCCACTCTGCTCATGTTCTTGAAATCTGGTCGTTCTCAGACATCCTGAGATGAAGACCAGGTCTCAAACTTCCCGCGGATTATCTCCCAGACTTCGCCCAGAAGACTCTCCTAGGTTTTCCCACTCCCAGCCACTGGTTGTGTAAGGGATCTCCAGAAAGCCCTATTGGAACAACCAGACCTGATTCTGCCCAAGACGGGCTTTAGAACCATCCTTTCACCGCTTCCACCGGCCCCTTTGCACCGGCAGGCGGAAGAACTGCTTGTGGAGCTCGTGGACGTGCTGCTGGAAGACGTCGACTCGGAGAGGGCCACAGAGAGGGCCACAGAGGCTTTGCGACGGACATGCGAGAGGGCGACACGGGCGGGTGAAACCGCCCGCGCCGGGCTGCGGGTGGGTGCGTCACCCCCGTGTCACACGACCCGTCTCCTTCGCGCAGGTTTTTGAAGGGGTCCGCGGGCTCCCGCGGGTGCGCGGACCCGCGGGTTACCCAAAGAAACCTGCCAAGGCCTTCTTGTCGAGTCACTGGTATCACTCCGGTAGTCACTGGTACCCCCAGCCTTCCAAGACCAGAAAAGAAAGGGAACGACCTGGTTTTGATGTCCAAAATCCTTAGTAAAATGACCCAGCTATGAAATCACCCCAAAATGACTCTAGTCTACCAAGCTCGCCCCGTGGCTCTGGCGGTGCCTATTAATAGCTCCAGCAATGAAGTGATTGAGGGGTGTCCATTCCCCACCCCAAACAGGGGGCTCTGGTATAAGTCTGTGAGCCGAACCTTCCAGGGGGTTGAACTGGGAGGTCTCCCTATCTTGATACACATAATACCAGCACCATTCAACGAGTGTCTATAAATAGCCTCTTAGAGATTATATAAGGGGTGTCCAAAAACCACCTCTTGGAGGGTGCTGGCACACCTATTGATCCATCCTTCCCGCCCACCTCGATCTTTCGAATGATCGATCGACCTGGGAGCGAAACAGGGAGGCCCTCTCTCCTGCGAAAAAGGCTTGCAGAAACGAAAACTCCAAAGGCTGTCGTCCTTCTGAGACATGACCCAAAGCTGGACCTTCTCCTGCAATCTTCGCCCAAGTTGGGGACAGTCCGAGGAGATCCAGCAAAACGCAGGTTGAAAGAGTTCTCTTGTTGGCCAAACAAAGCAGCCTTTGTGTTTCGGAAAGGGCCGAAGGACGGCTTCCTCCCAAAACGCCACCCTCTCAGCTACTCGCCACCCTCCAGGCAGCCGTGGACTCTACGGTCGAAGTCGCTGAAGTACTGCTGCTCGTGGTGCTGCTTGTAGTGGAACTGCTGCTACTCGTACTGCTGCTACTGGTGCTGGTGCTGCTCGTGCTGGTCTCGGCCGATGCTCCCGATGACTCGCCGGAAGCCCCAACATCAATAGAGGACCGGTGACAGAGGACTCCTTATGATCAAACAAGAAGGGGATTCCTTCCAGGTGGGCGGTCGAACACCTCCCAAGGTGCGCCTCCCATCACTCATGAATTTTCAAGTCATCCTCTGTAGCAAGGCGAAGGATCCGGGCATCTGGACCTCTTGGAGCAACATAGAACTATATAATTCCTTCAACCTGACGTACCTCTTGGTGGTTCTTGGGCCTACCCGGTTCGACCAAATCCTTCGTGTCTCGTGGCGAGTGTCGCACGCCCCGTGGAGTCGCGAGCGGACAGAGCACCGCGCTGACAGACAGAATGAGCGCCCAAAATTAAATGGCCTACAATCAAAGAGAAGGATTCGACAAGTCTTCCTGTTGCCTGGGGGCTTCCCTGCAAACTGGTCGACCAATCGCTGACCAATCGAGCCAATCCCTCGACCTGTGATCGACGCATCGGCATGCCCAGCCACACTGGAAAAGGACGTGGTGGTGTCAGTCTTGGTGGTCTGTGAAGTCGTCGTAATGGTCACGGAAGACGTGGTGATCGTAGTCGTGGGCTGGCCGACACAGAACGAACGAACCGCACCGGCAGGGGACGGGGACGGGTCCTCCTCGCGTGGGTGAGGAGTCAGTGTGGACTCCTCAGACCAAAGGCATGTCACTGCACAAGGTGTCTTGTCTCAGGCATAAGCGAACCCTCCTAAAGTTCCGAGACATGCGACTCGGAAGTAGCGCGGAAGCGACGCCTGTCGGCAGATGATGGCGTAGGTGGTGCCATCGGGTACGAGGGCTGAGCAGGCAGTGTGGCGAACGGCGGTGAAAGAAAGATGCCCAGTCTGGGGCATGGCAACCTCCATGTCTAGAAGACCCCGTGCAGGGTGTGAACCGAAAGTTTACCTCCAAAGATGGATCATGGAGGCGCATTTCCTGGCAAGGCATCTTTGTCAAAGGGTCTTTTTGGAAATGGGCAGCATTCCGAAGTCACAAAAAATAAAGAACAGATGCTAGTAACGCACACCCTATCTGGGTTCCTACCCAGGTTACCAGGGTCACTCTTCATCCACCGACCGCGTTTTCCGCACTCTTCCGCTCCGAAACTCGCTCACTCGTCCGCGGTCGGCTGAGTCCGCTGCCTCCCACCACCAGGGAATTGTAGAAGATATCGCCACTAGCCACCTGACACCCCAGGGCCCGCTGGTACCCACAGGCAGCCCCCCAAAAAATCCGCCGACCCCGCCGTAGCAAGGGGGAGCGCGCCAGAGATTACGGGTAGCTGTTTGGGGTTTGGGGGACCTCTGGCGACAGTTCGGTTCCGGAAGCGAGACAAATGGAAACAAACATCTTTTTTGTAGGGATTCAGAGGCGGCGTTTGGCATCGAAAGTGCAACCAGAGGAGCGAGACAAATGGAAACAAACTTCTTTTTTGTAGGGATTCAGAGGCGGCGTTTGGCAGCGAAAGTGCAACCAGAGGAGGCTCGTTTTGGACCAGAATTAGATTGGGGAAAGCTGTGGCGGGGTCAGGTGTTCGGGGAGTTAGAAGCGGCGTTTGGTAGCGAGAGTACCCTCTAAATGAAGGTTGATGCTGGCGTGACCAGGTATTCGTGGCGGGCCAGGTGTTCGTGGCGGGCCAGGTGTTTGGAGTTTGGAGCTAGGATGAGCGAGACAATGAGCGAGACAAATGGAAACAAACTTCTTTTTTGTAGGGATTCAGAGGCGGCGTTTGGCATCGAAAGTGCAACCAGAGGAGGCTCGTTTTGGACCAGAATTAGATTGGGGAAAGCTGTGGCGGGGTCAGGTGTTCGGGGAGTTAGAAGCGGCGTTTGGTAGCGAGAGTACCCTCTAAATGAAGGTTGATGCTGGCGTGACCAGGTGTTCGTGGCGGGCCAGGTGTTCGTGGCGGGCTAGGTGTTTGGAGTTTGGAGCTAGGATGAGCGAGACAATGAGCGAGACAAATGGAAACAAACATCTTTTTTGTAGGGATTCAGAGGCGGCCAACAGGCTACACCTCCTCGCCGTAGGGTTCGGGCCAAGGGGTCCTAGAGATCTTCCTTGAACCTTTTGGTGCACCCATTTGCCCTTGGATCACTTAGCTCTTGTCAGGTGAGGAGTACTGTGAACAGTACAAACCTCCTCGATTTTGGAGTGTGATCGCTTGTGCTGGGTAGGTGGAGCCTATTACACGGAAGCGATTCTACGGGGTATGTCTGGGCATGAAAGGTGACAGCCCTGCCTTGGCAAAAATTGGCCGACTTACAAGAACTTTCCAGAATCTTGGGAGCCCGGCAGGTATGTGCCCCTATTGCTTGGGGGGAACGCCTGATCATCCTTGGGAAGATGTTTCACCAAATGCAGCCTGGAGGCGAACACTTTTCAAATTGGAGCCATGGCGTCATGACGCGCTGTCGTCATTGCGAGCTGTCTGCTGTGATCAAATGAGAGCTGCCAACTTTTACAAGGGCGACCCATTCCATATCTGGAAATATGGAATTGGTAGACACTTTGTGGGTTCATGCCTCGTTACTTTGGCTCAATGGGGATTCTGGCCAGGCCGTGAACAAGGCTTTGACGATCTGATGCACCGTGCCTATGCTGACTTCAAGTGGTCCTGCAAACATGAAATGCGAGCGACCCCGCACCTTAAAAGCTTTACTCGTCAACTTCTACACTTTGCAAACAATGCTGCATTCCCGTGGTTTGGTTGCAAGGGTGGGGACACTATGCTACTTGCGCGTTGGCTTCTTCGAGTTCTTAGGCATGGTGTGAAACTAGTTTTCGGTACTCTGCAGCAGTGGCCGGGGTCGGCGGCAGGGGCGGCAGCCCTTAAATCCGGGCGCCGGCCAGGACGCCCGTGGCATGCCCGGAGGGCCTTCGGTGGTAACCGAAGGTTATAGACGGTCGCGCCGGCTGCCGCCGACCCTCGGTCCCAAAACGGGCGGACCCCGTCGTCACTACCGGGTCACTGATATCAACGTAATTTACAGGATTTTGTGCGCGTGATGTTCAAAAACCTCGCGTTTTACAGGGTTCGGGGCCCCTCGGCGGCCGAGAATTTCACCTTGGCGATGTTAAAAAACGTAGGTTTTTCCAGTGTTTTTGCTTTGCGGGAAGGATAAATCGGAAAAAGTTGTGTCGCAAGACTTTTTCCACATAAATTGCCTAACATATCCCCAACATAGGCCCAAGATAGCCAACATATCCCCAACATATGCCCAACATAGCCTCCAAGATGTCTCAACATAGGGCCAACAGAGGCCAACATGGGGCCAACATAGGCCCAACATAGGCCTAACATAGGCCAACATAGGCCCAACATAGGCTCAACATGGGCCCAAGATGTGCTCAACACAGACCACAGGGGCCCAACTTGTCCCAACCAAGGGCCAAGATGCTGGGGTTTTAGTTGCAACGGCTCTCCCGACTTTCGGCTTCTGCACAGAGAAGCCAGGGCAGTCAGCCTCCTCCAAATTGGAGGATGCTACTGGGATGCCCCATGTCCCTCGGACGGGTGCTGCCGGGGTGCCCCAAGCCCCGGCCCCCGTCTTCTCCATGGAAGACTCCGCGGAAACCTGGCGGGTCCCTTCCCGACACCACACCTCGCCCGCGCCTACCGTCACCTCGACCCACCCCTCTCTTACCCTACTTGGCCGGCGCCCGGCTGTCAGGCGTAAGCCTTTAAATAAAATCGTAAAATGGGGGTTCTGGGAGTTCTGGTTCATCAATCACCTCGTTGAATTGTCTTGGCTCTTGAAAATTTGTGTTGAGCCTTTTTCGTTTTTTCTGGGGTCTTGTTATGCGTGTTTTAGGGTCATAACTTTCACTATCATTGCTATAATTCAACGAAGTGGATGATTGTTTAGGCCGCCGTGTTTTGTTTTGTGGTTGTTTTTTGGGGTTTGGGATTTATATTCCCATAATGCCAGTTTCATCATCCTCTCCATTTCTTATAATTTTTGGCTGTCCTTTTACCCACGCGTGTCTAGATACTATGTAACCACATAAACAGTCAGAGTGACACCGTATGGGTTTGCTTGTGGGGTCTCTTTGCCACCGATGCTCCCCGATACAGTGCCACCCCGACTGAAAAAGATTTACTCCAACCATCTCGTTTATATATATATACGTATAAAATCAAACTAAAACGATTTAAAAAAATCTTGGGTAGGTAGTGAGTGTGGGGGGTCGCGTTTGGAAATCCGCTTCCCCACCATCACTCACTCCTCCCTTCTTCTCTTCTTCGTCCTTTTTGTTTGAATAAATAGAAAAGAAAAAACGCAACGCCGACGCCCACGCATCCCCCGACCCCCCTGAAGTGGATGAAGACCTCCCTTCTGACCAAGCAGGACGAACGATAGAACAATAGATAGATAGAGAGATAGATGTATATAGGTCAATCCAATCTACGATATATTTAGTGAATTTAGTGGAGGTGTTTGCCAAATGTCAGGCTTTGAGAGGTTGCTTGGATAAGCCACTTCTTCCACTGTTCAAGTGTCAAACTCTGGAGTTTCTTAGGGTAAGCCACTCTCTCCCAGTTCTGGTTTATATAGAAGTCAAACTCTGAAGTTTCCCGTCTCTCGATACTTGGTTCTAGGTATCATTGATACTTGGATACTGGTATCGGGGTATCATTGATACTTGGTTCTGGGTATCATTGATACTTGGATACTGGTATCGGGGTATCATTGATACTTGGTTCTGGGTATCGTTGATACTTGGATACTGGTATCGGGTATCATTGATACTTGGTTCTGGGTATCATTGATACTTGGATACTGGTATCGGGGTATCATTGATACTTGGTTCTGGGTATCATTGATACTTGGATACTGGTATCGGGGTGTCATTGATACTTGGTTCTGGGTATCATTGATACTTGGATACTGGTATCGGGGTATCATTGATACTTGGTTCTGGGTATCATTGATACTTGGATACTGGTATCGGGGTATCATTGATACTTGGTTCTGGGTATCGTTGATACTTGGATTCTGGTATCGGGGTATCATTGATGCTTGGTTCTGGGTATCGTTGATACTTGGATTTTTGTTTCGTTGATACTAGGTTGTGGGTATCGTTGATACTTGGATATTTGTATCTGGGTATCATTGATACTAGGTTGTGGGTATCGTTGATAGTTAGATACTGGTATCTGGGTATCATTGATACTAGGGTTGGGTATCTGCGGTTTTGCATGCAATGTGTGAAAATTGCTCTTGGATGACCCACCCACAAAACAGGCGCCACAGTTCTTTGCACTGGCGAAGCTCACATGTATCCTGCATCCCTCAACTCCGGCTCATCCTCTTGAAAGAGCTTGGCGACGAAATGCCAATGCTTCAAAGCCACACTTAAATTGGTTGTACTCCTCAGGACGCAGTCTGCGGGCTCCTCACAAAGAAGCTTCAACGTCATGTTGGTCTCCTCACTGCTCTCTGGGAGATGCCCCATGGGTCCTGCCTCTGCCACCTTGGGGAGATTGTCCTTCACTTCCGGGTCATCCAATTTCTTCTCAATTGGTTTCACTCTCCGCTCGTACCACTGCTCAACCTGCTTGATGACCGCATCAGTGCCTCTCTGACGTGCCCTGGAGACGTTTTCCAGTATCAAATCCAAGTCGCGGAAGTTGCCCCCCTGTGCGGATGTAGTAGTGCTTCAACACCTCCTCGATGTCCTCGTCGGCAAGAACCTTGTTCAGCGTCTGGAAGTCGTTTCCGTGCTTTGCCACCTCATTGACAACAGATACGAAGTCTTCGAAAGGCAGCGGTCGCACCACCACCAGCCTTGACATGTTAAACCGTTCTATGATGATGTCCACAACCGCAGACACGCTGACCTCCACAATGAACTTGCACGCGGCATTGTCGTAGGTGATGTTGCGAGCGAAGGCACCGAGGGTGGAAGCAATGTCATCACAGGCATCCCTACTAAATTTGTCTCCCCGGCTTTTGGTTGTGAGTTGCAGGTACACCACGACAGCACTGCCTGTTCGACGTCTCATTCACCTTTTCCAACAAAAATTTGACACTTGACGGGTAATATCGGGGCAAATATATGGCTTGTAGGGCTCGGGCAGCACCTCGTTGAGCTTCAAGTCCCTCACCAGGACGAACAGAAATATCAAGAGGAAGCACCCTTTTGCCATTCTTCACATGCTCACACATGAGATTGCTCAGCATGGTTGATTTCCCAATGCCTTGGGAACCACTGACCACCAAGAATGAAGGTGTGTTCAAATCTTTACGTTGAGGTGAGTTGATGAAGTCCTTGATGTATTCCTCCTCGAGCGGCCGTGCAGGGGCGGGCTCTGTCCTATCCAGCCTTTGCCCAGCCTTCCTCACTGCCCTGTTCATGAAAGAAGCCAGGAAGGAACCTTTGAATGAGAGCTTGAAGAACCAGCACTACGACGCCCCCTGTGCTCAAGAAAGTCCAACCAGTTTTAGCGGTCTGCGCCGGAAAAGCCCTTGCAGGCTGCGTTCGTGCATGACCGCTTGGAAGGACGAACCGCCCAAGCTGAACCTGCCTCACAAAGATGCATCTGCGGAATGTCAAAGAAAAAAGGACAATACATCGTTTCAGTCAATTTGTACCAAACTGGCTTTGGATTGAAGGATGCTTGATATGCAAAACCAAACAGGAACCACAGCGCCTACAGTAACCTCAATCAATACATGAATTTGAAGCAAATAATTCGACATCTTTGAAGAACAGCTTGGTAGAATTTGACCCTGAACCTACACATAGAAACTCTGACCACCTCAACAATTATCCCCTTCATTCAATCCAAACAATGAAGTGAAAGTTATGACCCTAAAACACGCATAACAAGACCCCAGAAAAACGACAAAGGCTCAACAAAAATGTTCAAGAGCCAAGAAAATTCAACGAGGTGATTGATGAACCAGAACTCCCCAGAACCCCCATTTTACCATTTTGGTTCCCCCTGTGCCCACATCCATGGCACCTACTACGTGCCCACATCGCCGACCTGACCTTCGTTTGCGGCCAGAAGCGAAGAATGCGGCCGCACGAGATTCTTGGACCGAAGTCGAAAGCAAAGAAAAACCACAGGGGTCTATCATATCCAACACTTGAAGAAAGAGACTATAAGAAACCTAATAGCGATGGCCTCCAACCTATTAGCGATGGCCTCCAACCTGTGTTATGGAATGCGGACAGCTGAGCCTTTTTGGAGGAAACACTTTGGAAAGACCCTTGGGTTCGGAATGTTTCCGTTCAGGGTCAGCTGTCAAACCATTTGATCCTCGACCGGACGTCCGGCGTCGTAGCTGCACACCCAGTGGCACCTCGTAGCTGCAGCCGCTGGGATACGCCGCAGAGCTCAGCGCAGTGTTCCTGGGAGGATGGGATTGTGAGAGCCAAGAAGGGCAAAGAAGGCTATAGCAGGTACGAAGGAACCAAGACCGGGGGGTTCACTTGTCTGCCCCAATGGGCGGGGAGGGATCCTGATTCTAAAAGCAGTTCAGCTTGGACGTTGGGCCTTCATTGAATGAGCGAAAAAGAGACATATGTAATTATGTAATGCTCCGTATCCAGATCTCAGCTCCCCCCCCATTTCAGGTCCATTCCTGCTGAGGCCATCGGCTTCCATCAGAGCCGATGGGTAGGGATGGCAACAAAGTGCCAAAGGTTTGGGGACAAATCCACCGCTGCACCCTCACACCCAAGATGAAAAGGAACAAAAGCCCTCCTGTGTCTTCTCACAGAATCTCTGATCTTATGATGCCCAAAAGACAGGTGTCGGTTCCGCCATGTCTTTTGGGGACCCTGGGGAGACCAAGGTCCATCCCACGGACCGGTCACCACGGACCGAGGTGCCAGGTCCCTTGTCCCTCCGTGGCGGCCGTTTGGCAGTCGGCCGAGGAGGTGATGTCCTTGGGACAAGGAGTTGGCAGACGCCCCAAAAGAGGGAGAAGAGGCTCCAGTTTGGAGAGGTGTTTTTTGAGACCTGACCAGGAACCCTTTCTTTTGGTGGTACATGGGATGGACGAAGAAGAGCTGCTCAACCTCTCTAGGTTCTGGAAGCATGTCATGTCGTCCTGCAGTCCGCGAGAAGCACGAACGGATGAACGGAAAAAGGTCCGTTGGTAAAACATTGGAAAAACCGATGTTCACCTCGGGTCGGAGCGCAGATTGATTGTCCCATAGCCTCGCCCAACCAAATTGCTTGTGCCCCTGCATTCTACTCAGGCTCCAACCATCTTCTTTGTTTGAGAGAGTTGACCCTTAGACAAACGCCTGTCCCCTCAACTCACTCAGTTCGCATCAATGGTCTTAACCCCCCCAGCTGGAATTCAAGGGCCTGGAGAGGCTGGGACTACAGGGGGGCTACTTGCGGCTGTGACCGATACGCCTCAACCTTGGAGTTTTTTAAGCCTGCCGCCATGCACTGAAGGATGAGACTTGATAGGGACCATGTGGCCAAGTTGGAGCAACAACAAGCAGCTCCAAAAGGGGTGCCTCTTGCCACACACCTGTGGGTCTAAGATCCACCCCTTTCGAACTCCTTACTGAGAAAATCAAGAGAATTGGGGTTCCAAATGACAAACAAGAAATCTATACCAGGACCTTCCCGGAGGTTTCTATAGATAGCTTTAAAGATAGCTTTAAACACCTCTTAGATGTTCAGGGGTGTCCAAATAACCACCTGTTGGAAGGTCCTGGTAGACAGTATGCACTGTACACTCAAATCCTCCTCCTCCTGAGAACGACTCCTGTCATTGCTAGCTCCTCTTCACTCCAAGCTTCATTGAAACCTGCCGAGCACGTCGATCCACCACCTGTCAGCTTCTCATAGAGGTAATCCTGCGCAACAGCCTGCGAGTTCGCAAGCGAAAGGATGAACAATAGCCGCAACGATCGATCTCAAAAAAAGCGGACCTTCCTCACACCACTTCGCCACACACCACTGCGCCAGCCGATTTCGCGCATCTCCGTGGGCCTGCAGTACTGCACTCCAGAAGAGCAGCAGCTGCATGGGTGTTTTACCTCTCCTGGAGACAGAACACACTCAGCTCCTAGTCGGAAGCTCGGCATTCAGGACTCTCCTCAGAATTCGAAGCGAATTCGGGGGGGGCTCCGCAGCTCCTCCATGTGGAACAGAAGCTCGGACGTCATGTGTTCGCCGTCCGAACTACCAAGCCGCAAGGCACTCCGTGGGCAGCTGCGTTGGTCACTTCTGCCCTCTTCCAGGAGTAGCCCTCCTTTGTGGCCCTGCACTGCTTGTCATGTAAAGAAGAGCAAACTTTGGACCAAAACCGGACAAGATCATGGATTGAAGGAATCTTTGCTTGCATCTTCTTGGCTCGTACAGTAGCTATTTCCACGTGGCGGAAACTCTATGGAGTCTGGCCTATCACTCACTCTCGTCTCCTTGCAATCTCGCTTCGGTTAATCTCTCGGGCCGAAGGCCGGCGGGTTCGACTCGCAGCCGGGCCGTCCCAGCAGGGACCGCGGCGGGCTCCGCAGCTGAAACACCGGAGGCATCGGTCGCCGTACCCCGACCCCGACCCTGAAGTCTCAAATCCTCTGGAGGGGTCCCATAGAGTCTCAAGTCCTTAGGTTTTCAAAGACCAAGGGCTGTGAGCGGATCCTCTGGGTAGACAACAAAGAAATATCTTTTCCGAAATCTTTCGGAGTGCGCTCACCCACCCCAAGAATCGTTGATTTGTTTCATGTGAACAGCACAACCCACAGGGGTTACCACTCCCAAGTTGACCAGATTTCAGGCATTGAAACGGAAACGACTCCCGAGTCGCCCATGGCCCCCCTCCCTCGGACCCAACCAGGGCCAACGGAGCGCGGGAATCGGACCCGTCGAACGGCAACACCCGGCGGGGCGTCGACCAAGACCTGCGGAGTTCTCAGAGGTACCTGAGGAGCGCGTTCGGATCGGCCTGAAGTGGTGCCTACAAAAGGGTACCGATGGGTACCGGGTAGCCGTGAAGTGGTGCCTACAAGAGGCTGTAGCAACAGATGGCCGTCGACCAAAGCTTTCAGAGTTCCCAAGTTGCTGTTAGCCTGACCCCGTGCACAGCTGACGCAGATTTCAAGTTCTAGAGGCTGATTTGGGCAAGCACACTTGCAGCTTTAGCCTGATTCCTGTGATGTCAGAAGTGTTTGAACATGTTTGAACTGAATGCAAACCCTTCAGTCAGCCATTCCTGTTGGGGATGCAAAAGTCCCTGCTTGAAGTAAAACTGCAATCAATCACTTGGGGCTTCAGAATCTTGCGTCATCACCGATGGCTTCAGCAGTGTACCCCTCCTCTCACTCTGGGTGCCCCCGCAAACCACGCAGCTGCGCTCGGGAACCTCGTCATCCTTCCAAACCTGCGAAGAGTCTTCGCAGGTGTCCAAATCGGATGGAACTCATAACTGTCCATTCGAGATCAACAGGAGCAGAGGCCAAGTTGGATTTGTGGTCTAAAAGGCAATCCGGATGGTTGGTGTCCCTTCTCTGTGACCTTTCAATTTCATCTTCCATGACACTAGAATCTATAGAACTTAGAGGAGATCGTCCTCTCCAGTCTTTTTGGGGCTTTCAGCTGGTGCAATTGTGTTTGAAGGCATAACTCCTTGTGGGCTCCGTCGTCTTGCCAAACTGTCTGTCTGCCTCGAAGGACAACATCACCACCGGCTCAAAGCATCCATGGCGCGTCGACCACAGCCCGGTCGTCCACTCGCCATGCGCCCGCACTGTGACGGAGAGGGACGTAAACCCATCCCGGGATGGTGGGCTCATCCAGCTGGGGAGGTGGGGGGGAAAGGGGTCTGTTTGGATCGAATTTGAAGGTGCTTTATGAAGCCTGGCCCATGTGGGCATCCTAGGACTCCGACCACAGGACCGGTGTGGACGTGTGAAAGGGACCTCTTGGAAGTTGTGGAGCTGGTGGGCATGGCAGGGGTTCTGGAGGTTGTGAGAGATCAACTCATTGAATCTGAAAAAGTCCCGTTCTTGCGCAGTATGTGGCTGGTCCTATATCCTTTTGACACTCCGCATCAACTGCCGGTGCTACGATCTGACCACTGCCGAAAGGAGGACTGCGACGGGAGAGGCCAGGTGCATAGGTTGCTGATGCCAAGCGTGTTTCCAACATCTCTGTTTTCCCTCTACGACTTGGAGACCCTCTACGACTGATATCTATGGGATAGGCCAAAAAGGGCTATAGCTTCCTCCTGAGACGCGACCCCACGGCCCTGTGGTTCTGTTGGCGAAACCACCACTCTTTGAGGCCAAACCACCGACATCGACACCGACATCTGCCGCTGTTCTTTCTCGAGTTCCTTCGGTCGCACGCCTGCCACGAGGCCAGTGGTCCGAACGGATCCGTTGTGACGAAACCTCCTTCAGGCCGAAAAGAGTCCTGGAAATGGACCAATGTCATGTCGACCAGTTCTTCTGTCAACACGCCAAAAAAAAATAAACATATATCACACCCCAAAATCCTGAGCGAGAATCAAGCAAGACATTGCCCTTTTTGCGTTTCAGCTTTGTCCAAAACCCACTGAATTCAAGCTGTTACTTTAACTGCAACCTGCTGCCAAAATAAGTTGGATGCGACTCGATGCAAGTCATTCACCCGTTAGAACTTGAGCCCGCAAGAGTTAACTCGGTGCAAGTCTGCTTGCCTGTGGCTGAAAACACAACTCGGGACGGCGTGCAACTTATGTCTCCATGTCCTGGAGTTGAACCCGGTCGACAAATTGTCCAGTTGGATTGCTGCCAAAGTATGAACATAACATGATAATACAGCATCACTAGATTGGATACTGAGTTGTTTTTGGTATGTCACCGCTGCGCTCTCAATTACATGCTTTGGAATAGCCCCTGGGGGCCCCTGGACAGACTCCTGCAATTTAAAGATAACGTTTAGAGGGCTTGCACGGGGCATCTCGCTTGTGCGACCACCTTCCAGCCTCTCTGCTCTTCCTCAGAACTGCGATCAGCAAGAGAAGCTCCTGTGCACAGCAACACCCGCTCGCTCTGGCGGCCACGTGCTCGTCATTTCGCCTTTAGAATCTTCATCAAGCTCACAATAAAAACATGTCTTCAAAGAATATCAATAGCAGCAAAAGGAATGAAAAGGGTCTTCACCTCCGTCGCCACATCCATCGCACACCTTTCGGACATGTCCACCGGTCGTGTTCTGCCGTCTTCACCCCCGTCTCCTCAGGCATGTCGGGGGCGTTTCTTCACACGCCCCGTGACCAGGCCACCCTGGCGGAAAGAGGCGCGGACCGCGCGAGGCGGCCCCCCCCAGGTCCGAAGAGTCTCTCAGAGGTGGCTCCCTTTTGAGCAGAGCGTAGGGCCAAGTACAAGGAGCCCTGACCCCTCCATGTTGAAAGTCCATGGATCATGGACAAAGGGGATGTAGTTTCCATGTTGCTCCATGTAGTTTCCATCTAGTTTCTGGGAACCTCCAACTGAATAGCTTCCAAAAAGGACCTCAAGTCCTCCAAAACTTGCAGTACTCTCCATCCAAGCGCTTTGTACTAAGGCGTGAAGAGGAACAACCGCACCACCGGCACATGGGACATACAAACAGCTCCAGCCAGTGATTTGATCCCTGCTGCAGCGTGCTTTCTTGGCTCAGCCAGGACCGGCATGCCCGGCATGTCCACCGCACGTGCCACCGGTCGCGCGTGCCACGGGACCCGGTCCAAGCCCTGGAAATGGATGACGAACCAACCACGTGGAGCTGAACATAGAACAGGAAACACCGAAAACACTGGGTACTGCCAAACAAGTCTGGCCCAAATACGCATAGTTAAGACTTATAGACTTATAGAGCTGATCCCAGTTCCATCTCTTCAAAGCCCCTTTGGTACGCACCCTTCCGTAGAAACCAAGAAAACCAGTGAGATGAGTGATGAAGAACAAGAAGGTTACCTATGTTCTCACTGACCTCTGCGAGATCTTCAGAGAGCTCGGCTTTGAGACTGTACACCGAGCTGCTTGTCGACGGCTAAAAGAAACCCGCCTCGTCTTCACCTGCAGAGGTGAGAGCTGCGCCCAGCCGTAGAAGCTGGGCGGAACGTTTGGAGGAGCGCCTTCAGCAGGGCTACCCCAAGGGAATTAGAGGTTAAGGTCTTTTAGTAACCACCCCTGTGGGTCGTGGTAGATTGGTCCAACGTTCCTTTTTCGCCGCGCTGCAGGTGGAACAACCCCCCTGAGGTTCGATTTGACACGACCAGTACCACCATGCTAGGACAACTCTGGCGGCGTCGGACGAGCAAAAAGAAATATGTTCAAAAAAAAAGTAGACGTCAGATCTGACTAAGCTATCCTCCTGCAAAGCTGCAAAGACAATTGTTATATATTGTAAGTCAAGGAAGTGAATCTGGATCTAGACTTTCAACAAATATAGAACAACCCTCCAAGTACAGTAATAGAAGTGAAGATGCCACCAATTCACCGACCCCTTCTTTGACGAAGCCCTTTCATTTTGTGGTCATCACTCATCCAGGAATCTCAAAAACCCATCTATTGTGACAGCAAACGTACCCTCCTTCCATGATCTTGCATGATCTTGCATGTACCTCTAAAAGGACGCTACTAGGATCTCCTGGCATCGCTACTAGGAGCAAGGAAGCTACGTTCGGGGCTCGCTACGTTCGGGGCTCCTCACCGAGCTCCTTCGCCCCTGAGCCGCCCTCACCATCTCCACTCCATCGGATCATCTCTCCAGACGCTGCCTAGGTGCTTTTCGGTTTGGAGACTAAGACAAACCCGCCGACTGCGTTCGTTTCATCTCAGGGGCGACGTTCCAAAAAAGGGACCGGCGTTCACGAGGTTTCATCTCCACTTACATCAAGCCGTGCAAAGGATTTCCTCGTAACGTGGTAAATGACTTCTGGCTTTGGTGAACCTTTGAAAATAAGTCCTAGTTTTGGCCTGTCGAGGATGTTCACCTGTGCATCGAATCTCTCGAGAATAGCTTCCCTCGATCCTTCACTCCCCTCGACCATTGGAAGACTGAGAATCTCTAGGACTTTCTGCCCATGGAGGGATTTTGGGGCTTGGGACGCGGACTGAGCTCCAACCTGGTAGATCTACCAAACACGATGCTTTTTCTAGCCTTGAACACACGATCCTTCCCTCACTTCCATGCTGTTGGGGACCCCAGCACGTCCCAGGCATGGCGCGTAAACATAGCGCCGGGAACCGTCCTGGCAACCGAGCCAGACCGAGCCAGGCAGCTCTACGAAACGGAGCAAGAACGCTACGAACGGGGCTCCTGGCATCGCTCTTAGCGGCTCCTGGCCGTACTACCGAAGGACTCTCCGAAAAGGGGCTGTTCCGAGAGCAAGTGCTCTCGCGACCTCCCAGCAAGCACCAGCCACCTTCGCCCTCACCAGCCTTCATCCCCTCCCCTCTCCGTAAGATGTCCTGCGCAGGCACGGCTAAAGCCTCCACGCCGGGCATGCTGTCACACCGCGGGGGGTCATCGGCGGAGGGCGATCGCCGAAATGGAAAAAAGGAACAGGGTCGTTCGAAACTGGGCACTGGAAGGACTCTCTTGGACGAGGTGATTCTTCTGCCCACTGTTGCTATTTCAATCCTCAGAATGGATTTACATCTCCATATGCGGGGGTGATTCATCAACTGTCAACATAACAAGACCAGGTGTGGGGTGGCCCATCAGTGTTTTTTTTCCTGGGAAGCCTTGCAAGCAAAGGACATCTCTTAGTCTTTGGAGACTTTTGGAGCGGAACCTTCCAAGGGTGCTCTCCATCCATGACCATGAGACGCTCCGCACGTCCCAACACATCCAAGCCCCAAATAAAGAGAGCCTAGAGAGCTCTCAGAGCATCGTACATCCGACAAGGATCCTCCAAACATGGAGGCCTTACAAAAAACACACAATGTGTGGGATCCAAGTACCTTCCCATCATCGCTATTTGGGTTGGAGTCGGAGGCAATCTGCAAAACTCGTCTTCACAGGGCTGCCAAACCTCCACCCTCTGTGGAACTGGGGCCCGTCACCAGTAGCGCATCTCTGAGCTGCGCTAATGTGCACCCGCCCGCGGGCCTCGATGGGACTCGCCCGAAGGAACAGCCCTGCAAATCGCTGTTGACAGTCGATCTCTGATTCAAATTTTGAACTTGAAAAAGACATCAAACATGACATGACCAAATCTCAGGTGTTGTCCAACCTGCCCATTTTTCCACATGCTTAAACGACCCTAAAAATGGAGCAGACGCTTCTGTCTGCTGGCCCAGTCTGGGCATCCCTGCAGGCGCTCGAAGATCTCCCGGCCGGTGAGGCCAGTCTTCTCGGCCTGGAAAAGGGGTGGAGGCCCCACCGAGTCTACTCCGCAGAGAACCCAAAACCACTGGGGTTGTAGAAACTGGTCGAAACTACTCTTTCTTCTCAGGTTCCATGTGGTCCGTTTGCGGGAGAGTAGAAATCAGATGAAATCAGAACCTTCATTTCGGGGTGCAAAAAAAATGGAGATCCACAAGTAGTGCAGAGTAGTCCGGTGGGCACCCCTTGAAGGCTTTTCCAAGCCTCCCGAACCGCATCTCATTGAAGTCGCTAGGATCACGCCCCCCCCAGAATAAAGAAGACAACACCAACAACAACTCCGCGCCGCTCTCAAGGCATTTTCCACCAAGCTCAGGACCTGGACACGCTCGGAGCGTGGCGGGCAACGGAGGGGAACGGAGGGGGGCAGGACTTCAGCAGAGCGGTTTTGGGGGAATGGTGTTTATGGGCCATGTTCTTCGCGTTTTTATATGACTTTATGACCTCTGATGGCAAAGCAGATGCCCAAACTCTTGGTATTTTCAACTCTTGGGACGGTGTTGTCCCACACAGCTGTGGGATGTCCAGACCAATCCATCGACGTGTTGCATGTGAACCACTCTTTGCTGGCGTCATCTGCTGTGAACTGCCACTGAATGTTCTGAGATGCTACGCAGCGACGCTTAGATGGATCAGCACAACACACTTGTACGTTCGTCAAACTCTAGGAAACAAAATCAACCACGGTTGAATCCGGGTTGAACTTTGCCCCTTGGTTTCGAAGACAAACCATGAAATATGAAACCTGAGCCATGGTCTTGGGGAACAGGCGGTCATGCTTTCCGAACCGAGCCCGCTGAATGCGCAACAGTAGAAACCTCCAACATGACGAAGAACCACTGGCCACCCTGGCCGCTTTGGCCGTCTGCACGGACCCTTCTTTTTGTGCGCAAGCCTCCATGGAGTGGGCACACAAAAGTGTGATTGCAGATCAGATCGGCCATTCTCGTCCCTTCCTCCTGTGCGCCCCCTTCCCGGTTCAGCGCCTCCTCGAAGGACGTCTGCTTGGCTGAAGCGGTGCCCGTCGTCGTCTTTGGCGCCTCGGGTTTTGGGCGGCCGTCTTCGCAGTCGTGGCAGTGATGAAGTGGGGGGACATCGGTGCCGCTTCAAATTGAGACTCGTGAAGCTTGAACCTTGGAGGGCCAAAAGAGAAGCTTTCACGGGACCTCTGGCCCAAGCATCGAACCAACTAGAGTCTAGAGAACTGTGTGTATGTCCACAAAGTGCTGCGCCTGCCACTAAAGCTGCAGTTCGGGGTTCACAAAGTGCTGCGCCTGCCATGAAATCTGAACTTGGCCGTCCACAATGCACTGCGCCTGCTGCGAAATCTGCACATCATGATTCACATCGTGCTGCCAGCGCGCTTCGCAACAAAAGCACTTCCAAAGGCAAGTTTGAGATCTAAACTGAAGCTGTCACGTGATACCTCCCAACTTCCGAAAACAAGCCACATGTCCGTTCCCAATTCACTGCAACGGCCACAAAATGTGCACATCTTTCGGACCAAACACGAGGATTCCCAGGCTCGCCTGCCACGAAACGAAACCACCAAGTCCGAACATGTGCACCCGCTCAGGACCACAGGACCACCAGGCACTGCGCTTGCGCCTGCGCAGTCAAAGGGTCATCAAATTACCCGCGTAAGAACCCCAAGTGTGACCACACTAGAGAAAAACGACCTCTCCCTGTCACCAAGGTGCACTGCTTCGCGTCGTGACGCGATGCCCATCGTTGGGCTGAATGATCCTCAGCCGTTTCGCAAACCCAGAACTTCCGTTTGGACTCACTTGGGCGTTTGGACTCAAGAAAAGGGAGACCCCCGGACAGGACAACCCTGAAAGGTCCGGAAAAGGTCCCAAAAATTGGACCATCGAAGGCCATCAAATGCCAGTCTCCCAGATTGAAACATACACACCCATTTGGTTCCCGGTCGTCCGGAGCCAAGTACTTGTTCGGAGGTCCGCGTCCAAGGCTCGCGTTCTTGGACTGGCCGATCCCCAGGAAAGGCAGGGAAGCATAGACTTTGCTTCAAAACGTATAGGAGAATGTTGAAAACTTGGGGTTGTTCCATATTCCCATCCATAAATGCCAGAGATCTGGGGGGCTCAACACCTCCTAAGCCCAAGATACATAACTTAACCTGCAACTGGATGAATTGGCTCACGTTGTCAAGTCCTGAATTTTGTTCTCCGCTCCTTACCTCGGCCGGTGCTCGGGCTCCCTGGCTCTTCTTCGTGTCTACTCCGGCTGCCGGACGCCAACGCATTGTCCTCGCCGCTCGGACCCGCTCGGACCCGCTCGGACCGCTCGGCGATCCGAAGGACACGAGGGAAGCACCGCCACGCAGCTTGAAGAACCGGAGAAGACTTGAAATCAGCCACGCCTGGGGGGTTCAGACGTCGTGCCACAAAGACTTCCCCCCAAGATTCTGCGGCTTGAAAGTCAAAGACCTGATACAGCCAAATCCCCCTTACTCACCAAGACTAGATTGCTCGGGGCTCCCGAAACGGCGGCGTGGAAGGACCCGATTTCGGGCGGGCCCTTCTCACGCCAAAGTGATCCGGGGACCAGGGTACCCCAAGTCTCCAAAACCCTAGCGCTCCAACTACCTCCTGAGAAGCTGGTTGGGGTGGATTGCCGTGGTCTAACCACCTCCTGAGGAGGCGGTTGGGGGAAAGAAAAAGTCGCAGCCGGCAGCCTTGGCGTTTTTCCGGGAAGTCCAGTCGACTTGGAGACCCGAAGTTCAGACTAGCCTTAGGATTCATGGCCCATGAATTTCATAGCTTGAATCCGGAAGAACCATTGTATTTTACACTAACACCAGGTCAACCTGGTCAACCTTTCTTTGAAATGGTACAGAAGGCCAACAGCATTCGGGTCTCACCAGATCCCTCTTCCTTTCTTCCACCCTCTTCAGCTCCCCCCAGCACCCGCTTCGGTGACAACCTTTCGACCCTTCAAAAACTTCTGTGAAAACGTCTCGTTTGGGTCGAGCATCCTGAGAAAATCAGCTTCAAGTTTGTCAAGAGACTCCCTGAAAAGGAAGAGCATTTTTACGTGGATGGCATGTCCCCGGAAGAACCATTTTCCCACGATGCAGGAGCGGTTTTTTTCGGCGCGTTGAGTCGGCGGCGGCTGGGGGTGGCAGGCCGACCGCCACCTCCCCCCACCGCACCTGGCTCCTTTGTTGCAAGAGGCTCCGATACCCTGAGTCCTTGGGGCAACCGAGCGGAGTCCATCGACCCGAGCGAGGTGGCGGTCACCGAGCAGTCGTGTTTGGCGGTCAATCTTCAGATGTGCCCTGAAGTCGTTTTGGAAAAAAGAAACAAAGAGCAATCAGACATGAATCTGCATGAATTGAAGAAGTAAAGCCACGTGTCACTCACGCCCTTCCCCATCTGGCGAAGTTTGGCTTCAAAAAAGCTGTTCGACCTGGTTCAACCAGTTTCAACTCGTCCAGAGACCTTCAGTTTCCCAAAAACTCTAGGAACCAAATCATTAGTGCAAGCACTTCTTCAACGAAGCTTCCCCCACCGCCCTAAGGGGGAGCTTTCTTGAAGAAGCGTGAAGTGAACTCTCCTGCGTCCAGTTACTAGTAGCTTCCTAGCTACTACTAGCTACCTCTAGCTACGAGTACTACCCACCTACCTCTACTCGCAGCCTCCCCCTCCTTCTATGCGAACCTGCGCCGTTCCGCGTCGAGACAACGTTTGGGCCTTGAGGTCCGGGATCACGTTGAGAGCCTCGACAATCGGCCCCTCAATGGGCACCTGCACAAAGGAAATGGCGCCCAGCGGGGTGATTTTATAAGACGAGAACCAGGAGTGCGAAGCTCAAAACGTGGCTGTGGGGAATCGGGCCATTTGTTGAGCTGCCGGTTTTTCATCTATTCTTTTTCATGTTCGGTGGGAAAGAAAAAAGGGTGTTCCCGGTTCCATGACCCAGGGTGTCCATATCAGAAGCTCTCCATAGGTGCTCACTCAAGCTACCTACATGCGACCTATTTTTCAGCCTGACAAGCATCAGAGTAGACCAATTCTGCAATGGGATCACTGACCAAACTTGACGAATCGGATCAGGGTATGCAGGAACCCTCCTGGTGAAGACAAGTTTGGCGAGCGAGTCCAGTCAGTGGAACGCAAGTGCGTCACCTTGTGCCAATGTAATTATATAGGAAGATTAGACTTGGTTCAAGATTTTGCATGGCTTGAGGAATCAAGAACTTACAGTAGTACGGAAAAGTCTTACTGGAAGGAAGCAGCAATGTGGGTGAAGCATTTAGATCAATGCTTGGATTTGAATCAATCTGCTCTGCCTCAGAGCCATCCAAAGGCTGCCAAAAGCTGAACAACTCTGGCGAATCCTGACACGGCTGTCCCCCGCGGCGAGCTGCAAGAGAGTTTTGGCTGGTCCGAAAAACACTGGCGTTGGGGTGATCGGAGTCCCGGCAGCCAGGTGAGATGTTAGGGAAAAGGATTGCCTTTTTCCAACATCCTGCAACACCCCAATCCTGCAACAAATCACACACAAATACCAGTCTTTGATGTCAGGAAAAGGACGAACTGTTCCTCCAAGTGCGTAATCATTAGGTGTTTAGTGAATCTCCCTATGTCCATCCCGCCAATGTTGATCATTGCTTCTGTGAGCCAGCGTGAACAATGGTGGGCTAGGTATATACACGTAGCATGTCTTCCATCCACAGAAGTAAGGAAGACTTGAACTCTTGAAACTTGCAACCATCGTTCTTCCACAAAGGCTTGAACTCTTGATCCTTATGATGGAAACCATCGTTCTCCCACAATCGACCCCCCACTCAAGGAACAGGCCACAATGCAACTGTCAGACTTTTGCTTGGTTTCCTCCCCTGACAGATTGATTGCTGGGTCCATCTGCGATGGGCAGAGCAGGATGGAGGTTGGCGTGGCTTCCTCTTCCTGATGTTGGGAAATTCTTCCATATCCACATGGCACATGAGCCGGCATGAGGCGCGAGACCTGATTTATCACGATCAAGCTTACAAGAGTTCAGAAAAGGATCGCTTTATCATGAGTCTCAATTGAATCAGAAAGGGATAAGAAGAAAAGGAAGAACATCTGAGGCATGGTTCACATAACCACACAATGCAAATAATTGTTGTTCACCCTCCATTACCAGAATCAAAGGAATCCAAGGAATCAGATCATGTGTCCCTATCTTGATGTCGAATCCTGTTACTACCTATATACACCCTGCAAGAGACCCACATGGAACCTGAAAAAAAAGAAAACACTGGCATCTACTAGAGAGGCACATCCTTTTCCAGTGCCATCTGCCAGTGCCATGCCATCAGTGAATCAGGTTCCATGGTCTCAAACACCAGGTGCTTTTCAAAGGCGCCGCGGGCACACCGAGACTCCCGGCACGTCTCTCCAGGCGAAAATGCTGCGTTCGGGCCCCGCGCGTGCCTGGACTGGGAGTGAGGCGTGGACCACCTCTGGGGACGCATGGTGAGTTTTCAGAAGCCTGCTGTCTTGGGGGTGCAAACCCATGCAGGGCCCCGGCAGCCCTCATGATTTTGGGGGTTGGTGGGGGGGGAAGCATTCTCGATGTTTTGGGATTGGCGACGCAATCGCACATCGATCTCCGTCGGAGGACGAACTTGGGCACCGCAATGAAATCCCCGTCGTTCGATGGGGGGGGATGGACCCGTCCTGAGAACGGACGATCCCGATTTGGGACTGTAAATCTTGGCCTCGAAATGGTGGTTTGTTCAGATGTTTGAAGGGTCTGTAGGTGAGTATTCCCATCTCAAATGGATGGGCCCCCGGGCACACCATTCTCATCGAAAAAGTCTGACGCCAAAACCAAAAAAGAAACAAAACATACGAGATCTCAGGGGCTAAGCCCTCAAACCACCAAAACTACTTGACCTCCAGAAACAGGATGCTTCCCCTGGTCAACCCAAGCCACCAAGCAAGTTCGACCGGAGGGGGTACCCTCCCCCCCCGTCCCAATCTCCGGACGGCGAACTTCCGTCGACCCTGATCTAGGCCGCGTGGCATAAGGTCCCTTTCTCCAGATCCAAGTCGGCCACGATCTGACAGAGAAAAGAAGTAGCAGTAGAAGAGATGTCGATGTCCGATGTCCAAGTTGGACTCATTCGACCCCGGCCTATGGTAGTGGTGGATGGATTGACTAATGAGTCCAAAAGGAAGTCAAGCGGTCCCCAGAAGCCAGGAAGCTGGGCCATCAACCGATCTTGGACCCTAAGATGAAACGGCCAAACCTTTTCCTCGTCCGTCCGAGGTTTACAAAGTTGACATGCCATCAAGGCGGTCAAAGCTCACCAAATTCCAAGGTTCCCTAGTTCACTTCCGAGCTGAGCAAGGCTCAACATGCGACCTGCCGGTCTCCAACCCCACGTTCCCAAACCAAAATTATGTTCCGCTCTTTTGTCGTCTGGTCTCGGCTGTTCTTCGTGGGGAAAAAACACTGCCCCCCCAAAGCCGATCCCCTCGCACCAAAGCGGCACCCGCGCCTCCTGAGGTTTGGAGTTGAGCCACTGATCGGAAAGCCACCTGTCCGGCGGTCCCGTGAGGTCGGCTTGGACTTGTCCGGCGTCGGTCGGTGGAGAAGAAGACCTGCTTTTGGAGGAGGAGGAGGATTTGGCACGGCAAGGAAATGATGGGTTGGGTCGGTTCTCCTTTAGCTAAACCCTGACCCCTTGGGACAAACTAGGGCATCTGTGTCTTTCATGCTCTTGCCAAGCCCAAAACATGGTGAGAGATTGGGAAATCCGCCAACCCCTACCTAGCTGGGGCAGTGCTTGGGGCAGCGCAACGTGGAGCGGTTGCCTGTGGACCGTGCCCCTGCCAACTGCCTCTGACTCCCTCTGCCTGCTTCTCGCTGTGGCTTCGACACCATTGCTTTACTGGGCTTCGAAGCTGAGGTCTGGCCCCTCTTTCCGACCGCATTTGCGCGCAGAAATACATGGGGGAAGGTTGCCAACCTTGTTTTACTGGGCTTCGAATCTGCCGTCTGGCCCCTCTTTCCGACTTTTTGCGCGGAGAAAGAGATGGGGGAAGGTTGTGGCGAAGGGTGCGTTCAGGCCTCGGCCGTGGGCTTGCCAACCTTGTAGCATACATCAATGTCTCTTCGGACGAGGCCACTGCTTGCAAAAGCTCTTCCCCCTAGTCTGATGTTTGAAGAATACTCATACTTCTTTCTCAGCGTTCCATGCATGATTGCACTACTGGAAGCACCCATGCTCCACTTCCTTTTCATTTCCTTTTCATCTCCTTTTGATTCTTGTCTCTTTCCTTTACATTCCTCTTGATGTCCTTTTGATTTCCAGTGGATTTCTTTTGACTTCTCCTTTTGACTCCCGTTGATTTCCTTTTCATTCCTTTCCATTCTCGTCTGATTCCTGCTGCGTTCCTTTACGCTCCTTTTCATATCGTTTTCCTTCCTTGTGCGTCCCTTTTCATTCCTACTGTATTCTGTTCCTTTTCATTCCTTCTTTCTTCCGTTGGTGTCATGTCCTTGCCGTTCCTTTCTATTTCCTTTGGCTTGCTTTGGATTTCCAGTTGATCCCTATCCATGTCCTTTTGATTTCTCGTGATTTCCTGTTGATTCCTTTTCCTTTCCTTTGCATTTCCTCTTCATCTCTATTGATGTCTCTTTGGTTTCTTTGATTTTCGTCTGATTTCCTTTGGTTCCTTTTGGTTTCTTTTGGATTGCTTTTCACTTCCTTCTCATTCCTATCCATTTCCTGTTGCTTCCTTTGATTTCCTTTTGCTTCCTATTGTTTTCCTTTTCGGTCCTTTTCACTTCCTTCTGGTTCCTTTTGCTTTCCCGTCTTTCTGGCTCCTTTGATTTTCTTTTAATTCCTAGCCTATATTTGAAGAAGCCGAGCGTGCTCGTGCGTGTGCACGAGCGCTTGTGCGTTCGTGTGCGTGCGGGTGCGGGTGTGCATGTGCGTACGCGTGTCTGAAGCTGAGGATGCCAGGCCTTTTCCATCAGACCCTAATGCGCACACCTGTGTGGGAGTGTGTATGTGCAGGCGTAAGAAGCTGTGCTCATCGTCGGATTTTGCTGTGCAAAGAGCCTGCGGATACGCAGAGTCCCCTGAGGGGCGTCGCCGGTTGGCGAAGCCTATCAGTAACTTCTGAGTCATTCCCACCAAAACCCCGCAAAACGGCCTAAACTCCATGTTTCATGTGCATCGAACCACACCCACGACATCATGGCCTCGGGACTTTAATGAGTCTCAGTTCCGCCATTGGCGCCAGCCAGTCGACTCACCCCACTCGTTGCAATGACTGGGTGACTCTGTGATCGGGCTGCTTTTTCCTGAAACAAATCAAGTCTATAAAGTCTATGAGTGTTTGGACCCATAAATTAGGAGTTTTTCTCATACGAGACGAATCGCAAATATCTGATATCTCAGGTTCAAATGTTTGGACGGGACCCTTTTCCTATCTGATCTGGACAGAAGAGTCCAACGAAGTAGCTGGAGCCAAAGTCACAAAGTTGTAGGAAACAGGTCAGGTCAAGCGAGCAAACCATGTCAGCGATGTTCGTGGGAGGAGGTTCGTTCAAAGCCTTTCAGCGCACGGTTCGGTCAGCGCGTCTAAAACTAGGCCTAGATTTAAACAGCCCTATGCCGAGACCTGTTAGGCTTTGCTTTGGTCTCGGGTGAAATCGGTGCCCTTTCACATCACCAGTTCACATCACCAGATAGCAGCAGCAAACCATCACTTGCGCAACCAAACGTCGCCATTGCTCCAGGAAATCGATGCTTGTGCCTCAGCAACGATCGGGGGAGCGGAACGCTCACGGCCTGGCGGAGTGGCAAGTGGGGCGAAAATGTCCAGTACTACAGTACTGCTTAGTGGTCTACGGAAAAGAAAAAGCCAAGGCCGCCAAGGCCTAAGTCCTTCATGTTGGGGTAATGGTCTTCCCAGCTCTCCCCACCCACTAGGAGCGATCGGACGCTACGAATGGGGCTCCTGGCCGTACTACTAGTGGCAAGAAGCTGCCAGTAACAAGTGCATCGCTACCAGTAACAAGGTGCCTTACTACAGTTTCTTCTTATTTGACCTCCAGCTCTCCCCACCCAGCCAAGTCTTTTTAGGCCAAGTCATGGCACTGTTCGACTGAGTCCGGTTGAATGCGGTCCCACAAGAGCCAAGCTCTACAGGCGATACATTTTGTCCAGACTGGGGTCCGGAGTCAACTCTGTCAAGGAAAAAAGAAAAGTGGTGAAACTCCCACATGCCTCAAGTTGCATGTTTTCAGGGAGCGTTATAGGATTCCAACAGCCTCACTGTGGAGTTCAACCATCTCGTCTTCATCGCTGCAAGATCATGTTTTTTGCGGCTAGCCGGTTGGTTGGTCGGGTATAGGGTTTTCACACTCACTGCAGGACCTTGTTGCCGGGGGCTACCCCAACTTCTGGAGTCCCTAGTCCTTCCGGAAGCTGTCCAAAACACTCTGAGCCACACCATGAAAGAATCCCGGAAAACATGTTCGCCATCAAGTTAGGGCATCTGGGAAGGGCCCTAACTTCTAAAATTGCACCTCAGAGGTGCATCAATGTTCACGATGCCGTAGATGGTGTAACCCTGCGTCTTTGTGATGATGTAGTCCTTTCCACCCGGAGGCTGTGATGGCGCGGTAGGAGGACGGGGCGCCAAAACCCAAACCACCTGGCCACGACGGACGGCTCACATCTTCATGGATTGGCTCATTCTGGCTCCACCAACGATACCAAACTCAAAGGATCTCCCATCCACTTCATCCAGTTTGCCGCTGTTGCTGTTTGCCGGTCACACTCTACGACCACTCTCACCTCTTTGTTTCAGTACCACGCAAACCCCACCCACTTGGAAACCTCTATATACCCAGGGGTGTCTTCCCTCTTCGCCCATCCGGTCGATCCGGCGGTCGATACGGCGCCACCTCAAAGCCGTGCACCTCTCCGATCAGTGCTCCATCCGAGCTGCGATACCAGCTGCCCTGGAGGTCCGAGATGGAATACGACCGCTGCCGCGCGGTGATCACGTCGTTCACATCGCCTCCGCCTGGGTCGTCAAGCGTTTCGTTCGTCGTGCTTTGGACTTTTTCGCACACAAAGGAGCACCGAGGCGCCGAAGACTGCAGGGGAAGAAGCAGTGAGGTGAGATGTTCATTTGGGGAATACTCTTTGGCTGCGGTTTCCCAGAGTTCCTCCTGTGGAAGTGGAGAAACAACCTCCTTCTATATAGAAGAAAGGTCATCCACGAGGCCATTTGTCCATTTCGAGACAGGCCCAAAAAATCGGCCACAGGGCGAACAAACATGAGATAAGTTTTTCTTTCACCTTAAGGGACAACCCAAGTGCATCCTATGAAAAAACTCGTTCATCCTTTACTCCCTTCTCGATTGAACACACGATGCCATGCAAGAACGTACAAAGCCCACAGAAGCAACGAAAGATCGAAAAAATAGAACAGACAGTAGAGCAAAAAAACAAACGACAAAAATGAGAAAAGTATAGAAAGCCAGAAAAGCAAGAGAAAAGCAAAAAAGCACCGGCAACAAAGGCCATGGAAAGCAAAAGCAACTTCAAGAAAGGAAACAACACGCCACAAGAAGACAAGAAGCGGGAAAGTAAAGAAAAGCGGTAGAAAACAAGGAAAAGCAAGACAGCACAAGAAAAGCAGGAAAAGCTAGATAAGCAGAAGAAATCACAGTGAAGCAATGAAAGGCCAGGAAAAGCAAGACAGACACAAAAAAGGGATGAAAAGCATGAGAAATCACAGAGAAGCAATGCAAAGCAATGAAAAGCCAACAAGCACGAAAAACACGGAGAAGCGAATTTAAAAACACTAATTAAACTAAATAAAGAATTAAAAGATTCATGAAGAGGAGGGATCGAGCAGTTCCATGTCCGGGCTGCCGAACGGAGGAAGTCGGGGCACCCCTGTCACTAGAAACTTTGGAACTGCTGGATGGAGACATTGGGAGATTCTTCAGAGGCCGGATTCCGCGAACCATGGGGGTCGGATTTGGAGGTGTCCCAGGTGCCACCGCTTTGAGGCAGTAAACCGACCAAATGCGTGCATGACCTGTTAGAGCCTCTCTAGGGTGCTGCTCACTTGATGATCTCATTCTGAAATTCTTCTCCGTTTTGCACGATTAAGCTGCCAGAAACTGCCAGTTTGACTGATATTGCTAAGTGACAGGTGAGCCCTTTGTAGGAGGTCTCTGCGCTGCAGCATAGTGAATCAAGACCCATGGGTCCAGCGCCCATGAGAGAAGTGGGAGAAATCCCACCTCCTAGTATTGAATTTCAGGTCCTGAAGCTCTTCCACCAGAGTTCCAAGCGGGTTAGTATTTGTCCATAAGTCACCCCCGGCACCCCCCTCGCAACTCCGGGAGCTTTGAATCTTTCTTTAGTCCCTTAATTATCTTCTCTTGTCTTCTTTCCTGGACTGCTCTGCGCACGGGCGAACAAATCTACCAAACCTGAAATGCCTGAAATGTCTCGTTTTTGTGGAAAGGAACCCAAAAGAGTAGTTCTCATGGAGCGTTCACGCAACATGCAACTCGGGTGGTCAGAAGACACATGCGAAAATGTCTAGACAACCAAATCTCTAGACTCTACACTCTACATTGACATTTGGGCCACGAAATCCAGAACCAAAAGATTGAAGATGTCAAGCTTTCAAAAGAGAAGCCAGCTGTACAGGATTCTTAAAAAATGTATCTTAAAGCGGACTTGTCTTCCTACGTTCAGCATCCCCATATCTGTCATCTTCCATGCGGACAATCGAAAGAAATTGCATCAGGGAGGGGATTTGTCTTTGCAAACTGATGGTCCAAGCTTTCAGAGCAAATCGACTCATCTCTGGCTTTTCCAACTGCAGGTCAGCGCCGTGCTGGGGTATCCTTTCAGATGCCCCAAGAACGTGTGCCGCGCTGGAGAAGCCTTTGAGCAAACATGGGGCGAAGAAAGAACGTTAGTTGAAAACACCCAAAGAAGACCATGCCTTGAAACCCGGAGTCTGTTGAAACCCAAACTTTCGCGTGCATCGCATGCTGTGGTTTTGGATGGGCGCCCCAAAAAAAGGGACACACTGCGTCGTCCCGTGGTCCCCTTCAGGGACGTGCTGGTCCCCTTGGTTTGGCCAAGCCAGGACCCTCGAGGCGGCGGTTCCGCCTGGAATCGACACCCTTCACCTGTCGGAACCGAAGCCCATTACGGTCTGGACCGTCACCGGCGATCAGGTGGACATTGGGTCAAAACCTAAGACCCCCCTGGCTCCACATGGTTCCATAGTATGGCTCAAAGAAAATGGCTGCCCCAATGTGGTTTCAAATGGTCAGCAATTTGGTGAATTCAGCACGGAGGTGTCTTCTACTTCTTCACCATCGTACATCTCCAACACAGGTGAAATCACAGCTAGCGGGCTAGGGGCCACTGGGTCCCCAAAATGCCTCGCGGGTTAATCCACATAGAAGATCAAATATGTGATGTGTGAAGTCTGCAGTGGAGCAAGGAGGTCTCTCCTCCTGGTTTCCAGGAGGTTGGGCTCTGCTGCGGACCGACTCTCAGCCCATCCGATTGGTCCAGTCAGTGGTGCCATACATGTAGCGGCAGAAGGGGTTGATCTGCGCAGGCCGAGGAGGCGACCGGGATGGGCCGGTCGAAAGCGACCGGTCAGCATAAGAAAGGACCACCGATACTGGCGACCGGGATGGCGGCGTGGAACCATCGAAGGTGTCCATAAGTCTTCAGGGCATCCTTGAGGTCTATTTTACTATTCCTAGGACTTCAGTGAATGCTGATGGCCAACTCAGTAATAAACTTGTTTCAGCTGAGCAGCTGTGAACCTGGAGCGAATCCAAAGTGTACCTCTGATTTCCAGGGCAACTCACACCACAAGGCTAAGAAGACATGACATGAATGTGTCGCCAAATCAACTCATCACCCCTCCACCAAATCGAATTCCTCCGCTTTTTGAGGACGACTCCGCACCGGTTGACCCAAACACCACCAGTTCCGGGCACCCCGCACAGAAACTACCTGGTTCCGCCCGGAAACCCGCCCCGCCGTCCCGCCTTGCAGCTGGGACCGGTGCTCTCGAGGCGTGGGAATTCCCCCACCGACCTCGGTCACCGTGGCGGCACGGGAACGGCACTGTCGACATGTACAACAAACTTAACTCACTAACGAACTAACTGGCGTTCAACACCTAAGTGAGATTCCTTTCTACAAGAGTCTTTCACCGAAGCTTGCATATCGCTTGCGTGACTGCAGCTTTATCTTTCGCGCAGCAA